TTATGCTTTAACCAGAAAAATTAGTTCTCTTAAAAAATTTAAAAACCCAAGATTATAAACCTTTACCATACTGGAGGCGAAAATTGTCACTGTAAAATTATCTCCCTTTGCAGCTGTAGGAACATTGTCACCTTGAGATGGTTGTTATAAATAAACACTTGTCAACTGTCATTTCAGGTATTTTAAGCTGGAAAGCACCTACTACTGCTTTGCAACAATGCTAAACTTCCATTTTCTGATGCCATTTTGAATTCTTCTAGACTCTACACAAGGTGTAACATCAATTAAACCCATGTTAATTTTTTTTGCAATTTTTGTAAACAAAAATGGATACATCAACATCCAACAAAGCCATAATTTCAAGAGTTTTTCTTTGATTTGGACTCTGATGATGATTTTACTCAAGTGGATATTGACAGTGAAGTGGCTGAAGATGATAACCGTGCTAGTGACATGAAGGAAAGTGATGATGACTACTAGATGCTGAGCGAGTACTATCATCCATGGCTGAGTAATTTTATGGAAGCTACTGGCGACTATGGATGTATCTGACAGTCTTTCTGAATGTGAATTATTTTGTCTATTTGTAAATGATGAAATAATAACTTTTTTGTCAACGAGACAAGTAAATATGCTAGTCAGGTGAAAGAAAGACCAAACAAAAGCTGGCGTCTTCTTGTATATAAGCACAAGGAAGCACATCACATTTTTGATGAAATGAAAGCCTTCTTAGCCATTTTGCTTCTTATTGCAACCCCAGAACTCAACAAGGAGTAATAAAAGTTAAAGTATGTTAAATTGTTAATGTATTTGTTTTTATTTAATTTTTTTTTTGCTTTCAACATCAAAACATAATGCATTACATCAAAATATTACTCATCTATTCTTTTATTAGTATACAAAAATTAAATCTATATACACAATACAAAGAAAGTTATAACAATTTTAAAACAGATGTTCATGTTTTTTGCACCCTCAAAAAAAAAAAAAAAAAAAAAAAAAATGTAGTGACAGGGGGAACAATTCTAGAAACAATTTAATGTGCTTTCTCTTGTTTAAAACAAGAGAAATGAATTGATGGTTACATGTAGGCACAATAAGAAATATCTACTGAAATACATTGATCCAAATTTTTAATAAAAAGCACCAGTAATCTCCTTTATAATTAATATAAAAAATTAATATTCACTCTCAATTCTTTTTATATATATATATATCCCATTTATTATAAATTGCTAAATATATTTTTAAAAATAAAAAACCCTAATCTCGATATAATATATTACTGTGCAAACATTGCAGTAACCAGATATTTTTATTAAAATTTAAACTGTATATATCCAACACCTGAAGATTGCTGAGGATATATATATTATATATATATATATATATATATATATATATATATATATATATATATATATATATATATATATATATATATATAAAAAGAAAGAACAGTAAAATATAAAATCCGGTGTTCTTATAGATATTTTTATTTTTACAAAATAGTGCTCAATGTAAATTTACAGAGCATTAATATTATAAATTAATTGATTTAAAATATGGTTTTTTTCGCTACACAGTTCCAAGCAGGTTTCAAAAATAGAAGCTAAAAACCCCGAATTTAATTTTGCAATTAAATTAAAAGCATTAGTTCCATTTCATCTTCAAGTGAATTTTATATTTACAGCTTTTGTAAGCTAGAAAAATCAGATCATTATCATTAATGTGTGTGTTAATGTACACCGCATATTTAAGTTCAAAAGTGAACAGGAAATTACTTCATTCTTTAAGTAAGTACATTTTATTAGTATTGACTTAACAAAAATCTCACTACAATGTACCGTTTTTGCTGTGTTAAGGTAAAAAACAGAAATCAGATTATTGCTACATTAAACTCATTTCAAACAATGAAAATGAAATTTAACATTTTCTTTGAATTTTTACTCTATTTTGATAGAAGAGAGACCTGGGAATAAGACTTTTATGAAATATGTTTTGCAGCAGTTTTTAACATCAACTTGAGATTTTTTAACATCAACTTGAGATTTTTCTTGTTAAAAAGTTGAATAATTTTAACACTTTCAACATTATAGATAAAAAATAGTGAATTTTATATAGTGATTTTTTTTTGAGACTTTCCACGAGCAAAACAAATTCACGGATTTGGACAAAAGAAAAAAAAAAAACAAGACCCCAGAACTACATCAACATCTTTAAAAATTCTTCACCCTTTAAGTCATTTGTACTTAGTTTAATTTGTCATGTATATAAAAGTAGGTAGAAATAAGATGGCAAGGGTCACAAATCACTGCCTGGCCCCCCAATTAGGCTTGCTTGCCCTGACCTGCGGGGAAGTACATGTCAGCCTGGCCATTAACAGATGCCTCAACAACTTAACTGGTGTTTAGAATGGCTGAAACGTTGTAATTGTAACAACCACGATAAGAAAGGCATATAATAATGTTAATTTCTTATTTAAAAGAATATGATTTCAAAGACTTATTTATTTATTTTTTCAAATAGGTAAATTTTCTACAATTACAAATTGAGACAATATGGTTAAACAAACAAGTATATTTTTGTAGGAAAGTGTATATGGCTAAAGTTTTGTGCTTCAAATGATTTCTACATAACAAACCCTGATTTATCTCATTTACATCTCCCCACTTTTAAAATATTTATTTTTAACTAGCCTCATATTCTGAATTCTCCTTTGGATTTCAAAAGTCATGCATCTGAAATAGAACAAAATAAAATGAACAATAGCATCTGAAAAGCAATTCAAATATTTTCTCCATAACTAAAAACTGTAGAAAAATACAAGAATATATTTCAATTTGAGGCTGATAAACTCACAGATTGAAAATATGGGTCATGATGATGACAAAGAATTCTTGGATTAAGGCCTAAAAAGTGTCTTTAATCCTTTAGCATTGAACATTCCCAAATTGGCTCTGTAAATATCGACTCTCAAAGGCTCATTGCTTGCATGACTTCCCGTGTTATTTGATGGGGGGGGTGTCTACGGTGGATTGAACTTTGAGAACCAATATTTACAGGACAGGTTAAATACTTATCTGTCAACATGTTACTGTAAGGTTTTAGTGATGTTTAGCAAAAAGTTCAACTCTTTTTTTCACTACCAGTTTTAGCTGAAAGGATATAATCTGCTGGAATCTCACTGGAGGATGGTCCGACGCTCTGCCAAGGCCATGTGAGCTGAAGGTACAAGGTGGCTCTTGTCGGGGTCAATGCCCTCATGGCATGAGATTTAGCAGCAGCTGTTTTAGGCTACATGAAAACAAAAGTATTGTATTTTAAGGAAGCTGACAACTTCTATAACATAGACAAGAAAAATGTCCATGTCATGATGTCTGGAACATTTTCCAACCATATAATTAACTTTTTGGGGGACTAATTCTTGACTGGTGTCATTTTATCTTTATGTTACTTATTGTTTTATTCTACCACTCCAAATGATAAACACAGAATTACCTCCTTGAAATTTTTTTTTTTAATGATTTTCACTCAAGACATGGCTCAAGAGTTACTTAAGGTAGAGGATTACTGTGTGATGTTGTATGAGTGTAAGAGAAGACGTTAAAAGTATAGATTGAAAGTAGACTTTAGTAGGAACTGGAAACCTAATCCTAGACAGGAAACTAGGGATTAACCTCTACTCCTGTTCAAAAGACTAGGAAGGAGTGTGAACCAAAGGGTAGACAGACCTATCTACTTCTATTCAGAGAGAAGAGGAAAAAAAAATAATATTAGTAAATAAAATTTCAGAGTTCAGGCAGAAATGTTAGAAGTACAGAGTTGAAGTAGACCTTAGAACAGCGTTGCCTCATATGTGCAGCGGCAGAAGAAGAGAGCAGGTGAGGCAGAATGATTGAAACAGTTTAAAAAAATCCATATGCCAAAAATAAATATGATCTAAAAATTTAAAATATTATGGATTACTTGTAATTGCATGCATGAATCCCACAATAAATAGTTATAAATAATTATTAACTGATATCTATATTTCTGAGATGAGGTATTGTAATTATTTACACTATTTACATTGTTCAGACAGTTGTCCTCATCTTTCTTGCCACATTCACAATGTTTTGGCTGTTGTATGCTCAGGCCTTCTTCAGGTAATTGGAATTTTGAACTGAACCCTTTATTTCGTCCACCATGGTAAGTTGTTTTAGTTCCAGGTGCCATGCCTCTTCCGGATGTCTGAGTTATCTCCCTTTGATTCAACTGTCCAAGTTTTCATTCACCACTGCAGTAGCCAAGTTGCATCAAGTCACTGAATCCAAACAATGCTTTTATCCATTGGGCTATGTGTCCTTGAGGATATCAGTGTATGAATTTTGGATACTTATAAACTTAGTAACCATTTTGTTTTTTACCAGAGCTCATAGAAATGGTTACGGAGACTTAGTTGTCTCAGTAACCATTTTATTTTTTACCAAATTTTTGTTGTTATTATTGCTTTTCAATAGCATTGTGTATTACTGGTTTCCATTCATTTCTATGCTTGCTTGCCTTAGGAGATTTTTGCAGCCTAGCATATGTGCTGATTCCTTAAGTTTTCATATTTTCCTGTGATGTTCTCTGTCTATTATTTCAACCTCATCTTAATAGGGGCAGTGATTTCCTTTTTCCCTCCATTTGTGGTCATCTACATCTGATTTTTTCCTTTTGTGTTATGGCTTTATGACGTTCTTGCAGTCTTCATCACCCACAAAGCCGCATAGAGACTTTTTATAGCTTATCAACCCATTGCAGGTTATTTATAGCCAGATTTTAAAAGATTTGAGGGGATTTAGTGATACAAGTCTTATTAGTTAACCCATTGCTGAGGAGAGAAGAGGTGGATCCAGACCTTTCCCAAGAATATTTGCATGTAGGTGAATATAACTAACTCAACAAGAATTGGAACTCAGCTCTCCGATTAACAATTCTGAGTCATTATTACACCACTTGCACATCCAACCTTATAGCATCTGGTATTCCCAAGTGGTTAGACATCTAGGTACTGAGCAGACTCTAGGTTGCTTAACTTCAGTGATCATATGAGAACCAATGATTCAATGTGTTGTGACCACAAGCCTGTAGATACTTTTGAACTCTCAAGACAACCAAGTGAGAACTACATAATTCCAGCCCAGGTATGGCAGCAATACTCCATTTTTGCTCTGATCTGGAATTTCTAAAGATAAAGTGTAACAGGGGGAATTTTTTCATTTGCCATTTTGTAAAATTGTCTTTTAGAAATTTTTTCCGATTTTCAAGAAAAATTTAGTTTTAAGGTGGAAGTTACTTGAATCTTTTTTTCCTATGAAAATACAAAAGTTTGTCAATATTTCTGAGACGAGCTATAGTAACTTTTTACACTATTTACTTTGTTCAGACTGTTATCATCATCTTTATTGTTATATTCATGACATTTCGGAAATAACTGAAACTGAGATACCAGAAAACGCATGGCCTGTGGAGCTAGAACAATCTACCTGGTTGATGAAATAAAGGGTTTAGTTTGAAATTTCAACATATATCACCTGAAGAAGGCCAGAGCATACAACCACTGAAACATCGTGAATATGACAATAAAGATGAGGACAACAGTTCAAACAATGTAAATAGTGTAAATAGATACAAAAGTTTGTTTAACTGAATCTCATTTTTATAAATGTTATCAAAACTCCAAACAGCAACCCTTGAAAATCACAATGGACATGTGCAATTCAGATGTTTCTTGAGAGTGACTCTCCAAGAATTAATTTCTAAACCTTTTCTTACACTCATACAATTCTATACATTGAAGCTCTACTTTGAATGACTCCTGGGGTTAGTAAAGTGAACACTTATGCAAATGACTTAAAGTATTGACTTCTTTTATTCATTTTCCTTCTCCTGGGGCAGTGGCTCCCAAATGGTGTAACATGCCTCACAGGTGAGGTGGAATGATTGAAAGACAATCAAAGATTTAGAAACAGTTTAAAAAGTTCCAAAAATAAATGATTTCAAAATTTAAAATATTATTATGGATTAGTTGTAATTGCATGCATAAGTTCCAGCATAGTTATAAATAATTATTGACCAATTTTTATCATTGTCATATTTTTGCTTTATACCAAGTATTAAGAATATAGTAACTAGGGTCCACAAATTGGTGGAGATTGCAGATTCAAAGTCAGAATATTATCAATGATAATGTTCTGACTTTGAATCTGCAATTGTCTCCCTTAAACCCTCTCTCTGTTTTATTATTTTTAAATGTACTTTTTATCACATGAAATTTGGTGAGGTGCAAGCAAATTTTCATTCTGAGAAAATGTTTGGGAACCACTGTCCTGGTGAATAAATGTCATTTTTTTTTAATTCTACCATTTCATAAAGAAGTTACTAGTGCAATATGTTTCAATTTTTTGCTACTGTATTTTAAAATATTTTAATTACATTTTTTCTATGTATTTTACTATGTAGATATCATTCCAAATACAAATTTGTACAGTGTAGACATTTTAGCCAAGGTACATGCTGAATATAAATAAAAGGAAAATTTTTAATATTTTGATTACATTTTCTTTATATATATATATATATATATATAAAAAATGTTTTACTATGTAGATATCATTCCAAAATAAAATTTTAGTGTAGATATTTTCTCCTTGGAAATAACGAACTTATTTAGCAAATTAACCACAAGTTTTTTTTTTTTTGTTTTTTTAACACATAACCCTAGGGGCATCATATGTAGTAGCAGTGGTGTTTCCTGGGAAAAACAGATTGATGAAGCTCAACCATCTCTAAGCTGGTTTTGAATTCAAAGTTTTCCCTTCTGTCTAGGCCAGTTACCAAACAAGGCTATAGAACCCAGTCTGTCCTACTATTTACCTATAGCTTGGGGTTTTGTGGGCAGAGAAGAGAGGGATTAATTTCATACAGGTAACTCCACTGAATTTTCAATAATCAAAGTTTAAAATGAATTTTTAAAAATAAAAATGTATTCTTTGAGATTTAATTTTAGCTTTTAAATTTACTATTTCCAGTAAGTCAAATATTCTAGCATATTTTAAATAGAAATTATATAGATCGGAATTACAACTTCTTGGCTGATTTCAGAAAGTCTTACAAGCAACCATTTTCTTAATTTTAAGAAATTTGTAAACAAAACAAAATTATCAGTTTTAAAAATCTTCCAAAAATAAAATATATATTTGTGACACATTATCTGAGTAAAATTAGCAAATTTAAAGTTAAATTAATCTGATTTGAAATAACCATTACTTACTTATAGCATAAAAAAGTAATATACAAGTCTTTCTTAATGACGGGTCCTGTTTTACTTTTATTGATGTATCGATAAGTTCCGAGGTGATGACAATTAGTATGGATGACCAGAATTGACGTAAATTTACAAATTCTAAGTGAATGCATTTTTTGTTTCTTTTTTAACTACCAAGTAATTTTTAAAAATTAAAATATTTTCAGCAATTATTTAATATTTTATTGACTTTTAGTTACGTTTGAAGATGCTTTATCAAATTTGGGAACGTTTATACACTAAAAATTATTTTTAATTCTTTTTAAAATATTGAGTACAAATGAGTGGTATGTGCTTCTCAATTTTTGATTTATAAATGTAGTTTTCACTAAAAAACAATATCACCTAACAGCCTTAAAGTAATGCAGAATTTTTAAATGACTTTTAATATTATAAATTATTTAAAATTTAAAAACAAATGAAAACAGTTCTTGTAAAAATTCATTATTCATTGAAAAAAAAAAAAAAAAAAAAAAATAGTCACTATTTAATTAGAAAAACTTATAATTGCTTTTAGAAATCAGATTTGGAACACTTAGTGTCCTTAAAATTTTATTTCTAAAAGCAAAGTTTTTCTAATTAAATAATAGTTTTATTGCCTTTTTATTTGACAATTCAGAGCAGATTTTCAGTGAATGGGATCGCTGTTTTGTCGCAAGAAAAAAAAAAAAAAAAGTGATGATTTATACTTTCTCCAAGGAGTCCTGCCTTTACCTAATAAAAAAAAAAAAAAATCCCCGCCCTAAAAAACAAATTTCAAAATTTCATGGAAATTAAGCAAGTGGGTGGTAACATATGCTTAAAAAAAAAAAAAAAAAATAAATAAATTTACCAAGATTTTCTAAAAATTAATTTCATTCATTTCTGAATATATCCTGAAATTGATAAATTTGCTTCTCAATCCTAAAGCTAAAAATATCTATTAAAATTTTTCGAAATAGTCATATTTCCATATAAATGTACATGCTGAACTTGAATTAACAATTACAATTATGATAAAAGAAAATGCTAGAAAGTGTTTTCTTTTTGTTCTTTATATATATATACAGTAACACACACAAGATTAAGAACAAAAAGAACACACTAACCCTAAATTTGTTCTTACATTGTAATTTTATTTTGTAAATTACCTTGCTCTTTTTACAAAGTTTGCGCATTAATTATTGTTTGTTTTATTTTCAATTTAAAAAAATAAAAAATGCTTTACTGTATTATTTCTTTTTTAATTTGCCATTGCTATTCTACACGGTACTAAAAAGGTTTCATTGTATTTAATTTGTTTTTGTTTAAAGTTTTCTGTTATAAAAAGACTACACTTATCAAAAAAAAAAATCAGAAAAATCGCCCAGTTGTCATTGCTTTATGATAGTACGCAGTAATTTCGACGAGTAAGAGCAGTGAATCAATAAATAGGCCGAAAAGTTATGATTGCGCTAAAAAAAGAAATGAATGTATTGTAACTGATCCGCAGTGAATCTAATTACACAAAGCCGGTAATGGTGGCCAAATGACCACGATTATTTAAATCCGTTTTTTTCTGGTCGATAAATCCAAAACAGTAGGTTTTATGATCATAATTGTAATTTATTTATTAAAGACATTTTTTTTATTATGTTTAACGTTGTTATTTTATAGATACAAGTATTTAAGTAAGTACCTCCACTATTTCGGCATAAATTTTCGATACCTAAGTTTAAAATGAATTTTTTTATAATGAAAAAACATTCTTGAAGATTTCATTTTAGCTTTAATTGAAAGTTTAATAACTAAATTTACGATTTCTATTAATTAAACAATTCTGGTGTATTTCAGATAGAAACTATATACATTTGATTGTCAAATTTAATTTCAAATTTTTAAATTTTCTTAAAAACGGCCATTTTCTTAATTTTAAGAAATTTGTAAACAAACACAAATTTATCGATTTTTAAAATATTTAAAAAAAATTCTGACACGTTATTTTAGTAAAATTAAAAAATTTAAAGTTAAAGTAATCTGATTTCAAAGAAATCTTTGTTACTTATAGCATAAAAATATAATATACAACCAATTATTAACGAGCGGTCCCGTTCATCTGTTCGATCTCATTGATAATGGTTGATTGACGAGCCGATGACAGCTACTACTGATGACCATAAATGACATAATTTTTAAGTCTGAGTTTTTTAAAAAATTATTATATTTGAATATGACACACAATACAATACATAAAATAAAATTATTTAGTGAAATAATAGTAAAAAAAAAAAAAAAATAATTTAAAATTTAAAGTTTAAACTTTTGAACGGAAAATACGACTTGTAGTAACGAACGAAATGTTTTGAAAAGGCCACGTAAAGGGACAAAAAACCCTTAGATCACGTGACCTTGTTATAATAATGGCAATTTCTGTATATCATACATGGAAATAAGGAATGTATTAAAAAAAAATACAACATAAAAATTATTTTAAAAAAAAAAAGAAGCAACTAAATTTATTAAACTTAACAATTTTGGATTCGTAAATTTTTTTCTACTTAATTAGTACATAATATCGAGGAACCCTCCTAATACAGAGCTTTACACGATTTAAAACTATTATAAATTATTATAATTAAAATTTTTAAAAAACGAAAAAATTCTTAAAAATTAATTATTCATCAGAAAAAAAATTATTTCTTCAGACAATAATGTCCTTATTATTACTTATTTACAAAAGCAATTAAAAGCTTTTCTAATTAGGTAATATCATAGTTTTATTGATTCATTATTTTTCAATTCAGAGCAGATTTTCAGCTAAGTAGCTCAAATTTGTCCTTGTGAAAAAAAAATTAGGTTATTTACCATCTTCGAAGACTCCTACTTTTAAAAAAAAAAAAAAATTCAGGAAATAAAAAAGGTTTTGGGCGAAATTTCATTAAATTAAGTAAATGTGGGGTAATATATTTAAAAAAATATAATTTTTACCAAAATTTTCTAAAAAAAAATATTTCAAAAATAATTTCATTGATTTGTGAATAAGTCCTGAAAATTTCATTAAGATTGGACAATTATTTTATTTTTACAAGAATTTCCAAATCAATATGTTTTCAACGGTAAAAAAACGCAAAAAAAAAATATGTTATTTTAAACGTCGCCGCGATGACGTAAACAAAGACGACTTTAACCAAAATTTCGAACGTGTTAGAAAATATTAAAAAATTTCAAAAAATAATTAAAAAATACTTTTTTCTTTTCTCTAAATAATAACATAAGCATTTTGACGATAATACTTTATTTTCTTTAAGTTTGTGGCATTTTTCATTTACGCTATGCTGTTTTTCCGCGAAAACAGTGGACATGCTTAGAACATTTATCATAAACAGAGCATTTGCTTAAATACTTGTATCTATAAAATAACAACGTTAAACATAATAAAAAAATGTCTTTAATAAATAAATTGTCGGACCTTGTCCATTTCTTAACATAATTGTAATTGTTTTAATTCAAGTTCAGCATGTACATTTATAGTACGGACAGGAATATGACGATTTCGAACGATTTTATTTTTAAGATATTTAGCTTGGGGATTGAAAAGCAAATTTACCCTAAAATTTTTATTAACATCCGACAATTATTCGATTTTTGCAAAAATTTCCAAGTCAGTGTGTTTTTCATCGGAAAAAGCGAAAAAGAAATTGTTATAATTACGTGGGCCGCTGACGTAAACAAAACAAGATTTTTAACCAAAATTTCGAACGTGCTAGAAAGGTTAAAAAATTAAAAAAAATAATAATAAATACTTTTGTCTCTCCTCTTAATAATAAAATAAACATTCTGATGACAAAACTTTGTTTTTATTGAGTTTAGGGCCTTTTTTCACCATGCTGTGCTGTTTTTTCAGCGAAAAAGTGGTGAGAAAGGTATTTAAATTTTCATACCTTTCCCAAGAGGGGCAAATAAATGAGTAACTGGAATTCAAACTCGGCTCTCTTGATTCCGAGCCGCTATCCACTGTACGTCTAAAGGTGAGGAGCAGGTGAACAATTCATAATATCCACCTTTATAAAGACTGTTCAAGTATTTGAATGTTGTAAACGAAACCTTAATGAAGAAGTCCATCCCATTCTCCTTGTGTTCTTAAGTGATAAGAAGTGGCTAGAGACACAAACAACGTTTCTGTAGACCTTTTCCAGTGCATCACAACAATAATAAATCTTTCCCAGAGTACAGACTCCAGCGGGTGGCCCCATATTCTAACACTGACCGTTCCATCATAGATACATAAAGTGTTCACCTTTTGGCATCATCAAATGTTTCCCAGAAATAAACCAACATTTGATGATTCCAGCTCGTCGGTTGGCTTAATTCACAATGTCAACAATGTGCTTTCTTTTGAAATTCAGATTTTTAAGTATTTTTGTTCCTCAAACACCATTTAGAGAATATCACAATACAAATTTTAAAAAAATTAGTCTATCGAATTATTTGATTTATTTCCCAATTATCTTTTAAACTAATTGGAAAAGGAAAACGTTAATTTTTAAAAGATCAATTTGATTTCTTATAGAACCGGAATCAATAAAAGTTAATAATTTTAGTTTTTTTTAATTACAAAATGTTAAAATTTAATTCTTCGATGTTTAAAACATATTCCTGTACACAAAAACAAAATATTTTAAATATTATAATAAGCAATATTTTTTCTTACCAGTAGTAAAAACTCCAACAATGAAAATTGATGCTTTTCTTCTAACATTAAAAACTCGGTTCAATTTTGGGTCGACACCGCAGAATCAAAATCATTAAAGCATTTCGGGAAAACAATTTTACTTAATTACAATTTTTTTAAAAACTTTTCGATTATTTTTGTTTTTTATAAAACAGTTTCGATTTTTAAGGATAATTTTTTGGTATTAATTAATTTTCATATAAATATGTTAACAAAAATGTATTTTTTTTTACCGTAACGCTGCTATTTGATTATTAAATATTGTTTTAGCTTATTATTTTACTTTTATATTATTAATTGAAAAAGGCATGACATTACTTTAATGTGAAATAATTTTAATTATAGATATATATATATAAAAAAAAAAAAAAAAATTAGAAATTTTCCCGGCATTCAAACGAAGGCCGACAAAATGGCGGCCATCGCGAGGGCAGCATTTGTTCAATTCGGACAATTTGGTGAGTTTCCCCTCTTATTCTCGCTAAAAATTGTTTTCGTTCATTTCGGGAATAATTTTATTACGCTGATTTACTCATATAAGAAGAATATCCTAATTCCACTGATGTACGTGTTGAGGATTACTTATGCTTTTCACGTATACATGCTTTTTGAAAAGAACTTATTGTTGATTTAAATTAGGAACAAAACAACAACATAATTAAAATTTCACAAAATTTGAAAATCTTTTTTTTTCTGACATGAACTCTGTTACTTTGAAAATGGTTCTTCTCTTTCTGTATTAGAATCTCTACGTGTTTTTCTTCACAAACTATAAAATTTCTCTTAAAGTTTGAAGGTCATTTGGGAGAAACATTTGTTTTTATTTATCCCCTGACTGTCATTTTGAAACAAAATGTGTTTTTTACATTATTGGATTTATTGATATAAAATATTTTCGTATAATTAAAATAGGGATATAATCGGTTTTACTGCTTCAAGCGATTTTTATATGATTAATTAATACTTTATTTTTTTTCCTTTTTAAGTAAGTCCGTTTTTTTTTTATTTTACCCCCAAACATTGTCTATCTAATGTTGATACTTACAAACAAGTTACAACAGATGTTGCTAAAATAAAAATTATATTGCATTTCGGATAATATCAAATTTTAGTTTGAATGCATTTGATTTTCAAATCCAGTCTAGTCAGTTAAAATAAAAATTACGTTCGGTATCTTCTATGTGCCCTGTCCATTGAGGACGTGGACGATCATGGCCTTAAACACCTTACTAGTGTTTGTCATTCTTTCTACCTCCCTGTCCTGCCACCCATTTAAGCTCATTAGGTTATTATGTTATTAGCTGCTTTCTTCAGTCCCTCCTGCTTTCAGTCTGTCCCATGAGTGTCAAATTCTCCAAGCCTTTTTTCTCATTATCTCTCCTTGAAATCTCAACTTTCTCTTTCTAAGCATAATAATCCTTTTTGTTTACATTTTCCTTAAAACTTCCTTGCTGCTTACATGCTCAGTCCATGATATTCTCAGTATCCTTCTGTAGAAGCACATCTCTGTTGCTTCATCAACAAGAAAATTGTCCAGCATTTACTGTCATATAGGGGAATTGATATTAGCAGTTCAGCACTGTTCAAAAATTGAAATGGTAGCTCAATTCCACAACAAAATAAACAAATCGCAAGTCCAAACTTGAAGATCCAGGGACACAAAAAAAATGTTGAAATCACGAATTGGAGGTCAAATGTCACAAATCTTAATATACATAAAAGGTCAGAAATCCAACATGCAAGCCAATGAATGAGGTAGAAAAATATGACTTTTCTCAATTTGAGAACACCAACCACTTTTTATTAACGGAACAATTTTTTCATTGGTCGACAGGTGGGAGAGGATACACAATATTAACATATCCAAGATGCATTCATAGCAACACCTGTGACTAATATTATTTCTATTTTGGTTCTTTTCTTTGTTTCTCATGAAATTTTCCTGTTTCTTAATACTTTGTTTAACTTTTGGAAGGCATCGTCTGCTATTCCATTGTGCCTTCTTATTTAAGTGCCACATTTCCTGTTATCTGTTAAGAGACTTCTCAAATATTTAAACATCTGAGTTTGCTTGATTTTTTGATGTCTCTAATTCATAGCTTGTATCTTGGGCTTTTATAAAAGATTTATTAGTTGATAATACAAAATAATTAAAAATGATAATTAATAAAAAAAATGTGTAAATAAATATTATAATCATCTACATTTGTCTGATGCACATACTTTTTAAAGAAGAATAATGAAAAATGATTACATTTATTTGTAAAAATTTTTATTTTTAGAATTGACTGTTAAAGAACCACCAAATTATTTCGGTCAAGGTGGATTGTTTCAAATTCATTTTTAAATTTAAAAAAAAAACAAAATACCAAATCTGTTTATTATCTCTGTGCCTTTTCTATAAATACCTTCATGGTAATTATTCTGATAAACTTTCCTCTATGGTACCTGCACTTTATGAATTTGAGTGCAATACTAGATTGGTGACAAGGTCTCATCATTTTAAAGTTGAAATGGCTAGATGGAACTGTAAGTTCTATGCTAACAGTTTCTTCTCTTGCACTTCTTGCTTGTGGAACTCCTTTTTGGTTTCTATTAGGTTGGTGCAAAATAATGACATATAATGTCGTTTTTGACGTATTTTTAACGTCAAAAAACGACATTATTACGCCATTATTTTTTGCACCAACCTAATAGCTTTCCAGTTAACTTTGATCTTCAAAAGTTTAAATTCAATGTCAATCAATGTCCTCTTAATTTCCATTCTTTTGTTGTTCTCTCTCCTTAATAATGTTTCTTTTTCTTATATTCTCTAACAGTCAGTAACCCCTTGTATCTTAGTGGCCTTATTGCCTTGTTTTGGGAGTGAAATGATTAAATTAAAAAAACCTGATGATGAACACTTGTCAAATGATAAGACTTTATTATGAAAGAATACGCATGCAGCAAATAAACTTAACTTTTACATACAAAAGCTTTGTAAATAAATTATTTTTAAATTTACCCCAGTTATTAGACTTTCATTTACTATATTCTGCCTATGAACAATGATTACTGCTGCTATATGGTCTTTCTTTACTTGTTGCCTCATATTTGTCTTTTGTCAAAATAAGCTTCAGTACATATCAAATCTGAACAATGCAAAAAAAAATGTTTTTCTTAAATTTTTATCTTTTTGTCTTTGTTGGCAGTTTTAGCTCCAAAATAATCTTGAGGACTTCCAACAGCATCAACAACTAAAATGGATAGAACATTTAATTCTATGAGAAAATGACATAATGAAGGTGTTGATGTTCCACACTATTTCAAAGAAAAGGATAGGAAGGAAGTATGCATCAATATCAGAACCTAGCGATAAGTACACGTAAATATTACAGCGAGCAAAAAGAATTACTGAACTTGAGAAACCTATTTTCATGAAATATTCTTTAATAGAAAGATTTGATAAATTTAAACTAACAATAGCACTGGCTGCTCAATCTAAGAACGCTGAATAATTCCTTATAAGTAAACAGTTAATATTACCATTACTCGTTAGGGATAAGAACAGTATGATCACAACCTGATGGCTATAGAATGAAGAAAAGTATGAGTAGCACTTAATCAATGAATGTTGAATCTTTCCTTGTAAGAAAACAGCTAATATTACCATTAGAAATGAGAGCATCAGATACTATATTTTGATCCTAGTCTCATGACCAGAGAGTGAAAAAAAAGTGTAACTTGAGTAGCACTGGCTGCTCGGTAAATGAATTCTGAATGTTTCCTGATAAAGAAACTGCTAATATTCCAATTTGGAAAGGGAAACCTATTTTGACAAAATGTCTCATCACTGGAATCCCACCATGTTTGATGACAAAAGACAATGAGTTGTTGAGTAAGAACTTCATTCAAAACTGCCTAACTGGGTATTACAAGAAAGAATAATGCTGTTATCACCATTCTAGTCAACTATGACAGATGCCAATCAAATTATTGAACCTTAAGAGCCTCTTTTTGGGACAAGAGTATTTCTGTTCATGTTAGATGATTGTTAGAGAACAGTGTGCAGAAAATACCAACTTATAAAACACCACACCATTTACAATGAAGAAAGTACACGTCCTGTATTATGAATATGAGGCGAACACTTTCTTTTGCATATAACAGTAGAGTTTGAGAGAATAACGCAGATGTACTGCTTAGAGGAATTGCTTATGTGAATTGAAACCAGTGTATAGTCAGTCAAAGGAAGTGGTAAAATTAACAGTGACAATGTAAACCTGCTAATTCTTTTTTCTCTTTTGGATGAACCCTTGTGTACAGTTGAGATCACTCTTTTGCAGATGAAACTGTCTTATTTTGTTTGAGTTTATTTACTGTAATACAACGGATCATGGAGAAATGCAAAATTCAAAACATACAAGTAAAATAATTGGGTGGACTAGGCTCTCTAACTCTGATAGAGCAATTTTTCTAGGAAAAAGATAGCCATGAATTCAAAACTAGAAAAGATCCTGGGAGGAACCACTTCATTCCTTTCCTGAAGAAAAAGAAACTGGAAAGCCACGATCACCTACGTCATTAGGCAATTTTTTTTTCTTTTATCAGATAAAAAAAATAACTGGTTGTATTTCTTGACAATTTATAGCTTTTTATTAAATAAATAATAATAATAATGAGACAGATAATAATAATAATAATAATAATGAGACATGATAATAATAATAATGAGACAGATAATAATAATAATGAGACAGATAATAATAATAATAATGAGACAGATAATAATGATAATAATGAGACGGATAATAATAATAATGAGACGGATAATAATAATAATAATAATGAGACGGATAATAATAATAATAATAATGAGACATAATAATAATAATAATGAGACAGATAATAATAATAATAATGAGACAGATAATAATGATAATAATGAGACAATAATAATAATGAGACAGATGATAATAATAATAATAATAATGAGACAGATAATAATGATAATGAGACAGATAATAATAATAATAATGAGACAGATGATAATAATAATAATGAGACAGATAATAATAATAATAATGAGACAATAATAATAATGAGACAGATAATAATAATGAGACAGATGATAATAATAATAATGAGACAGATAATAATAATAATAATGAGACAGATAATAATAATAATAATGAGACAGATGATAATAATAATAATGAGACAATAATAATAATAATGAGACAGATAATAATAATAATGAGACAGATAATAATAATAATAATAATGAGACAGATGATAATAATAATAATGAGACAGATAATAATAATAATAATGAGACAGATAATAATAATAATAATGAGACAGATAATAATAATAATAATGAGACAGATGATAATAATAATAATGAGACAATAATAATAATAATGAGACAGATAATAATAATAATGAGACAGATAATAATAATAATAATGAGACAGATAATAATAATAATAATGAGACAGATGATAATAATAATAATGAGACAGATAATAATAATAATAATGAGACAGATAATAATAATAATAATGAGACAGATGATAATAATAATAATGAGACAGATAATAATAATAATAAGACAGATAATAATAATGAGACAAATAATAATAATAATAATAGTCTTGCAATGTTAATAAAATAGAAAAAATCCTGGATCCACCCTTCAAATTTACTCAGTTGTTCATTGATTCATGGATCATTGTAGTGTTAAAGCTGAGAGCAGACAACAGGCTTGTTCTCAGGGTGCAGCTTCTTCCAGGTGAATGTTTGTGGCTCAATGAAGGAAAAACATTGTTTGGCTCGATCATTACTCACAAAATAAAACCATGAGATGATTGTAGCAGTTGGCAAATTTGATTCAGTTGTAACCTTCTGCTGTAACCAGACGAGGCAGAGATGAGGGGGCAAGTGGTCTAATCAGATTGCAGGTGTGCACCTTCCTTTTTGTGTAGTGGTGACCGGTCCTCTGTGCCTCTGGCTTGTTCCTGCTAGAGACCACTGTCTTATAGAGAACAGGCCTTCTTTTTCCTGCCAGCTCTATCTAAAAAAAAGTAATTCATCAAGTCTGCTCCACTCAGCTGAACTTCTTTGTCAGGGTTGTTTGAAATGGTTCTTGTGAGATCTGATTCACTCAGCTGATGTTCATAAATTTCAAATTACTGTTGAAACAATTTCTGTAACATCTTTCAGATGTTTTCCTTTAACAAGATATTGGCTGACATTGATATTTCTACATCATCCTTATGTTGATGAAATTAATTCAGAGTTTTTAGTGATGTTATGTGGACAGACTCATAGGGACAATAACTGGCTTGTCCAGCTTCATGGAAAGTGGTTCTTAAGTACCAAAAGTTGTTTACTTCTGAAGACCAGACATGAGTTTTAAAAAAATGAAACATATTTAAACAAAGAAAAAGACTAATATAAAATTGATTTTTCTTTCTTATTAAAGTAATCAACAATTTATGTTTTTGTTTTTTCTTTGAAGGTCATCATGTTCCTCAAGTGGTTGGCTGTGCCTACATAAGTAAAAGAGATGCCAGTACAGGTACACTGACTGGTTTGAAAAGAGGTAGAGGTGGACGGTCATCTTTCAGTGGCATTGTAGCCACAGTTTTTGGTGCCACTGGATTCCTTGGTAAACATGTTGTTAATCAACTTGGTAAGATTCTCTTTTTTTCTTTTTTTTTTTTTTCTTTCTTTCTCTCTTTTTGTTTTTGTTTATTAACATCATCAATGTAGCACTTTACAGTTACAGGTTGTAAGATGCTTTCAGGTGAAAGAAATTAAAACAATCAGGTTTTATTGATAGTAAAATTTGTTGTTCATGATGACGGTTGTCTTTGAGTATAGAATCCAGAGGTTAGCAGTGAATATTTCGAAGGCAGTAGGGAAGCGTTGTTCAGGTTAGTGGTGGATATCCCGGTAAAGTAGCAGAGCGTATTTCTTCCTTCTGTTCCTCTTCGCCTGACAAGCTGGCACTGGACATTCGGATAGAGTAAACAAAATGGCCACCTTTATACACGATGGATTGAATATTCTACGTCTTCTGATTGGTTAACCTTCTATGGTGGACTATAAAGTGAGTCAAGTCATTTGGGCTAGCTCACTAGTTACATAGTATACACAAAAAACTGCAACAAGATTTTCTTTGTTAAATATTAAAATTCTGGATCAAAATTAGATTCTCTCTTCTAGAAAGTGATATCCGAGAAGTATCTTTTGAAAGAAAGATCCACACACTTGGCTCTTACTGTATAATTTACAAAGCAAGCAAAATCTGTACAGTTTCTTTTTTTCTTGACACCTACAGAAAACACTTCAACAATGACAATTTTTAAAACTATAACAATTTCAAATTTATCTCAATTGTTTTTACATCATGTATATTCCTATTTGTTTTGACTTCCATAGGGGGATAATTTTACAATGAACTTACATAGCAAACTGGGAACCCCTATTAACTTTTATAAACTTTAATAAAAAATAATCTTATATTTGTCATCTAGATTGCTTAATGATTATTTCTATTATGTTTAGTATACAAGTACGCCTTCAAACTCTTCTTGGGTATGATGATAAACTACAACTGGCAGCAAGGTCACTATTTGGGAGATTGGAGATTTTGAGAAGCATGGAACTACCTCTTCAATGCTGTTGTTCCCAGGTCCACCCTGATTCGGAATGGTAGCACCTGTTAAGGCCCCAGATATAGGCAAATAGTGAACCTCCAAACTAAATACATTTTTCAGGCAATGCATTTTTATATAAAAATTTACCAACAGGACACATACCAACTTCACCCAAATCCATATAAAATTACTACCAAACAAACAAAATGAACTCTTTCATGATATTAATCCTTATAATATCCAACAATTCCTTAAATCAAACTGTATTTCAAAACCACTACAACATAAAACACATATCACTGCTTCAAGTAATTATGTCCACACAAACATGTATATATGCAAAATCTGAGTATCATTTACCATGGATTCAATTGTGAAAGTAGAATAACATATTTTTTATTACTTCTAAGCTCCCAAGAAAATTAAAATTTCAGCATTAAATGACCCATAACATTAAACAGACAAATCAATAATTCAAACTCTTCTTTTTTTTTTTTTTTTTGTTTTTGTTCTTGTAAATATTTTATCTTTGGTACAATTCTCTACTTCAAAGCTCCTTGTTAAAAGTAAGTGACTCTTAAATTTAATAAGAAACCTCCCCCTCTCTCTCTCGTGTGATCCTCATAAAAAAAAGAGATTTCTCTTATAGTAGGAAAACTGTCCAAATGATCTTCATGCAAGGGAGATAACCCTTAAGCTTAGAAGGAAAACTCTTTTGAGGATAACAAGCTGAATCTACTTAACCATTAATAAACTTTAAGAGTGAACTGGGTATGCGAGACATTTGGCCTTGTGCCAGATATGTTTTAGTTCAAGTAAATCACTTGTACAGCAGAGCATTGCATATTTGAAATGTTATGGGCTTAGCTTTTCATTCTTTCATCTTTTCTGTTTGGTGTAAAATGATCCATCAGGGTTGGCACATTGTTAAACAGAATCTGACCAACCAATCCTTCATTTTGTCATCAGAAATAAGTATTTTTTTTATTTATTTTTTTTATTTATTTTTTTTTTCTAAAAACTTCTTTGTTAAATGAAAGCTCAAAGAATGTTTTGCTGTTCTAAATTTCTATATTTTTGTTTCAGGAAAAATTGGCTCTCAGGTGATTATTCCTTACCGAGGCGAAGCGTCTGAAGTGTTACGGCTGAAACTCTGTGGAGATCTTGGACAGATTCTCTTTTTTGTAAGTAATTCATTAATTAAATTTGTAATTGAAAGGAAAATAATAATATTAAATAACCCATTATGGTTGATATGCAGTAAAACAAAACAAACCAAACCAATCTAAACCAAAAAATACATATTCTATTCATACGAATCTATCCTAAAAATATTGTCAGCATTAAATAACCCATTGAGGTGTTGATATGCCATAAAACACGACAAACTAAACCCTCACAGACTTTGTGATTTCTCTATCTGGGCTTGGTAAATTTCCAGACTTATCAAAAGCCTTGATTCTGTGAATGCTACTGGTTCAGATAGGATTCTTGTGTTTGTTCACTCACCCAGATTTATCCCAAATACTGGAAAAATTGTTTAACTGCTGCCTGAAGGAGAAACATTTCTCATTTTTACGGAACATATCAGCTGTATAACCTGTTTACAAGAATTTGGGTGAGTGCTCATCCCAATCCCAATATCAGCCTATCAGCAAACTCATCATGAAGAAAGTTGTCGATCACCTCAACTTGAATAACCTTTTGGAACAGACAGTATGGATTTTGCTCCTCTAGGTTCACTGCTGATGTCCCAACTGTCATTATGCATACAATCAATGAAGCACTTAATAAATTCATCATGAGAGCAATTGTCTTAGATATCTCCAAGGCCTTTGATAAGGTGTGGCTTAGGGGTTTGCTACACAAACCCTCCACCAACTATGGTATCTCTAGAAGAGTTTTCTCGGTTGTCAAGTCCTTCCTATCATGCAGGTCCATGAATGTCTTTGTTAACTGCCAATCGTCTGATGCCCATGAGATCAATGCAGGCATTGCTCAAGGCTCTCTTCTTTGGTCCTACTTTTTTTCTTAACAATCTATCTAAGAACATTATTAAATATATAAGCAAATGATACCGTGGTTTATGAGTGTACTTCGAGAAATCTACACCACCAGGCTCTGGCATCTGATCTATTCTCGGACTAAGCTTTCATGGCACAATTGGGAAGGAATTGGCTTCTGTCATTTAGTACCACCAAAACCAAGAGTTGGTGGTTGAAATTATTTCTGTGTATAACTAATGCATTGAATAAATTGTTATGTAGGAGATGATCCTTCATAAATAAATTTTTTTATAATTTCTATAAGTTTCACCAATATATAGTTAGGAACAACTGTAATATTATTTTATATATGCCTGCTTTAGAATTTTTGTTATTGTAGACATTTTTAAATATTTAAAATAAAATGATGCATAAATAATTTAGCAAGGGAGAATAGTAAATAATTGTTGCATTGAAAAATAGATGACTACATAAATATGAAAATTCAATAACATTTACTTCTGATATTTTTCTTCCACTTTGCTTGTGTGTATGGTTGCAGAGTGGAGTCTCCACATTGAGGGTGTTTCTTGAGCAGATGGAATATGTTGGTGGGGAGAAGTTTTCCTTATGTCTTTTACTTGCACATATATAAATAGGAGTAGATAGGTTTGCCTGTCTTCTGGTTCACACTCTTTGCTGGTCTTTTGAACAGGAGTAGAGTGTATCTGGAACATTCACTGTAAACATTTTTGCCATAGGAAAACTCATCTCAGGAAACTTCACTGTATAGGATTTTTGCCTTAAGAAAATTTTGCTGCAATTTTTTTTTTTTTTTTTTTTTGATACCCTTATCTTGAACGTCCCTTTTTGGAGTAATGTTCAATTTAATATGTGAAGTACCTTGTTATCAATTATATATGGATGTTTTTTTTTTTACAGGGTGAAACATCAGAAAAGAAATTAAAAAGTAAACATTTAAAAAATAAGACTAAAAATATATCAAATTAACAAAGAAATAATTTAAAATGTGTGCAAATTCCAAGCAATGCTTCGTAAATGTTTTTTTTGCGTTTGGCTTTAATGAAGCATTTTCTGTTGAAATCTTGCATTGATATCAATATATATTTTCTTCATTTGTACTGCATCTCCTCGATCTAAATCACACTTTTTTGCTAATGTCTCTTCCTTTTTCAAATACACAATTAGTTTCCACAAATTTGGGTGCATCCTATAACTTTGCTTATTAAAATGTTTAAGTCAAAGTAACATTAGTGTGAGCCAGATATACTTGATAACAAGTTACTTTGCATATTAAAAAAAAAAAATGCGGCAAAATTGTTTTATGGCAAAAATCCTATATGCCAAAGTTTTCTATGGTAAAAATTCCTGAGGCAAATTTCCCGACGGCAAAAATGTTTACAGCAAATGTTCCTAGAACTGGAGTAGAGGTTTATCCCCCGTTTCCTGTTCAGGATTGAGTTTCTGGTTCCTTCTAAAGTCTATTTCAACTCTATACTCCTGACATCTCCACTTAAACTGTAAAACTTTATTTACTTTTTCTTTTTTTCCTCAATAGGTACAAATAGGTTTGCCTATCATTTGGTTCACATTCCTACTCAATCTATTGAACTGGAGTAGAGGTTTATTCTTTGTTTCCAGTTTAGGAAGTTTTTGCATTCTCTTTCACTCCTAATAAACCCTTGCATCTTAGTGGGATTATTGCCTTGCTTGGGCTGAATTGATTAACAAAAAAAAAAAAGAGAAAAGCTGTAAGGTTTCATCATCACTTAGCAAACGTGTGAGAATTCTTCAGTCATCATGAATCAATCGATTGGGATTCAGGCTCACTGTAAGCCTCAAAGGGAATGTGTAAATATAATCTATTGCTAAAGTTACTGGAAAAAGGGTTGGTTCCTTGTACCACACCAGTAAGTACTTGACTCCTTCTGTCATGCTCCATCTTTATCAAGAGCCAGATCAGATCAAAAATGGGTTATTGCTGTCATACGTGGTCTGATCAGAAAGTATCAGGACTGATGATAGTAAAAAAAACTATATAACATATCAGTTCAGTTTTTAATCTCCTTCAAAGTAGACCCCTTTTGAAGCCGTACACATTATCCAGTGTTGTTTCTATTAATGGAATTCCTTTTTTGGGATAATGAAAAAAAAAAAACATTAATAAATTTGTTAAAAAAAATATTAATATAATTTATAGTGTTCTGAATTCAAGGAGAGACAATGCATACATTTGAAGCCCCCAAGAAATAAACAGATTCCAAGCCTAACTGAAAAAAAATATTGTTTTATGTATGTAAGTGTATCATAATTCTAGTTTGTTTACGTGGGATTCAGATGATAATTTATATTCATAAGCGTGTGTGTGTGTTTTTATCTAGTAGACATTGTTTTTTGAATGTTGATTTGGAAACGTTTTTACATAAACATCATTTGTTTTAGAGAAATATGTTAGATTCTTTAAAAATGGATTCCATAAAGGTTTGTGATTTAGTGTTTTTCATTTATTAATATTCCCTCGAAGTACTTTTGACAAAGAATTGTTCTTTTTTTTTTTTTTTTTTAATTCTGGAGTCATTTGTAAAATCAAAGTTTTGTCCAATTTTGTTCCCATGTATTACAAGCAAGTTTAAAGGGTAACCCAAACAAAATCCCTTTTTATGTTTGTAGATACAGCTTTTGAATTTAGAAATGTCTCACTGATAAAAGTGCTTATATATTGTAAGCAATTTATTGGATATTTACCAGCATTTGAAGTGATGTTGAATTTATTTTTCTTCCTAATTATATTGCCGATTATCTTGGATGTGGTGCTAAAGATCGTAGTATGAGGGATAACTAATTTATTTACAAATTTTTTAGATCGTTTTAGAGAATAGGATTATGAATTTTGTGTTGTTGTTGATGCTATACGTGCTATCAATGGTGTCTAGTTTTTTGATGTGTATGTTCACCAAATTGTGTTGCAATATTCTTGACCTGATCGATTTGCCAAAATGTAGCTAAATCATGCTGAAACAACAATTCCTATGGGATCACCAAAGTTAAGCAACATAAAGCATGGTCAGCACCTAGATGGGTGACCATTTGAAAATACCAAGTGCTGTAACTTAGATCTGTAGATGGTGTAATCAATAATGGCTCAGAATTGTTAATCGGAGAGCTGAGTTCCAATTCCAATTGGTTTTCTTTATATTCACTTATGCGCAAATACCCTTGGAAATGGTATGAGTCCATCACTTCTCCCCAACTAGCTAATAATTTAATTAGTAAGTCTTGTATTACTAAACCATTATTATCTCAAAAAAGAAAAAAAAAAAAGAAATATATAGTACAGGTAATAATTCCATTGGTGTATGATCCTAGTAATATAAAATATTAAAGCTGATCCACAAAAAGAGCTCAATGTATTTATCATAACAGAGCCAATAAATAGTATTACACAACAAAATCCCAAATTACCTCATATGGTAGGGATAGATTTATTTCAACTGACAAAAACCATGTTAGTCTTATTCAACCCCAGTGTATAGACTGAGTTTGTGTTGGAATTAGAAATTTAATTTTGACAGCTGTTGAAAAATTTATACAGAATTTATCCGTTTCAATGTTTCGGTCAGACGAAATGCATGAGATAGTGGTTAGGGGAGGGTGGAAGGTATTATCCTTAAAGGGAAGAAGTTTTATAAAATTAATGACATTGAATTGGGGTTATATGAAGAATGATGTGTTAATTTAAAACTAAATGAGGGCTGAAAAAAGAGTTTTTTTATAAAAAAATTTTATACAAGGTTAGGTTCCTACTTAAGAATACTCTTCCAAAGATAAATTATATTTAAAAGATTAAAAATAAATCATATTTAGATAATTTATATTAAATGTAAGTAAAAATATATTTTAAAAAAATTATATTAAAGAATAAAAATATATCTAAAAATAAATTTTTTTTTTTTTTTTTTTTTAAGCATTTCACCCCAAGCAAGGCGGGAAGCCACTAGGATGCAAGGGGTTACAGAAAATTTGGAGCAAGATCAAATAGGAGTGATAGAAGAAAGGATGAGGAGAAGGGTAGTGGATAGATCAAGGCAACTGGAGATGTCGATTGACATTACATTTGAATAGCTGGAGATTATAGCTCTCAGGGAAACTGGAATAGGGAAGGGAGTTCCACAGGCGAGAGGTGCGAGACATGAAGCTATTGGAGTAGAAGAGACGGCTACATTTAGGAGTTTCAACAGTTAAAGGGTGAGAGCGGGATGCCAGCCTCGTAGGGCGCTTGAATTCATGAAGTCTGGGAACCAGCGAATGCAGCTCCTCGGAGCAATTGCAATAAAGTATTTGTAAAACGGACAGAGAGAGGTGACGGCGCATCTGTGAGAAAGTGACTGTAGACGAGATGCCAGAACAGGGCCAAATATATTGCATATCCGCCTCTGGAGCCTATCAAGGACCCCGAGGCAAACGGAAGGGGCACCAGACCATATATGGCAGCAATACTCCATGCAAGGGTGAATTGTTGATTTGTAGATCTGGAGGATCGATTCCGGGGAGAAAAATTTCCTGGCACGGCACAGGGAGCCAACTTTATAATAAGATAAAATAAATTATACATTCTTAACTTTAATTTTTAAATACATTTTTTAACTTTGGAATTAATATAGTTTTCTTTCCTTCCATGTAGCCTTACCACTTGAAGGATGAAGACTCCATAAGAAAAGTGATGAAATATTCCAATGTTGTAATTAATATGGTTGGACAAGACTGGGAAACTCGGTAAGTATAATTATTTACAATGTCAAAATTTTGTTTGACAGAGAACCTTTTTAAGTCTGTTTAACCTTTGAACCCAGAGGAAGCATTTACAACTCGAGAATGATCTCTCTCAAATCTGATAAATGTTGGCATAATTGTTCCACTTGCAGTGCTCACAAACCTGTGCATGAGTGCCCAATTTTTTTGTAAACAGCACTATAAAGATATGTGTGCACAGAAGGTTATGTAACTAAAATCATTTCCTGGTATAATAATATGCTTATAAAATATTACCTTATAGAATAATACACTCAGACCTGTGTGTGTAAATGGACTTTGATATCAACACCCTGAGTTGAGAGTCTGTTTCATGCTAAACACAATCATCAGGTCATGTGCATATGTCTACTTTTATATTTATATATGCACTATCATTGATATTGGATACTTTAACTCATAAATATAACATACCTTAAAACTATAATATATTCATACATGTTTCATTAAATAATATAGACAAGTGTTGACTATTTATTTTATGTAAATTCTTTTCATAACATCTGATAAGCTTAATAACATTATCATTAAACAAAGAAAGAAAATCACAATATTGATACATATTTTTTAATCCAATCTAAGCATTCGGCTTACATAAGCCATTATCAAAGATGACAATTACTGTACAATATATTAAGCAATACACGGACAGGAATGTGATGATAGTCAGTTTCTGTTTACATGGATGATTTCCAGCATCTTATATGCACGTGTTTATCATTGCTTAGAAATCATCCATGTAAACAGAAACAGACATTATCAAAAGAATTTACTTACAATAAATAGACAACACTTGTCTATATTATTTAATGAAACATGTATGGATGAAAAAATTCTGCCTAAATACACACTATATATATATATATATATATATATATATATATATATATATATATATATATATATAATATAAATAAATCAAAATAAATTAAAATTTATCCTTAAATTTATATAAAATAAATGAAATAAATAAAAAGACCCCGGAACACCCTACCTAGGTGTACGCATGGGAGAAAAAAAAACAGAGCCTCTATTTCAATAACCAGGATTTCCTATGCCTACACCTATTTAAAATCTTAGATCTTTGATTTAATAAATTATTTGGTTCATTGGAGGTGGCTATTGCTAATTTTTCCTCCATGCATAATAAGCAATACTTGTCCCCTGCTTTATACTTATGGCATTTTTTTTAGTATTCCCCATTTTAAGATGGGGTCAATACCATCTTCCTGTTTAATATTCCATATCTATGTAGACTAGAGGCTCTGTTTTTTTTTGTTTTTTTTTCTCTATCTTCTGTCACAAGGTTTTATGCTAATTAGATTTTAGTGGTTTTATCAATAAATACTGTTTCATTTATCCCTGCTCTACATAGCGTATTGAGCACTATATGTTTTAGCTTTATCCCTTGCTTGGAGTTTTTTCTTTGGACTAGAAACTTAAGGCACTGGGTGATTTATTTCACCCTGTTCAGATGTTTCTAGTTCTTTCTTTTTTTTTTTTTCCAATTTTTTTCCTTGGATACCAATTTGTTTTGATAGATTTACAAGTGCTATCTGAGGTTTTTTCCAACTGTGTATTACTAATATATATATATATATATATATAAATATCTCTTTAAAAATTTTCTAAAATAATTGCATACCATGATAAAAAAACAAAAGAGGCTCCAGACTCAAAGATTAGTATTAGAAAATGTAGTGTCTGTTTTTGGTGTTAAAAACACATTGTTTTGAAAATTCTTGCAAAAATGAAATAATTTTTGGATTTTAATTAAATTTTCAGGACTCGTTCACAATTATATTTTAAATATTTTTTTTAGAAAATCTTGGTAAAATAATTTTTTTTTTAAATTTTTTACATCTGTTAGCCCCACTTGATTTTATGACATTTCAAGAAATTAAAATTTCAGCCTCTTCATATTTATATTAGTTAAAAGTGAAACTCCTTGGAGAATTTAAATCACTAATTTGTTTTTGTCAAACAGAAACACCATTTACTGAAAATCTGCTCTAAAATAAAAAAAAAAATACAAAAAAACTCTGATATTATTTAATTAGAAAATCTTTTAATTGCTTTTATAATTAAGATATATTAAATACACTATTGTCCTAAGAAAAATATTTTTTTGATGAATAATAAATTTTTACAAGAATTTTCATTTACACTATTCAAACTGTTGTCCTCATGTTTGTTGCCGTATTCAAGATGTTTTGGCTGTTGTATACTCTGGCCTTCTTCAGGTGACTGGAATTTCAAAGTGAACCCTTTATTTTATCTACTGAGGTAGATTGTTCTAGTTCCACGTTCCATACCTCTTCCAGATGTCTCTCTTTAACTCAACTTTCCAAGTTTTTGTTCACCACTGCAGTCACTGGATTCAACCAACACTTTTATCCACAGGGCCATGTGTCCTTAAGGACATCAGTGTATGAATTTTGGGGACTTCTAAACTATTTTTTTTACCAGAGCTCCTATTGCAAATTTTGTTTTTATTATTGCTTTTCTCTAGCACTCTGTATTACTGTTTCCATATTGTTTTCATTTCTATGTTTGGTCGGCCTAGCATATGTGAATATGGCAACGGTCCAAACAATGTAAATAGTGTAAATAATTACAATACCTCATCTGAGAAATATAGACAGATATTGAAGAATCTCATCAGTGGTTCTCTTCAGTCTAGAATTGGCCCACTTTGACTTTCTGGAAATTACAAAATCTGGACAAAATTAATAAGAGCAAGTTAGCTGATGGCAATCCTGAAAGGAGACTAGCAGAAGAAGGGATTCCTGGGATAAGTGTCTGAGAGCCCAAAAGGGAGTAATTTTAAGAGAATAACATTGTATTGTCTGAGTTAGGCGGTTTTTTGTTGGTTTCAGATTTTGTATGCAATTTCATTTAACAAAACTTAATGTTTTTATTTTTACATATTTACTAGCTTAAAAGCCGCCCAATAGGGTGGAATTTAAACTAGCTCCTGTAGAGGGTTCTTTATTGGGCCTTCGGACTGTTCAGGAGTTTGAGAGTCTCTAAGTCTTTGTATACTCTCAGCATTGGAAGCTCTCTTGACTGTTGTTCATTTGCACGGGATTTTCTTCTCCTTGCTGCAGCCCTGGCTATTTTGATTGCAATCTTGTCCTCTGTTGGCAGAGATTTCTTTTTGCAAGACGCTCTGCTGCTGTATGCAATAGGCATCAATAAACTACATAAGAACTCAAAATTGGTTGCTGCATTTAAGTATTGCATTAATATTTAATCTTGTTTTTAAAATTCTGCTGCCACTTAATTTAAAGACAATTTGATGTGCATAGATCCTTACTTTTTATACAAACAATTATTTTTATTTCATGGGTGACTTTCACTGGATTTTATAATTTGATTTATTTATTTCCAAGTTATAAAAATTGTTATCATACAAAAAAATTTGTCGCAAAAAGTCACATAAAAATTGCTGAAAACAATTGCAATAATGAAAACTTTGGTATCCAAAATTTCTGTAACATGAGCTATTGAAAGTTAGAGAGTTGTGTCTCTTTAATTGAAAAAGTGTGACACAGTGACAAACTGGCACTTGCATTTATTATATATAGATTTACTTATATATTTATTTTTCAATGAAACAAAACAAAAATTCTGTTTCCAAAAAAAATAATTTTTTTTTTTTTTTTTTTAAACCTTTTAGAAATTTCAATTTCCAAGAAGTCCATGTTGATGGTGCCCGTGCAATTGCTCGGATTGCTAAGGAATCAGGTGTTGAAAAACTTGTTCATTTGTCTTGCCTAAATGCCAGCCCTGACCCTCAAAAAATCTATATGAAAACTGGATCTAAGTTCCTCAAATCAAAGGTAAGGTCTTTTGTGCCTGTGTTACCCTTTTGTCTTGTTAGTTTTTGGTTTGTTACTTTAAAAAAAAATTCTTAATCAGATGAACCTCTTTATGAACTAGAATGTTTTTGCAACTAGCCAATGCATGCTGAAATCCTCACAGTATTTAGTATTGCTGAAGTTTCACTCACATTTTTGTCGAGATTACAAATTCTACGTTTCACTTAATTTCAAAAACTGATCAACAAAAATTGAATAAGCTGATTTGTTTAGAAAAATACTTTAACAAAAAAACCCTACATTGCGGTTTAATTTTATAAGACTTTATGACAAGTAATATTGTTTAAGAAAATTGATTTTTTTTTTTTTTTCCTTTTTAACAGCAAAGAATAAATTCTTAGGACTTCTTACTCTTGAGCATACAGCATACAACTGGCAATGTATAAATATTTCTTTCTGGTGCCAAATTCCAAATTTTTAAATTGTTTGGCCTTGTCATTTGTTTATAATTCTTGCAAATGCAATATGAACTGAAAACTGAAATTCTTATAAACTGAAACCATAAAGAAAAGATAGACAAAAACAATATTGCATTTTTATTAAACAAGTATTTATTAAACAAAGTATTTATTAAACAAGTATTTATTGTCCCTCGCACATCATGTGACCGCTCTCGGCCAATGGGGTCCTGGTTGGGTGTCTCTCCTCCTCCCTCATGTATCACGTGACCACCCTCGGCCAATGAGACTCTGGTCGGTATCTTTCCTCCTTCCTTCGTCTCTAATTGGGCGTGGACAATCCGTGGCTTTGTTCTGGGGGAAGAAACACATTGCTAAAAAAAACAAAATTTAAATTGCCCTTTTCGTACCAGATCGAATGACGCTATCGGTTTCTTTCACACCCGGTATCTGTCAAACAGCCTACCGCTAATTGGATACGATCTAAGAAAGGGATTTTCTTAGACCTGTCGGTGTCTCTCTGGAGCTAATACAAATATTTCACCTTTTTCTTTCGCTCGGAGCTTGTTAACAAAAATCTTAATTATCTCAAAAAAAACGACATCACCTTGGGTGGTTTTTTTTTTCAACTCTGGAATCGTCTGGGTTCTTGTATTAATGCTTTGTTTTCATATCCTTAGATACACTTCCCCATCTGTTACCTATCATCTCAATGACATCCTTTTCATTTGTTACTTATCAATATTTTTTTTTTTTCATTGTCCCTAAAATTTTATTTCTTCAACCAAATTGATAACAAACTCCCATCCTCCGCGGACACGAAAGTAGGTCGGTGCTTGACTTGATATTTTTGACATCTGATATGTGCCAGTCGAGAGTGTGTGCTTATGACCGGTTTGCGTATTATATTTTTTTTCTTTCTTTTTCCTCTTTCTCTTCCTTTCTTTCTTTCTCCCAGATCGTCTAAACGCAATTAGAGAATTATTCTCAACTCCGAAATATTTTTCATCTCTAAATAACTATGAAATGGTTAACAAACCGAAAAAAATAAATCATATATTTATGAATATCTCTTTTCAGTTTTCTAATTATGCATGGTGCCACATTCCCCTAACAGTAGTAATAATATAAATTTTATTATGGAAATGTACACAACATGGATTTGAAATATCAAATAAGCTTTTGGCGAGGCTTCGATCCATGTCCCATTTATTTGTCAAGAAGTCATACTGTAACATCTGCTTTAACTCTTTAGCACCCCCCCCCCGGCAATTATTGGCTCTTAAGGTCTCACTGTTTCTAGTCAGTGTCTTATTGTTTGTGTGACTTCCGGCATTATTTGTGATGATGTCATCAAATATTATGGCCGAGTATATATACTGATATCAATATTAAAGGGTCAATGTTTGATTTTCAGAAGCTAATGTTTGCATCAAATTTCACCAGATTCTTTGTTTACCCCTAAATGCTTAATGCCACCATTTTGTTTTTACTCATAGTATTAGTAACTAGAAAAATTCCCTTCATACAAACATTTCTCTTAATAATAATTTTAAAATAATTCAGAAGACTCTTTTATTTTATTTATGGCAACTGGATTTTTAGTGATTGCCTCACTTGGTTTCTGTTATTTGATACTGTGGATCTGAAAAATGGCATTTTATTGCGGTCGCTATTACTTCTCAACCTTTTTGGCTAAGATCAAAGTGTAATATCTGTTCTTATCAGCTTAATCTGATTCTCTCTTTCAACTGCTTTCATTTTTTTTTCTTTCATTTTCTCACTGAAACCAAGTAGTGTCCTTTCTTCTCTTTCCAGATGATCAAAATGGAATAGTCCATTATTTATCAGCAGGGTGTAATAGTCGTGCAAACCAACAAAGAGTGGGACAAGCACAGTTATAATAGGATATTGAATTCTTATTATTTGTTAAAAAATTGTTGTCAATTATTGTTAATTGAGATGAAAGAAATACTGATCAAAAATATATTATCAGTCCCATATCATCGAAGCTCAAAAAGTTTACCTTTTATTGATTTACTTATCTGTCAATGCCTATCTCTATCTTTCTGTACAGTATGAAGGAGAATTGGCTGTCAGGGAAGAATTTCCAGAAGCGATTGTCTTCCGCCCTTCTGATATGTATGGCTCTGAGGACCGTTTCCTCAGATACTATTCCAACATGTGTAAGTAAACAATTCAGAAAAGCAATTTTTTTCTCCACTAATTTATTCAAACTGTTGTCCTCATCTTGGTTGTTATAATCCTAACCTTTCTGTCATTGTCCCCCTTGGACTTCTTCAGATGGTGACATTATGATAATTTAAAATTGATTTTTTTCTCTCAGTGGGTGATTGATTTCCTATTCACAGAATGTAATCAAAGAAGGATTAAAAAAAAAAAACATACCTGACATTAAATACAACATATTTGCTTTATTTATTTCTTTTTTGTTTTAATATTTGAGAAAAAAAAAAAGTCTTTTCAAAATGGTATGGCTTGACATAATTTATTCAGATTAATTTTAACCTTTTTTTTGTTTAGTAACTAATGTCACCTACTCATCACCACAAAATCTTTGAATCCTTTCAACCTAGATTCCTTGTTTCTTTACTTTTCCCACAAATTATCTACAGAATGAAATTAGAGATATTTTCATTTTTTCTTTGATTAATTTAAATAAAATTCCTTGTTTCATATTTATTTTTATATCAATTTATAATTTCTATATTTAATGGCATAAAAGTGTCTGTTTTATTCCCTCTACATCTAAAAAAAAATGTTTCTCCAAGTTTTACAGGTTGAGTATCGTTTATCCAAAATCTGAAAGTTTTTGAGGTGCTGACATGATTTGACACAAATGGAAAATTTCAGAAAGCACTGGGATTGTTTTTAGGTGATGTGCAGCTGTTATAAGTGACCTCATCTTCCCTGGATGGGGGTTTCCAAGCTCAGCTACGTAGCCCACGTTGGCACCAGTTATTTTTTGCTAGCTATTGTCATAAGCAACACTTTTGTACGTGGATTACTTACCAAGTGTTTTGTGCTCAGTAAAGATATTATTCAAAATGTCAAAGTCCTGCATTTATATATTTTTGTAGTGATCATGTTCTTTCTACATGTGCAGAAGTACAAAACATTTTTATGCAAAATCTTAAAAATCCGTGTGCGCATTACATGACTACTTGATGTAGAAGTACTGTTTGGTGTTACGTTGATATATTTTTTGTAATTAGTGATCATGTTTTTTGTACTTGTACAAAAAGTACAAAATATTATTTTTATGTGAAATCTTAATTCAACCATTTAAAAATCTATGTGAGCATTACATTAGTGTCATTATCTGTATTTACACAAAACGTATTAAATTTTAAATAAAACTACTTTTATGGTATATTTAGAAGATGTGTTAATAAATGTAAAGGGATATCTTGTTTATGCATGGGTTTCATTCCCAAGCTGCCCCATTTTATAGATGCTATATACAAATTAAATAATTTATTTACATTATTTGTATTGTTCAACTGTTGCTCTCATCTTCTTTGCCATATATAGTAGAATATTTTAGTTCCACATTCCATGCCTCTTCTGGATGTTTTAGTATCAGTTAGCTCCCTTTAACTCAACTCTCCAAGTTTTTTTGTTCACTTTTGCTGTAGCCAGGTATTGAACTCATAGCTCTTTGGGTCAAGTCACTGGATTCAACCAACGCTTTCGTCCACTACCTAGGTGGACGCAATAAAGGGTTCAGTTTGAAATTCCAATCACCTGAAGAAAGCCAGAGCATACAATGGCCGAAACATTGTGAATATAGCAACAATGATGAGAACAACAGTCCAAATAATGTAAATAGTGTAAAGAATTACAATACTTCATCTCAGAAATATAGACAGATACAAATTAAATAACCTGTATTCTAAAAGTCCAAAGCATCTCCGGCCCCGAGAATTTTGAATAAAGGATTCTCAACCTGTCCAAGTAAAGTTGTGATATCTGGGATGTGTTTACCCAGATGCCATAGGCTATTAATACTTTTTGAGGAGGCACGGTGGAGTAATGGATAGCGGCTTGGATTGAGGAATCGGAGAGCTGAATTCGAATTCCAGTCGAATCCATTACATTCACTTATGTGCTAACACCCTTGGGAAAGGTGTGAATCCTCTTTCTTCTCCTTCCAGCTATGGGTAAATAGTAGGACAGACTGGGTTCTATAGCCTTGGATGGCAACTGGTCTAGGAGAAAAAAACTCTGAATTCAAACCTGCTTTTAGAGGAGGGTGAATGGAGTCTCTCTGAGCCTTGGTTGGCAATCCATTTAGTGATGGTGTCACGATAAAAACACCCTTGATAGCCCTAGCGAAACATCAAGAATTCAGCTATTTGACAAGATTATGAACTACACCAATCAAAGTATTGGTGAGTTCAATCTCGGCTGAGGCTGCAAGATGATGAATACTTTTACCTCATTGAATTTTCAATGACATTTAGAATATTTAAATGTAAAGAGTAGCTGAGGAAGATGAATCTAATATACCATGGAATGCAGAAATTTCTTTTTGTAAACATCTTTATGCAAAAGGTAAAATTCTCTCTTTTTGATTTTATAATATTAGAAAGTTTTATTTAGTGCAGGTGCTTTCGCTTTTGTAGGGCGTCGAGGTCGTGGTTATATGCCATTGTGGAAAAAAGGAGAGGCCACTATCAAAGCTCCAGTTTTTGTAAGTAATTTTTTTCTCTGGATCCACACGTTTGAGTTGCTTTTTCTGGTTTTTATTTTCTTAAACAGTAAAATTAATAACAAAGAAAAATTTTGCCTCCAACAGGAATCTAACCTGTATTCCTTTTGCATCATGGAGACTGCTTTTTAAAAAGTGTACAAATTGGTTTAACAGCACACTTTGAATTCCCTCTTTAAAGAAAGTACATCTCTCATCAGGACTTCTACCAATCTGTCTGCTAGCTTCAGTTTTCTACCTGATAGCAATTCAAACACATGTAGCCACTAAAAATGACATTTATAGTAATAAGAAATAATGTTGGATAAAAAATCCCTTAAAAAACTTACGGTTGTTTACATTCACTCTGTTCAAAAGACCTGTGTTGGGTGTGAACCGGACAATAGACAATTCACACATCTCTCTGGTTTTTTGGGCACACGAATGGAGGTTTATCCCTTGTTTCCTCTTTACGATTGGGTTTCCAGTTCCTTCTAAAGTCTTTTCATTCTCTTTCATTCCCAGTAACCTCTTGTGTCTTAGTGGCATTATCGCCTTCCTTAGGATGAATTGATTTAAAAAATAAAAATAAATAGTGTGTGATTGGCATAATGCTTGTTGGCACAGTGAAGGCCAGGTTTCAATTTTGGCCAAGGCTGTGGCATTCACTTTGCATAAATCTAGCATTTCCTTATGTTTCTTAACAGACTGTAACTATAACAAGACTAAGAGAAAGACAAAATTCTGCCAATATGTTATGGTCCAGAATTGCAGGGTAAGCATCATGATTCTTGGTGTCTGAAATATTTTATACAAGCTTGTCATAAACTCTGGGGGGTTAAATAGCTGAGATATACAAGTCTAGTGTGAAATTCACATGCGATGACTCAGAGATGCGGACATTTGACCATCAGAATAACGCCCTTCGCTCTATAAGGCTCTTGCTCCTCCTAACCTCACCAAATAAAAGAAAACCCAATTTCATTTGAACTTATTTGATTTTGCAGGTTAGTGATGTCGCTGTTGGTATTATGAATGCAATCAAAGATCCGACTGCAGTTGGAAAGACCTTTGAAGCAATTGGGTAAGTAGATGTTTTCATTTACTTTCTATGTTATTTTTTCCAATGTGCCTGCATCTTTACGACACTCACTCAATCCTTCTTGAATCTCTTTTCTCATTTCAGTTCCTTATTTGTTCTCTCCAACAGTTTTGTCATTATATAGGGCATGTTCCTAAAGTCTGGACACATAGGCAAAAAGGCATATTTTCAAGAAATTAAATTTTCAACGACATAGTTGTAAATTAATCTTGCAAATCAACTGCCTAACAAAATCTGTTTGCACCCTTCAGACACCCTAAAATTAAAATTTATTTTTCATTATAAATCTTACTATACTAGCAGAGTACCAGTCACCAATTTCTGAATTATTTATATATTGGTCAATACTTCTGCTTAGAATCAGAGGATGTGTGTTCTACCTAAGATCAGTATCTTTCTTCTTGGCCCTCTACCTACGATCAGTGTGTCGGATCTGTGCATTCTGCCAAGACCCAAAATGTCTTTCTCTATTATGTCTATCTATGATCAGCATGTCTCATCTCTGTCCTTTTTGCCAAAATGTTATAGACAAATATATTATTGCAGCTTTTCTGCTGATACCATGGAACCCATTACAACCTGTCACAGGTTACTTGGAGAAGACATGAGCACCAAAAAGTAATTTTAATTTACTCCAACAAATTCTCAGAGAGACATAGTATATTAATCCCATGATGATCTAAAAGTTCATGGGATAAAAAAAATAGATTAAATCTATTAAAGTATTTCCACATAATCTTGATGTTATCCAAACACATTTTGCTCAAAATGTTGTTTGCCTACCTATCAAAAATGCAGCACTGGAGAAATTTTATGCAATGAGAAACCAATTTTAAACCAATAATCATTTGATCCATTTTCAACTGTTTGTTTATTGAAATACGCTGACCTACGTCTCTTAAACAGTTTTTCACAGATTGTCTTTCTTAGTTACACTCTAACATTTTTCCAGTCTCTGGAACTTTGAATCTTACTCCAAAGTAGGTTGGTTTGCGTTTCTTTTTTTATATCACCTTCCACCAGTGGACAAAGGTGGGAGTGGGGCTATTTTGTGTGTATGGGAGGAGAAGTACATGCATCTTCATAGTAAGACTCAACAATTATCCAAGTAGAGACTGGAGAGATCATCGCCCAAAAAGTTTTGATAAAAACAAGGAAATTAGTTTAAACTTCAACTTCGCAATCACTCAACTGCCATGTTTGTTAAAATACTAACTCTTATTTACTTTATTAATAAATCATTTGGATAACTAGAAGAATCTTTGTTGATTTTGTTTTTCTCTTTTGCAGCCCAAATTCTTATTATCTTTCTGATCTGATGGATTATTTCTACAGCATCTTGAGATGGAGAAACTACAAGAGAATACCTATTACCCCTTTGTTTATGTAAGTATCTTTGATGCTATGAGCACATTTTACACATACCAGAATCACTTGCTTTGTCTTTTTCCTATGATCAATTTGACATCCACGGTCAACTACTTTAGAAACCATTTTCCTTTCTCTTCAAAATCCCAACAAAGCTGAGGCAAGTCAAAAACCATCTGCTAAATATTAACAACTACTAATCAGTTTCAAAGACAATATTTCCCATTGGTCAAACATGACCTCTGTTCATATGACTTCAATAAGAATTGAAGAAGCTGGTGTAAGGGTTTAGAACAGTAAAATCTTTTTTTCTGGATATGCCAAGCTGTTCTGTTTTTTTAACAGGTGGGGAAAAACCAGAGAATTCTTGACAACAATATTTTTACCATTTTTCTTTTCTTTTTTTTCTTTCCAGGGCCAAAGTTCTTGCTTTATCCTATTCCCCATCAAACAAAATCTTGAATTTTGAAAAACTTGAACGGGTAAGTTCAGTTGCTGTTTTTTTTTTTTTTTTTTTTTTATCAGAAATCCAAACTTGAATTTTATTGTTTGACACAAGATCAGATTTATTGAGCACTCTCGAGAAACAACCTTTTGCCATTGATGTGAAGCCAACATATCAATCCAACTGAATTAATACAAAAATTATTTCTTGAATCTTTTTAGTTTTCAGCATTTGTTGGGTTATTGCTTTAAGGCGAGTGTGCATTGGATTTTTTTTATTTATTTATGTGAGTGTGTAATTTGTGTTACATCAGGAAAAGAAAAAAAGATCTGGTTGCTAAACAGTGAATTAGTTTTGCTAGCCACCAAACTGCTGTGACTACTGCTGCTGTTAGGATAAAATAAAAAAAAACCCCAAAACAACAAAGCTTTCTTTTCCTCTGTAAAAGTAAACTTATAACAAAGTTTGATAGTACGGTGACTTAACAACCCAAATCAAAAGAGAAATATAGCAAAACCTTCTCATTGCTTTTTTCATTTCTGACATTTCCCACTTAAATCTCAACCATTTAATAAAGAAGAAGCATCTTCCGGCTTTATTAACTTTCCTCCAAAACTGAGTTCATCAAGTCTTGCCTAAAAAACGCCTATGAAATAAACTCCTGATTTATTGTGACTTTTAGAAAACAATCCAAGTTTTAAATGAAACATCAGTTAAAAAATTGCTAATGATAAATCTGTATTGTTATAGGGAAGAGCTTGAGGTTCATAGGAAGGCAAAACTTTTTATGCCTTTTGGATGGCGGGGGGATAAAGAAAAGCTAAACAAAACCAGAAGAGCATTTTATTTTTTTTTTTTTTTTTTCTTTACTTGTTGAATAAACTTTATTTTTTTTTTTTTTTTTTAAAAAAAAAAAAAAAAAAAAAAAAAAAAAGGTGTTCATACATTATGCTGATTTTTTTTTATAAGTGTAGCTTAGATGTGGCACAAGGCTGAAAGTATGAGGGCACTCAGGATCAAACTCAGTTGTAATTGATCTAGCGACACAATCTTGCTATCCATTACACCATGTTGATGTGTGCAATGATTTTCACATCCTGGGTAAGATGATAAATTACGTCCAACAACAATGCCTCTGATCATTTTGAGGAACATAGAGCCACCTTTTAGTTGCTAGTGTTCCCAGGTCCACCCTGACTCCACGTGGTAGCACCTGTTAGGGTCCCAGCTATAGACAAATAGTTAACCCCTAAACTGGGGTCAAAACACCATGAAAGTGTAAAAATAGGTTTTAATATCAGGAATATTTTTTTGTAAAAAAAAAAAAATATTACCAGTAATACATTTTTGGAAAAAAAAAATATTACCATCAATAAAAAAATTTTGTTGGCATTAGATAACCCATTGAGGTTGATATGCTGTAAACCAAACCAAACCAATGATTTTCTAAGCATAGCTTAGACCTGGTACACGGGTGAAAGTAGAGGGAACCGAGTGAGGATTGAACTTGCTGTTGAGTTGTAATTGATCTAGAGGGACAAGTTTACTAACCATTACTAAGATTTTCTGTAGCTTCTCTTCATGAAGAATAAATTATCTGCCCCCCCCCTACTTTTATCAGCTTTCTGCCAAAAATGATCAGAACTTGTCAAAATTCACAATTACTGTTATTGATCCAGTGGCTAACGTAGTTCTAATCTTTATGAATCATGAAGGAGACCTTGGTTAAAAATTGTTTGGCAAAGGGTATGGAAAAAACGGAGTTTTTTTTTTTTTTCTTTTTTAAATGTCTCAAGGGCATTTGTACAAAATGAACAACATCAGTTGGAATTTGAATTTGGTTTTAGCCATTTTCCTTTTAAGTCCTAAAACTGAAGACCTTTCTTTTTCTTTTCAGGCAGCTTTGAATTTCAGTTCGTTTTTTGTTTGCTTATTTGTCGTCTTCTTCTTTTCAGGAACACATTACAGACGTGATCACTGGTTTGCCAACTCTAGAAAATCTTGGAGTGAAACTAACTCCGATAGAAGAACGAGCCCCTTTTGAATTAAAACCTTTCCGCATGTATGCTTATTATTATGAGCAGATTGGAGAATTTGCTGACCCCGTGAAGCCACCAATTGTCAGTTCTTGAGAACAATTGGTCATAGACGCTTTCCTTAATATTTCAAACACTTCTGTAATTTAGAAAAAAAAAAAAAGGAATGCAGATTTTTTGCCTAGATTTTACAAGGTCTTTGTAAATATTATTAAAATAATAAAAACCTAAAAAAAATTCTGTGACCATCTGTCTTTATCTCTATTTATAAAAGGCAGGATGTGTGTGTTTGTGTAACGAACGCACGGCCGCAATTTTTGACGGATTTGCACCAAAATTTACAAGCACATGCTCCAAGTTAGCAGGAAGGCCAAGACTGACTTTGCATTTTCCAACTCCCATCGATAGTGGAAATAATCGATTTTTTTTTCATGCTTCTACAGCAGTTTTCATGTAGTTTGCAGCCATTTTGTACTGGCCAGAGTAAGATCCTATAGCTGGCTGCTACGAATAGGCAGGAAGATTCTATTGGCCAGTGTGAGAGCCAACAGCTGACTGACACGAATGTTAACTAGCATGCCAAAAAAATTGATAGTTGCATTCGTCACAAGTGGAAAAAATTTAAATCTGCATGGCACTTTACTCCAATTGGCTCATTTGCTTGCTTAAACTCAACGTTGATTCTGATTGAGCATAACTGGGTTGGGTGTGAAAAAAGTATTTGTTATTAACATTCTTTTTTCATTCAGTTTTTCCAGTTCTGAGTCCTTTTTTAAAGCTGATCGTTTTGTGTTCATTTTATTTAGTTCTTTTTTAAGTAACAGATTTAATGTTTAGTATAGAGCTTAGAAAAAATTTGCAGTGTGAGATAAGCAAGAAGTAAGGCATGTAGCAACATCAGCACGGCAAAGGGCACTCCTTTAAAGGCAAGGAAGGACCAAAATATTTTAAGTCAAGTGATAGTGATTGCTGTATGAGTCGTATGATTTTTGAATCAAGCACGGGCAACACCGGGCCATGTTGCTAGTATCAACATAAATTTTCTTTAGTATCTGTCTATATTTCTGAGATGAGGTATTATGTACATTATTTACATTATTCAGACTATTGTCCTCATCTTTATCGCCATATTTATTAAAATGTTTCGTCCGTTTTACGCTCCGGTCTTCTTCAGGTGGTTGGAATGTCGAACTGAATCCTTTATTTCACTCACTGGGATAGACTGTTCTAGTTCCATGTGCCATGTCTAATGGATGTCAGTTATCAGTTATCTCCTGTTAATTCACCTCTCCAAGTTCTCCACTGCTTTAACCAGGTATTGAACTCACATCTCTTTGGGTCCTGTCACTGGATCTAACCAATGCAGTTATCCACTGTGCCATGTATCCTTAAGGACACATGGTACAGTGGATGGTAATTAAATAAATGGTTAAGCTCGACATTCCAACCACCTGAAGAAGGCCAGAGCGTATAACGGCCGAAACGTGATAAATATGGCAGCAAAGATGAAGACAATAGTCCGAATAATGTAAATAGTATAAATTTTCTTTTTCTCATGTTTCAAATTTATCAACAGAGGAGTTAGACTAGGATTAGCTGCCAAATGGAAACTTAAAAACATTGATTTTTTAATTTTTATTATTATGGTAATATAGAGGGTGGAAAATTTGACACTGAAATCCGGAATCACATTGGGATAATGAAAGATGCTTTCCAAATGTTAATCAAAGAAACAGCAAAATTTTGTTAGATCAGATCAGCAACATTGTTCTTTGTTTCTATGTAATATATTAATTCATGTATATGGCAGTGAATGCAGGATAATCTCCTCACAAAAAAAGAGAAACTTGAAGCAACAGAAATTTGGTTCTACAGAAAGATGCTGAGAATACCATTAACTGAACATGTGAGCAATGAGGAATTTTTAAGGAAAATAGAAACAAAAAGGACTTAGAATTAGAAAGAGACGATTAAAATTTCTGTGGCACATAATGAGGAAAGAGGGCTTTGAAAATTTAACACCCACAAGGCATGTTGAAAGCAAGAGGGAAGGAGGAAAGCAGAGAAGCTTGTGTAAATAGTTGACAGAACAAGGATTAGAAGAAATAGTAAAAAGACACTGCTAAGAACTACAAAAGACAGGAAGTTGTGGAGAGCCATGATCACTTACATCCTGGAGAGACATGGCATATAGAAGAACTTGTCAAAATTATGAATTCTCTCAATTATGTTTCTTATTTCAAGTGAAACTGTCCTGCAACCTGTTATAACACGGGTAGGATTTATTCAATAGGCTAAAACTTTCCATTATTTTTTAATTTTATTTTTTCATCTGGATTGTCAGTGGTCAGGAATTGATGCAGGCATTACTGGCTGAATAACATATGTCTTTGTTCTCTTTTTAATGGCTTTTTCTTTTTTTGTTGTAATTTTTGGGACTCATTGGAATGGAGGTTCTAGAGAATTTTAACACTCATGGGGCATACTGAGGGCAAAGGAAAAAAGAGCAAACAGGAAATGTAACCTATTTAATAAGTTTGTGTGAATGGAAAGCAGATGGTCAAAGATGACAATAAAGTGTCAAAAGTTTTTTAGAGTAACTACAAACAGGAAGTTGTGGAGAGCCATGATCTCTGATGTCCATGAAGAATGTGGCAGGTAAAATTTAAAAAAAATAATCTCTTTTAGGTCAAGAAATGGGAGAATCTAAAAATTTAACTCTTTTCAAACAACTGAACATCTTTTATGCAAAAAATTTGATTAATATAAGAAAGATATTTTATGTCAAAATTCATCATTTGCCTGCAGATTACCGTCTTTTCTTTTCCATAATATGAGAAATTTTGAATGAAAATTGAAGGCAAAGGAAAAAAAAAGAGGGAATGTTAAAAGAAAAAAATATTACTGTCTGAATAATAAAATGTATTTATTAGATTTTTTAAAAAAGATTAAAAGATTTTTATATACAAAGTGAACCCAGTAGGACACCCAGTGAGGATTCTACACTCTACACGAGTAATTAAACTTAGATAAATTTTATTTACCAAGCTTAGTTCATTCTGGTACAAGGACACGGTAATCGAGCAAGAAGTAAACTTATTTCTTACATGGTGATTTTTCTAATTGGCATCTCGTTTACAGACACTTTCTCACAGATGCGCCGTCACCTCTCTCTGTTTTACAAATACTTTCATGGCAATTGCTCCAAGGAGCTGCATTCGCTGGTTCCCAGACTTCATGAGTTCAAGCGCCCGATGAGGCTGACATCCCGCTCTCACCCCTTCACTGTCGAAACTCCTAAATGTAGCCGTCTCTTCTACTCCAATAGCTTCATGTCTCGCACCTCGCACCTGTGGAACTCCCTTCCCTATTTCAGTTTCCCTGAGAGCTATAATCTCCAGCTATTCAAATGTAATGTCAATCGACATCTCCAGTTGCCTTGATCTATCCGCTATCCTTCTCCTCATCCTTTCTTCTATCACTCCTATCTGATCTTGTTCTAAATTTTCTGTAACCCCTTGCGTCCTAGTGGCTTCCCGCCTTGCTTGGGGTGAAATGCTTAAAAAAAAAAAAAAAAAAAGATATGGCACAAGGCCAAAAGTATGGGGCACACTCAGTCGTAATTATTTTAGCAAGACAAGCAAGTCTAGGTGCCTAAATAGTAATTTACTAACTGTAGCTTAGTGGGTGGCACAAGGCTGGAATTATGGGGCACCCAGTGAAGACTGAACTCATTATTCAGCCGTAATTGATCTAGCAAGACAAGCTTACTAATCATTAGTAATATTTTCTGTCATTTATCTTCATGAAGAATAAACTCCCCCCCCCTCACACTTTTATCAGCTTTCTGCCGAAGATAAATGGAACTTTCTCAAAGTTCATAATTGCTGTTGTGGACCCAGCAGCTGGCGTAGTTCTAAGAGAATTTTTCTTTATCAAATATCAAGGTCTGCCAGTGAGAAGACCTTGGTCAAAAATGTTTGGCAAAGTGTACAGAGAGCTTGTTAACCATTACACTACGTCAAAGTACCCAACTTATTTCTTATATGACCTGTGATTAACCTCATATTATTGCAGGCACTTATCAGGTTATGAAATGGAATAAAACTGCAGATGTTTGAAAATTACTAGACAAAATTTAAGCACTTTTATTTCTAGGCATACGCTTCAAAAAATTTGATACACATGCAAAAAATGAACTGATTATTACTTGGATTTCTGGGGTTTTTTTTTTTTTGGTTTTTTTTCTTGTTTGTCTTGTTGCTTTTTATGGCATTCAGGGTGTGTGCTGTGTTGGACTGGATAACGGCTTGGCATGAGAAATTGGAGAGCCTGAATTTCAGTTGGGTTTGATTAATCTTCACTTAGACACAAATAGCCTTGGGAAAGGGCATGAAAGACAGTGAAAATAATATAAATATGTCTACCAAAGTAGAAAAAAAAACCTCAAGAAAAACAAAAAACTTATCAAAATTTTGCTTAAAATGTTCATAATGTAATCGAAAACATTGTTGGGAGAAGGATGAGACACGTCCAACAAAAAATCTGACTAGTGTAGCACTGGGTTCTTGCACAATGACTCACCAAAGAAAATGGCTGATGTTACCATTACAATAACAAAGACACTGAAATAGCAGAAAGAGACTATATAAAGACATGTGGCATATATTCAGGGTCAGTGCAAGGGTCATGTGAGCTCCCAGTGAATCTGATACTCCCCCACCACCACTCTACTATTTCTCAATTTTTATAAAGTAGTATTCATATAAAATATAAATTTTTATTGTAACTTAATTATGTACAATACAAGGTGTCCATAAAGTTCGTGTGCACTTTAAAAAATTTATAACTTTATTTGTATTTGCGATAGAAATAATTTGTAAAAAGGATTAGAAAGAAGTAAATCTATTTTTAAAGGTTTTATTGAAATTTTATTTAAATTTCCACATGTCCTCCATCATTAGTAATACAAAGGGTAATACGATTTTGTAGTTCACGGAAAACATTTGCCAACTGATTTACAGTAATGCCTGAAATCACATTAGTTATTTTAGTTATACTTAAAACTAGGTACATTAAACTTTATAACGTTTTTTACAGATTATTTCTATCGCAAATACAAATAAAGTTATGGTTTTTAAAGTGCACACGAACTTTATGGACACCCTGTATCATGCCATCTTAAATAAATCAACAATGTTTAGTGGCAATTTTTAACAGCAACTTGAGATTTTTCTTGTTAAAAAGAATAATATTTTAACATGTTTAATATTATGGATAAAAAATAGTTTAATTTCATATTGTGTTTTCCTGAAAATCACCATTAACCAAACAAATTTTTGAATTAGGACAAAAAGAAATGACCCCAGAATGATATGCAAAAATTTTTCATCCTTTAATCATCAGTTGCACTTAGTTTAATTTGTAACGTAAATAAATGTATGCAGAAAAAAGCAAATATTGATAAGACAGTGTCACAAAGCACGTCCTAGTCAGGCTTGTCAGCCCCCCCCCACTTTGGTTATCAGGGATCAGAGGTCATGTGCACTGGCTCTGCATATATTATATATACATGTGAGTGTGTAAGCAATTTTAGGATCCATTCGTTTCAAATATGATTTACTCGAAAGACGAGTAATAAACATGGTGACAAAGATGAGGGCAATAGTCCAAATAATGTAAATAATGTACATAATAACTCATCTCAGATATATAGACAGATACTGAAAGGCCGAAACGTTGTAATAAATATGGCGACAAAGATGAGGACAATAGTCCGAATAATGTAAATAGTGTACATAATACTTCATCTCAGAAATATAGACAGATATGAAGACAAAAGTTGTTCAGTAACAAAATCTCATAACAAAGAACAAATGATTTGATTTATTTTTTTTTTCTTTACTTTGACAGCAAACGGAAATATATGAAGCTTATTCAAAGGTGTTTTTCTCTCTCGAGGATTCTATAGTAAAAACCAAAAATATTCTGATCGTGGTTGACTAAGAATATGTTAAAACTTTGGTTGCACTTAACATTTTCTTGACACAGTCCCTGAATTCTGCATTTGTATTTTCAATCCGAAGCCTTGCTTCCTCTGATCCAGTTTTTTTCATTAAATGGTAAAAATTGGAGAAATACTGAAAAAAAAAAAAAAAAAAAACAATTTAAATTTTAAATATATATGGTGGTTGGCTGCTCGTATCTGACAATGCCTATCTCCTTGGGAGGCTAGCTCATCCCTGTTGTAGACACCTGCTCAGGCTCATTTGTGTTTTTTCAACATTCACAGAGTCTACCTGTGATTTATACTGCAATACAGTTTTTGGTAAAGAGCACATTATGTGGCATGGCCAACAGTCTGAACAAGGCCAGTACACTCAAACCCTCAGTCACGATGACTTGTGACATTGCGCTAGTACAACCACTGATTGTGTTGACCAATTTCATTCATAAGTCTTGGGTTAACCTGTGGTATAGTTTTCATGTACTTTCCAAAGGTGCTGCATACTGGGATCACCTCCCCTAGTCGATAACATCTAGTCACCTTCTTGATAAATTGACCATGATGAGATTTGAACCTAGGTCTAATGGTCGGAAAGTGAACATTCTAATCTGACAAATGTTGGCAAGCTTTCTATCTTCCTTTAGAGTTTGACAAAAATGGATTTTTTCCCATGACACTGCTTTTCTTTTAACTACCCTTTTTGTTAACTTTTCGGCATTTTTTTTTTTTATTGTTTTAAAAAGCTATGATTAGAATTGGAATAAAAGTAAAACCTAAACATCTGATGAAAGTGAATTTATATACATATTTTTTTAGTTCTTGAGAATATACAAAAAAAATATTAAACACTATTAGATTGCTTATTGACAAGAATAATTTTATCTTTACAAGATTCTAAAAACTAATACATTTAGACTATTTACATTATTCGGACTATTGTCCTCATCTTTGTTGCCATGTTTATCACAACGTTTTGGCCGTTGTATGCTCCAGCCTTCTTCAGGTGGTTGGAATGTCGAACTGAACCCTTTATTTCGCTCACTGGGGTAGACTGTTACGTGATAAACATGGCAACAAAGACGTAAATAGTATACATAATACATCATCTCAGAAATATAGACAGATAATACATTTAGAACTTATTAAATGCAATATTTATCATTTAACAATTTATGAAATAAATATGAAAACAACTTTTTATTCATAAGTTTATAAACATTTACTAAATTACTAAAATATGTGAACCAATTCTAAGGAAATCCTTATTATTTACCATTTTATAAAATTTGAATTTGGCAATTAGCTGATGTTTTGCTAACCATTCCAATAAATGATCTAATAAATAAATAATGTTTATTATTTTTATCGTCAATTGTCAAGAACAAAGAAAATTTATAAATTCACTTTCATATATTTAGGTTTTATTCCAATTCTAATCATCACTTTTTAAAAATAATAAAACAATAAACATTTCCAAGGGAGTGAAGATAGTTAAAATAAAAAGTGTTATAGGAAAAAAAAATGTCCTTTGACACACGTTTTTTTCTTTTTTTTTTTCCGGACATGTGGGTCCATGTATGCTAAACTTTCTATATATATATATATATATATATATATATATATATATTGTTGTTGATGATGGTGTGTTTTTTTTTTTTGTAGGTTATCTAATCCTCATAGATTTTTGTTGCCCAGAATGACTTCTGAAATGCAGAATTTGAAATGACATTTTCTCTAAAAATAAATATCTAACATAAACTGTCCTGTTAATATTGAAAAGTATTTTAGTTTTCATACAAAAGTGCTGCTTTAAAACTGTATAAAATGGATTTTACAAACATATGTAGATCTTGCATCATTTCCCAGGTGAAAATCAACAGAATATTAATCTTTTCTTTTGATAACAAAACCAAACTTATTAAAAAACATTTCTTACGGCTGTCGAATCGACTGGTTCCAGGCTAAAATCTTCATCAAATTCTGATAATTTTATTCTTGTAACATGCGTCTTATTAACCTGATACGTCAGCAGATTCTGTACAAATGAGATTAAAATAAAGACAACATTTGTAAACTTGTATTAAATATAGCAACTGTACTGGACACAAATTGGAGTAGTGGTTTTACATTGTTAAAAAATAAACTGATCCCTTCAAAATTAGTTTATATTAATAATATATTTTAAAAAAATTTTTTTTAAAATCAAGTTAGTAGTACAGCCACTAGCATGCAAAGGGTTTATGGGGTGTGGAGGAATTAGGAGCAGAAACATCAGTAATGAACAGGAAAATAAAAGAGCAGTCAGGAGGACAGTAGAAATTGCATTTAAATTTTTGCGGATTAAAGTTGGCTGGAAAGCATGGAGCCAGGAAGGAGTTCCATAAGCAAGATGTGCAAGGAAAGAAACTGTTAGCATAGATGTTACGGCTACATCTAGCCAGCTCAATTGTAAATTGATGAGATCTCACTGCCAGTCTAGTAATATGATTAAATTCATACAGACGAGGTATCATAGCGAAGTGCGATATTTATTCTACTATGTACAGAAATGCGACACACGGCCAAAATGCAGAGTGGGATGGGGAGAAAGACAGTCTTTTTCTGTCTTATCGTTAAACTTATCTAGCCACAAACACTGACCCAAACATACTACAATATTCCTAACACCAAAACAATGCATTCTTACTTTCCACTTCTTACTACATCCACCATAATACCACATTGCCTCTATGAAAGTCCTAACTAGTCCCCATATGTACAAGTCATTGTCTGTGGGGGGAGGGGAATAAAACAACAATTTAAAAATTAACCCCAATACTGAAAAGCTTATCTGAACAATTACCATGAAAGTATTTCTAAAAAAAAGTTGCAGACAGGCAACCTTACGACAGTGGGTAAGTGACTGAAGCCAAGCCACCAGATCTGAACCAATAATATTGCTTTTCATTCTTCTTTGGATCTTATCGAGGAGCTCCAGGAAAATAGCAGAGGCCCCAAACCATATATAGCAGCAATATTGTAAGCATGGATGAATGGTAGGATTATAGCTATGCAAGATAGATTGACTGAAAAATGATCTCGTCTGACACAGTGAAGTGACTCTCCTAGCAGCTGATTTAATGATGGATTCAATGGTGTCTTTCCACCTCATGTCAGCTGAGAACATTAGCCTGAGAAGGCGCAATGAGTCACTTTCCAGGAGGATAGCAGTCTTCTTTTTCTCCATATCTCATTCTCTGATGAAACTTTAATAAAAGTGAAATGAAACATCTTAGATTGAAAAATGTTTCTTATTTGTTCTTTATCTTTCACATATATATATATATATATATATATATATATATATATATATTTCAATTAAAGGTACAATTATAATTTATAAATTCATGAATCATTCATACAAAAAACAAATATAGAGGTTAATGATTTAAATGGCGAGAGTACATCTTCACAAACAATATAAATAATATATAATAATATATTTGTTTTTTGTATGATTGATTCATGAATTTATAAAATATAATTGCACCTTTAATTGAAATTAAAATAACTGATCCAACATGCAACTTTCGGATAATAAGAGTGACATTACTGTAATTACTGAACAATATAGTTCATGCCACATAGACGGAAAATCTACCAGTAAAAAAGAATTCTCTTTTGTACAAAAACGCACAACCTTAAAATTTAAATTCAAACTCAGTGTTACGACCACACGTTCCAAAACAATAACACATTTCTCATAGCATTTTTTCAGATTACATCTCTATTTTTGTTGTCCTCTTATTACCGAGTAGTGAAAAACAAGAAAAAATCTATTTCCATACCTGAGGATGTCTATAGGAACAGACGAAAGCTTGTAAAAACTAAAAAAGACCTTATGCAACTGGAATTTATAAACAGGGATCATATCATTCATATACAGGTTCGGGGTTGATGTATCTTATTTATATTGTTTGCGAAGATGTATTCTCGCCATTTAAATCATTAACCTCTATATTTGTTTTTTGTATGAATGATTCATGAATTTATAAAATATATATATATATATAGGTAAAATGAGAACAAATGAAGAAAATAATGGAAGACTTAATAAGAAAAAATAAAATAAAACATCCCTATAATAAAAAAAGTAAAAATAAAATCATCCTTGATAATGGGTAAAAGTATAGCCGAAAGTTCTTGGAATTACAGAACATTTGAACAGTTTCTAAACACTCTGTATCCAGAAAAGAAAACACTTGTCTGAACACAAGAAAATTAAATAAAAAAATTAATCACAGTACCTTTTCTATCATCTTTAATGAAACATGTATAAAAGAAGTATTGCTGTCTAAATATAACAATATATATATATATATATATATATATTGAGAGAGAGAGAGGCATATAAATATACAGTGTGCGATGGGTAAATTGTCGCCATTATATATTTTTAATTTACTCTTTAGTAGTCTTTAGGATATTTTTGCGTAATTTTGGTAAATATATCTGTTAAAATGAGATGTCAGTGTTATTTTAATATTCATGTAATTCAGACGACAATTTATCCATCGCACCCTGTATCTGTAAATTGATGATGTTTGATCGTCTGAATGCAACTGACCTCCTGTAAAGGTTCATCTACTAAACACTCTGTGGCTTGCAAAATAATATCATCCCTTTCAGCCTCCCCGTTCCAACGAGACCATGAAAAGCCCATAGCTGATGCAACCAGTGAAATCTGTTGGTACACATGGTCTTCAAGTACAGAACTCTGCAAAATAAATTAAAAAAAAAACAGAACAATTACTGCTCAGTTGTTGCTCACCCTGTTTCCATCAAATTCAAGGAAACACTACCCAGCCCAGGGATTGAACTCACAATTAGACTGACACCAAATTCATGAACTTTAATGCACTAGGCTATCATTCCGGCTCAGAATGAGATGAGATATCCCAAGTCATGAGTAGTGCAAAGAGAACACTCTAACCCTATAGCTTAAATAAAGGGTTCAGTTCAGAATTCCCTGTAGATTACCTGGATTGATATACTCCTGATAAAGGCCAGAGGTCACAACACCTGAAACACTGTGATAACAACAAGCTGAATGAGGACAGTAGTCCACATGTAAATATTTTTTTTGTTTTTTAATCATTTCACCCCATGCAAGGCAATAAAGTCACTAAGACACAACACAAGGGGTTACGGAGTGTGATAGAATTAGAAAACAGAAACATTCTTAATGATCAGGAACAATAGAAGAGTAATCAGGAAGACAGTAGATAATGATTGACACTGAATTTGAATATTTGAAGATCAAAGTTGGCTGGAAAGCATGGAGCTGGAAAAGAGTTCCACAAGTGGGAAACGTGAGAAAAGAAACAGTTAGCAAAGAACTTACATTTACTGTAACTTGATGAAACTTTGTTGTCAGTCTAGTACTGAGCTTAAATTCATAAAGTCTCTGTGCCATAGTGAAGAGCTCAACTGAACAATTAGCATGAAAGTATTTATAGAAAAGGCGCAGGGAAGCTACATTACGGCAGTGAGAATGTGACTGAAACTGAGATGCAAGGTCAGGACCAATAATATTGCTGATTCTCTTTTTGATTTTATTAAGAATCTCTAAATATAATAGGAGAAGCATCGGACCATATGTGGCAGCAATATTCAAGGCATGGAAGAGTGGTAGGCTCTAAGATGGACAGAAGAAGCATATTGTATTGAAAAACTGTTATATAAAGGCACAAATTGTAATCTAGTATTACGCTTAAATTCATAAAGTTTAGGTACCATAGTAAAGAGTTCATCCGATCAATTACCATGAAAGTATTTCTAGGAAAGGTACAAGGAAGTTGAATGGGAAATGACTCTAGCTGAGACACCAAGTGAGGACCAATAATATTGCTAATGTGAATCATGAAATCAATATTTCATTATTTTGCATTTTATATTTATTACGATGTGTTAGGAGGATACAACATGGAATTTATAATTAGTTACATCTGCATTGGGACGTACCTTGATTTGGATGGAAACATACTTTGAAGCATCTTTCGATGGGAACACATTGACCCCACACCACTGAAGTTCCTGAAAATGAAAACAAAACAAATACTTGTGCTCGTATGATATTAAGTAAAATTTTGAATTGAGAGGTTGACTGATTTATTTTTATATATATATATATATATATATATATATATATATATAAAAGGCAGGATGTATGTGTGTGTGTGTGTGTGTGTGTGTAATGAATGCACAGCTGCAATTTTTGACGGATTTACCCCAAAATTTACAAGCACATGCTCCAAGTTAGCAGGAAGGCCAAGACTGACTTTGCATTTCCCAACTCCCATCGATAGTGGAAATAATCGATTTTTTCATGCTTCTACAGCAGTTTTCATGTAGTTTGCAGCCATTTTGTACTGGCCAGAGTGAGAGCCAATAGCCGGCTGCCACGAATAGGCAGGAAGATTCTATTGGCCAGTGTGAGAGCCAACAGCTGACTGACACGAATGTTAACTAGCATGCTAGCATGCAAAAAAAAATCGATAGCTGCATTCGTCACAAGTGGAAAAAATTTAAACCTGCATGGGACTTTACTCCAATTGGCTCATTCGCTTGCTTAAACTCAATGTTGATTCTGATTCTGCAGAACTGGGTTGGGTGTGAAAAAGTATTTGTTATTAACATTCTTTTTTCATTCGGTTTTCCCAGTTACGAGTCCTTTTTTTAAAGCTGATCGTTTTGTGTTCATTTTGTTTAGTTCTTTTTTCATAACAGATTTAATGTTTAGTATAGAACTTAAAAAAATTCGCAGTGTGAGATAGGCAAGAAGTAAGGCATGTAGCAATATCAGCATGGCAAAGGGCACTCCTTCAAAGGCAAGGAAGGGCAAAAATATTTTAAGTCAAGTGATAGTGATTGCTGTATGAGTCGTACGATTTTTGAATCAAGCATGGGCAAGTGGACATGCTATTATATATATATATATATATATATATATATATATATATATATATATATATATATATGTATGTATTAACTGCAAATTGAGATCAACACCCAGCAGCAACAGTCTGTTTCTTGCTTAAACACAATCTTCCGGTCTGAAGCATGAAACAGACTGTAACCACTGGGTGTTGACCTTAATGTCCATTTTATATTTACATATGCTCTATCCTTGATATTGAGCACTTCAATCTTTAAATATCGCATATCTTAAAACTATGTTTTCATAGAAATATGCAAACTAATCCCTAATCACTACCTTTTCTCTTTCAACAATATTCTCTACAAGTAAAAATTCAGCTTGCCTAAGAGGGTCACCTATCAATGGAATTCTCACTTGCCTTTTTCTAGAATTCTTAAAATCCTGTCCATTTAGGCACATCATAGCAAACCACTCTACTTACCTAGGATACATAAATAATGTCTCGTTATTATATCCCCATGATACAAACCTTTTATACATAATAATGAAGCTCAGTAAAGGTTGAACCTACGATTGAATTCACACACAAATTTGAAATAAACAATTCTCTACTTTTCCTTGAAATGTTATTAAAACGCAATAATGAGAAATTAGATTTTAGGGTATATTTTAAACCCACAAGCAAAAATAATCTAATCAACTTCTATTTCCACCAGAACCTAAAAATAAAATCTGGACTAGTCATAGGATTTTACCTTAGAGCTCTTAGGATATGTTGCCCAGAATACCTAAATGAAGAAGCGATATATATTGAGAAAACTTTCAAACTTCACTAACTACATCCTTTTATCCTCAATTCTAAAAAAAAAAAAAAAAACAAGATTACAAAATCCACAAAGCCAAAAGAACAGACATGACCAATAACACTTCTAATAAAAATTACACAAAATTCATAATCCTGCTCTCCAGCACATTTTCTACTAAACTCACAAACAAATTAGTCATCTCTAACTCTATGATTGTTACCACTCCCTCCAAGACAATCAGAGATAAAGGAAGAATAATAAAAGAATAATAAACACAACACTAATTCAAATGCTGGGATTTATCAAATAAATTGTTTACAATGCAAAAATGTTTACATGGGAGAAACATCATGTGATCTAAAAGCCTGCATCTATGAACACAAGCGTGACTTATGTTTGGACAAATAATCTCTCTTGCTTTGCATTGAAATGATTCTGGACATAACTTTGATTTCACTAATGCCTGCCACCCTAATTAAAAAAAGAACATAATTCATTAGGGAGAAACTACATTGAAAACTTAATAATAACATTATTACCAACAATAAACATACGCTTAAAACATGACATTACATTGCAATCTTTCTTTGAATTGATTCTTACAGAATTTAACTTATATCTGTCTAATCCAAAGAATACATTCTTAAAGAGATCAGCTATAAATTAGAATGATGTGACAACCTGCTATGCAAGTTGTGCATGCAAAGGCGAAGATAGAACTCCCACTAGACAGTCACACATACACAATTAAAAATACATATTACCATTTGTTGCCCACTTAAACATACAAGAATCTTCACAAACCGACATACACATAGAATTATCCATGGTTTTAATACACGTGACATGTGTCTGACCAATGAGAACTGAACCCAAAATAATTGAAAATACAAGAGTTTCTGTCTTTTTTCTTTTTTCTCTCAATCTCTGACGAAGCTTTAATAAAAGTGAAAAATGTTAGATTGATATACGCTTCCTATTTGTTCTTTAATTTATCATCCTGTCGGATATATAGAAAGTGACTTGAAATTGGTTCCAGTAATCAAGGGAGTACCGGAATTAGATAAACAAAATTTTATCAACAAACTAAAAACACAGAATTCTTGATAATGTCTGTAGGTAGTGAGAGTTTTACCAAAACAGTTTAGTCCGAAGTTGAAAAACTTAATAAAAAATTAGACACACCTTGTTGATATTGTTCACCAAAATCTATTTAAAAGAGTTCTTGCAAAAAATACACTATATATATATATATATATATATATATATATATATATATATATATATATATAGTGGTGTTAATAAAATAGTGTTCAAGTTCAATGCAATATGACAGCGCTATAAACATATTTTTTCTCAGTGGTAGCACGACTTGGAATTTCATGCACATGATAAGTCAGCACCTGAAGATTACGTCGTGCATGAAACTGCTACCAGTGAGGAAAAATATATATTTTTGACCATTTTATATATATATATTATAAACAGGTAAGAACGCACTCCGTTATAATCAATTTACAAATTAACTGCTGGCTGAAGCTATTATGTTTATCTAAGGGAGGCAACTTTAACTACACGACTAATTTTTAAAAAAATTACATTTGTATAGGTTAAAGTTGCCTCCCTTAGATAAACATAATAGCTTTAGCAGTTTGTGCCGTGTCCTTTCAGAACGTAGGCGATCATGGCTCTCCACCTCCTCCTGTCCCTTGTAGCTTTCAGTAAGCTTTGTCTTTTTGTTATTTCTCCCAGACTCCGTTCCACCATCCACTTGCTTAAGCGCGTATGTCCCGTGTTTCTTTCCCTTGTCCCTTTTCCCCTCTATCTGCCCTCTCAGATTTCCCAAGCTTTCTTACGTGTCCCAGAAATTCCATCTGCCTCTTCCTGATGTTAAGTATAAGTTTCCGTTTTGTTTACATTCTCTATAAAACCTCATCGTTGGTCACATATTCAGCCCATGGTATCCATAGCATCGTTCTGTAGAACCTATAGTGGGTCAGCCAATTTATATTGGTTATAAATAGAAATAAAAACTGACCCTCTACAATTTTTACAATATCAAATGTAACAAAGACAACAACAAGAGAAATAATCAAGTAGAAGAAAATGTGAATTTGTTCAACAATAAATATTTTTTTATAAACACAACAAATACATAATATATAGTGCAAAAGTTGATAAACACAATAGAGTTCTTTGGTGTGTGTGTGTGTTACTGAAAGAATTTGAGCTACTGTACTGTATGTGTGAAAATGACAAGGTTTAGTTAGCTATATTTGTTTTTATAGGAAAATTAAACAGATGTTTTTTGTGTAATAAATAGAAAAAAAGCATTGTCTTGACTCACTGATTGTTATAGAGTTATCGCTCATTAACCAGAGATTCTTCTTGTGGAATGGAATATTTTGTGGGAGTGAGCGTTAAGCCTGGAGATGGTTGACAAAGTTTGTTGTTGTATTGAAGATAAAGTTCGTCTCCTTTGCTGTGTTGATTTCCAATGAAGTCAAGTGTATTGGTTTCAATATTTTAAGTGCCCACTGACCAAGTCGCGTCGAAGTTTCGTTTTTATTAGTTCTCTTGGTCACGTGGTGAGGCTCGTGAACATGTTTACATTTTATGGCGTCAACTAGAGGTCAAAATTTGGGTCGGTACCTTCGGACGTAGTTGACGACACCTAATTAATATTTTACAACCAATCAAAATACATCAGTTGTTATATCTGGTTGGGAGCCTCTATGTGTTTAACTTGCACAAAATTTAAGATTTAAAAAAATGTAGGAATCTGATTCTACAAACCACACCTTTGTTGCCTCGAGTCTCTTCTTCACCCTTGAGGAGACTGTCCAACGTTCGTTAAAGGAGTACAGATATCGCATAGCAGTTCAGTAATCTTTTCTTTATTTCCAATGAAACACTCCTGTCTCGTAATACTCTGCCTAGTTTTTGGAATGCATCTTTGGCCATACCAATGTGTCTCCGAGTTTCAGAGTTGCACTTTCTGGCCTCTGTTAGCCCAGATGTTTAAATTTCAGCACTTGCTTGGTTTTCGTGTCTATGACATGTAAATTGCATTTTGGGCTCATCTTTTTGCTGATGGCCATGTATTCTGTCTTCTTGTAGTTTATGCTTAGTAGCCTAAATTAAATTTAATTTTAAATCGATTATAACAGAGCACGTTCATACTTATTTATAATTATAACAGAGTGACTTTTATGCGCATTAAAAAAAAATACAAATTATCAATTGTTTGTGTATTTAGGTAGCAATCTTTCTTTCATGCACATTTCATTGAAAACGACAGACAAGGTTCTTTTATTTATTTTTTTATACAATTTCTCATGCGATCTAATAATGTTTTTCTTTTCGGATGATAAATTATATAAAAACTGTCCGAATGTTCTTTTTATCTGAGTGCTTTCAGCTATACATTTAGCCATTTTCCAGGATTATATTTTAACTGTCACAATAAGAAATAATATAATAGCATCATCTACATGCAAAAAAGGCTAAAATAATGGAAGACTTATTAATAAAAACAAAAAAAACCCTCTTAATATTACTAACTTTGAACATGGACATAATATATTGAACGTTTTTTGAAAAATGAAAACATTTTACAAAACATACATACAACAAACTATTTCTTATTTTAACAGTTAAAAAAATAATCCTTGAAAATGGCTAAATGTTTAAAGAACATTTGGACAGTTTTTTATATAATTTACAATCCGAAAAGAAAAAAATTATTAGATCGCATGAGAAATTTCATAAAAAATTAAATAAAAGCACCTTGTCTGTCGTTTTCAATGAAATGTACATATATATATACATATATATATGTGTGTGTGTGTGTTGATATAATAGGAAAGAACTGTTAGATTCATGATCCGAAGTTCATTACTATTTTTGTTTTTATTTTTAAAAAAACAGTGCTTCATACACAAGTAGAGCCTAGATTATAATTATTTTCTTAAAAATATGATTCTATTGCGACACAGAAACTATTGTTTCGAAACTGGTCAGCAATATTTAAATTTAATTCTAATATTAAACCATAACCACTGGGTGGCAGTTTCATCTTCAAGTGTTGTTTTGGAACTTTAGGTTTAATATTAGAATTAAACTTGAATACTGCTGACCAGTTTTGAAACATAGTAATTTCTGTGTCGCAATGAATCATATTTTAAAAAATAATAATTATAGAATATATATATATATATATATATATATATATATATATATATATATATATATATATATAGGGATCAAAATGGATAGGAAAGAGACAAAAGAAAGACTAGATATTAAGTGCCAAGTGTGACGATGAAAAGGTGTGAAAATTGTGATATACTAAAATTGTCTATAAAAGATGGTACTTTAGCTGTCCGCTACCACTTTTTCATCAATGTCGATTTTCGTGCAAAAAAGCGGATCACATCTTCATACATGTTTCTGAAAACCTGAACTTCTCATTGGACAATAAATATTAAAATTATCTCGTATATCTTCACGTACATTGTTCTCAATAAGCAACACAAAACATACCAGGCCCCAGAGAGAGTTTTGTAAGGCGCTTTCTGAGTGGTTAACAAATATTAAAAAAACAATTTACCTGCTCACCACTACGTCCGAATAACATCAACCTATTTTTTGACCTGACGAAAAAACAATGCTCTCAGGATCCAGTCACGTGATTAAAAAACATATAAATTGAAGGTACGAGCGAACCCAGGGAGTGAGAATTTACGTCGCTTTCTCGACTGACTGATCGGTTCAACTCTCTGTCTTCGGACGGAGAGGAACCCAAAGGAGGCTACGCCAAAGGGCGCAGTCTCCTTCGGGGAGGTAAAACCGGCCCTGAACCCGTTTATACGGGTTCAAACGGGCATATTTTTGGGCCGAGCCCACGGGCTCGGGAAACCCACAATAAACAACCGACCTTGTGTCACATGTTGCCCCAGGGGGGGGGGAAGACTCAATATCGTGAGAATTTACGACGACCAAAATTTGCTAAACGAGTTCACGACGCTTGTACCATTACTGCAGCGAAGTACAAAGTTAAAATCTCAAGTTCTTTAACATGAAATAACTTCACTGAAATTCAATCTACAATTTCAACGAAACAACTCACTCACCAACTTCTGCAACTTACTAAAACTATTCAATCACGTTATTGAATCTTACGAAACTCAAGTACGAACAATACATTCAACTACGAGCAACGAAAACAAACGGAACATTCACTTCTCCAACTTCTTTAAAGCTAAATGTTTATCAACATATTTTCAGCTTTACAAGATTCTTTAAACTCTCTTTCAGTGAACATTTTGAATGACAAGTTAATTCAGCTTTTGTGAGCTAAGGTAAAAAAATATTTTAGTAGAAAAACTTTAGCCCAGTCAAAGGGAAGTAACTCATATTAATAGTTATTGTAAAACTGTTATCATTTATAAATATAAATATTGTACCTGTGATGAAATGTTATTTTCTTGTGTTCTTTCTCTTGTTTGCTTTTTGTTTTCTTGCACATTCGTAAAGTAAAAAAATGTGTGGGTTGATTTATGCCGTCAATACCACTACAATACTGTTGGGGATGTGCAGAATTAATTAATTGTAATTAAGTGAATCAGAAGGAATTTGTGTAGGTTGCGTGACTTTCTGCACCCACAAACAAATAAATAAACGAATTTTAAATACAATCACAAACAAGACATATTCAATTTACAAACCAACCAAACATTTATATACAATTAAAAGTAATATATATATACAGGATATTTTGATATATGTTACTATGGCGAAGTGTGTGTGTCTCTTTGTATTTGTATGTTCAGTTACAGTCTTTCTGGGATTGTGTTACTGTTAATTAACGTTAAAAATGTTGATGTTAAGTGTTTTTAGGAATGAGTTCTTATAGAGTGGTCTACCTTTGACTGTAATATTTCTGAATCGTTCGAATGTTGATTTTTATTTAATAATGTAGTGAGTATAGTTCACTTTGGATAAGCAAAGTTGTTTTAGGTTTGCGATTTGATGTCCACAGAGTTGGTCGAGTTTAAATTGCAAGTGAGTCAGCGTTGATGTACTTTTGCGCGGTAAAGTCGTGATTTCGAGTGACGTGGAGTATGTTGGCAATTTCTCTGTGGATGTTCATCTCTGACCCTTTTGGTCAGTCGGTGTTTTCTTTTATATGTTTTTGAAAGTCCAAAATCGGCTCAAAGAAGTTTTGGCGCAATTTTGTTTTGCACGTGAAACTTTCAGATTATTGTGTCATTAACCAATGAGATTTGTTGATTTGCCTAGTACGGTTTTTTATTGGTCGAAGTTTTCCGTACGTAGGCGTAAGGTATAGACTGTTCTGTTACTAGGGGTGATAGGTAGAAAAGGACGAGTCTACAGTACAAGAGAAAGGTAAAAAGAATTTGTGTTGTAACCCAGGAAGGATTACTGAATGAGGAATAGCCAAAACGGAGGTTGGAAATGAAATGGTAATCTTTATAACATCAACAAAATACAATGCTCACTAGTGGTGTGAAGTAGGAAAACTACTGCTAGTAGTGGACTGCTTAGACAGCATATTACTCCTACTTATATATGTAAGTACATACTTATGTATCATATATATATATATATATATATATATATATATATATGAGATACATGCGAAACTGTCTGTCTGTGGATGACTATATATATTACACTCTCTCTCCCAGATATATATAACATTGTGAAAGCTATGACTCCATCTCTTCTCTCCCAGCTATGGGTTAATAAGTAAAACTACAAGTTATACTTATTGATTTTTACTCACTAAACCATGAACTTCAAAAGAAATTCTCACAATCTAAAAATGTTTTCTGGCTTTGTTGTAACTTAGAAAGGGTTACTGAATGAGGAATAACCAAAACGGAGGTTGGAAATGAAATGGCAATCTTTATAACATCAACAAAATACAATACTCGCCAGCGACGTGAAGTAGGTAAATCACTACTAGTGGTGGACTACTTAGACAGCATCTTACTCCCACTTACAATAGTGTCCAATGTATTTATAATGATTGGAACATAGTCATTAGTGTTTATAGGTATGGTATATAAAAATTTGATTGATCAAATTTATTTTTTACAGCTTATCAACCATTTTCAGATTATTTAAATCCAGAGAATATTTTTAGATTGTAAGAATTTTTTTGTAGATAATAATGATTTACTGATACAAGTCCTACTAATTAACCCATAGCTGGGGGGAAGAGGCAGATTCATACCTTTCCAAAGGGTATTTGTATATAAATGAATATAACGAACCCGACTGGAATCTCTTCAATTTCCAATTCTGAGCCGTTATCCATCACATCACCCCCTCAACCAGGCTTACCTCACCTGGTATTTCCAGGGGTTTACTCATTTAGGTTCTAACAAGGGTCAAAGTTACTTAACTATATGAGAACAGGTGTTTCTATTTGATATAGCTGTAAGCTTTTAATTGAGAAAATGTGTGAATGTACAATTTATGAATTACCGTGTGCATATGGTGAGAATTCAAATTTCTTATAAAAAAAAATTATTGCAGTTGAACATTACAAAGATTTTGTTAAATTGAGATCTGTATAAACAGAAATATATCCATCACAAGTAAATAACTGAAATATAAAATTGTTAAAGATATTTTGCTGGAATTGAAAAAACATATTGACCTTGATTAATTGTTCAGGCTTCATCCATTTATCCCTAATGTGAGATAATTCAGGAATGGCTGGAAGGCATATACAGCAGAGGTCATCCTGAAATTGAAAAAGACATATATATATATATATATATATATATATATATATAATGAAATGGACAATTCCCAATTAAGACATTTTTATACATTCTTTTTTTTTTTTTTATAGATACAACTATTTAAGTAAATGCTCTGTTTATAATAAACAGCATTAACAACATTTACTGGCCTGAATGTCCGAGAAATTGCCATAGAAAATATGCATCCTCCGAAAAAAAAAAAAAAGAAAAGAAACGTAAACATAAAAGTGTCTTAAAATAATTGTCGGACTTTGTCCATTTCATAATGTGTGGCGTCATTAGTTTACATTTGGATACGCATCAAACAAATATGAATGTACAGGAGAGAATCATGGAAGATTGTAGTTTAAAAACAGTAAAATCAACCTTGCTAACTGAATGCTCCTCTGTGGCGAAATCGGTAAAAACTATATGACAGTCTCCTCAGGATATAAGTGATCATGACTCTCCACAACTTCCTAATTTTCTGTAGTTCTTAATAAATGTTTTTTTGTTATTTCTCCTAGACACTGTTCTGCCATTCATTTACTGAAGCTCACTAAGTATGTTTATGCATTGTGTCCTCTGTCCCTCTTGCTTGTGAGTATCAGATTTTCCAAGCCCTCTTTCCTCATTATGTGGCCTAGAAATTTCAGTTCTCTCTTCTTGATGTTGAATATAAGTTTCTTTTTTGTTTCCATTTTCTCTAAAGCTTTGTCATTGCTCACATATTCTGTCCATGGTATCCTCATCATCTTTCTGTAGAGCCACATTTCTGTTGCTTCTTCATCTTTGAAGAGATTGTCTAGCATTCACTGCCATACAGGAGGACAGATATCATGTAACAGTTCAGTACTCTTTTCTTTGTTTCTAACAATATTTTTCTGTCTCTTAATACGCTGCTTAGCTTTTGGAATGCATCTTTGCGTAACCCAATGCAGCTTTGGATTTCAGATTTGCATTTTCCATCCTCTGTTTGAAAACTTCTCAGATATTCAAATTTTTATATGGTAAGAGATTGATATGAAAAGAAATAGATAGATATGAAAAGAGATAGAATATAGGTATGAAAAGAGATGAATATGAAACTAGATAGATATGAAAAAGAGAGATAGGGAGATAAATAGATATGAAAAGAGGTAGAATATAGGTATGAAAAGAGATAAATATGAAACTAGATAGATATGAAAAAGAGAGATAGGGAGATAAATAGATAGATATGAAAAGAGGTAGAATATAGGTAGGAAATGAGATAAATATGAAACTAGATAGATATGAAAAAGATAGGGAGATAAATAGATAGATATGAAAAGAGGTAGAATATAGGTATGAAAAGAGATAAATATGAAACTAGATAGATAGGAAAAGAGAGATAGGGAGATAAATAGATATGAAAAGAGGTAGAATATAGGTATGAAAAGAGATAAATATGAAACTAGATAGATATGAAAAAGATAGGGAGATAAATAGATAGATATAAAAAGAGGTAGAATATAGGTAAGAAAAGAGATAAATATGAAACTAGATAGATATGAAAAAGAGAGATAGGGAGATAAATAGATAGATATGAAAAGAGGTAGAATATAGGTATGAAATGAGATAAATATGAAACTAGATAGATATGAAAAAGAGAGATAGGGAGATAAATAGATAGATATGAAAAGAGGTAGAATATAGGTATGAAAAGAGATAAATATGAAACTAGATAGATATGAAAAAGAGAGATAGGGAGATAAATAGAAATGAAAAGAGGTAGAATATAGGTATGAAAAGAGATAAATATGAAACTAGATAGATATGAAAAAGAGAGATAGGGAGATAAATAGATATGAAAAAGAGAGACAGGGAGATAAATAGATAGATATGAAAAGAGGTAGAATATAAGTATGAAAAGAGATAAATATGAAACTAGATAGATATGAAAAAGATAGGGAGATAAATAGATAGATATGAAAAGAGGTAGAATATAGGTATGAAAAGAGATAAATATGAAACTAGATAGATATGAAAAAGATAGATAGGGAGATAAATAGATATGAAAAGAGGTCGAATATAGGTATGAAAAGAGATAAATATGAAACTAGATAGATATGAAAAAGATAGGGAGATAAATAGATAGATATGAAAAGAGGTAGAATATAGGTATGAAAAGAGATGAATATGAAACTAGATAGATATGAAAAAGAGAGACAGGGAGATAAATAGATAGATATGAAAAGAGGTAGAATATAGGTATGAAAAGAGATAAATATGAAACTAGAAAGATTTGAAAAAGAGAGATAGGGAGATAGATAGATATGAAAAGAGGTCGAATATAGGTATGAAAAGAGATAAATATGAAACTAGATAGATATGAAAAAGATAGGGAGATAAATAGATAGATATGAAAAGAGGTAGAATATAGGTATGAAAAGAGATAAATATGAAACTAGATAGATATGAAAAAGATAGGGAGATAAATAGATAGATAAGAAAAGAGGTAGAATATAGGTATGAAAAGAGATAAATATGAAACTAGATAGATATGAAAAAGAGAGATAGGGAGATAAATAGATAGATATGAAAAGAGGTAGAATATAGGTATGAAAAGAGATAAATATGAAACTAGATAGATATGAAAAAGATAGGGAGATAAATAGATAGATATGAAAAGAGGTAGAATATAGGCATGAAAAGACATAAATATGAAACTAGATAGATATGAAAAAGATAGATAGGGAGATAAATAGATAGATATGAAAAGAGGTCGAATATAGGTATGAAATGAGATAAATATGAAACTAGATAGATATGAAAAAGATAGGGAGATAAATAGATAGATATGAAAAGAGGTAGAATATAGGTATGAAAAGAGATAAATATGAAACTAGATAGATATGAAAAAGAGAGATAGGGAGATAAATAGATATGAAAAGAGGTAGAATATAGGTATGAAAAGAGATAAATATGAAACTAGATAGATATGAAAAAGATAGGGAGATAAATAGATAGATATGAAAAGAGGTAGAATATAGGTATGAAAAGAGATAAATATGAAACTAGATAGATATGAAAAAGAGAGATAGGGAGATAAATAGATAGATATGAAAAGAGGTAGAATATAGGTATGAAATGAGATAAATATGAAACTAGATAGATATGAAAAAGAGAGATAGGGAGATAAATAGATAGATATGAAAAGAGGTCGAATATAGGTATGAAAAGAGATAAATATGAAACTAGATAGATATGAAAAAGAGAGATAGGGAGATAAATAGAAATGAAAAGAGGTAGAATATAGGTATGAAAAGAGATAAATATGAAACTAGATACATATGAAAAAGAGAGATAGGGAGATAAATAGATATGAAAAGAGGTAGAATATAGGTATGAAAAGAGATAAATATGAAACTAGATAGATATGAAAAAGATAGGGAGATAAATAGATAGATATGAAAAGAGGTAGAATATAGGTATGAAAAGAGATAAATATGAAACTAGATAGATATGAAAAAGAGAGATAGGGAGATAAATAGAAATGAAAAGAGGTCGAATATAGGTATGAAATGAGATAAATATGAAACTAGATAGATATGAAAAAAAGAGACAGGGAGATAAATAGATATGAAAAGAGGTAGAATATAGGTATGAAAAGAGATAAATATGAAACTAGATAGATATGAAAAAGAGAGATAGGGAGATAAATAGAAATGAAAATAGGTAGAATATAGGTATGAAAAGAGATAAATATGAAACTAGATAGATATGAAAAATAGAGATAGGGAGATAAATAGATAGATATGAAAAGAGGTAGAATATAGGTATGAAATGAGATAAATATGAAACTAGATAGATATGAAAAAGATAGGGAGATAAATAGATAGATATGAAAAGAGGTAGAATATAGGTATGAAAAGAGATAAATATGAAACTAGATAGATATGAAAAAGAGAGATAGGGAGATAAATAGATATGAAAAGAGGTAGAATATAGGTATGAAAAGAGATAAATATGAAACTAGATAGATATGAAAAAGATAGGGAGATAAATAGATAGATATGAAAAGAGGTAGAATATAGGTATGAAAAGAGATAAATATGAAACTAGATAGATGAAAAGAGAGATGGGAGATAAATAGAAATGAAAAAGAGGTCGAATATAGGTATGAAATGAGATAAATATGAAACTAGATAGATATGAAAAAGAGAGACAGGGAGATAAATAGATATGATAAGAGGTAGAATATAGGTATGAAAAGAGATAAATATGAAACTAGATAGATATGAAAAAGATAGGGAGATAAATAGATAGATATGAAAAGAGGTAGAATATAGGTATGAAAAGAGATAAATATGAAACTAGATAGATATGAAAAAGAGAGATAGGGAGATAAATAGATAGATATGAAAAAGAGGTAGAATATAGGTATGAAAAAGAGATAAATATGAAACTAGATAGATATGAAAAAGAGATAGGGAGATAAATAGATAGATATGAAAAGAGGTAGAATATAGGTATGAAAAGAGATAAATATGAAACTAGATAGATATGAAAAGATAGGGAGATAAATAGATAGATAAGAAAAGAGGTAGAATATAGGTATGAAAAGAGATAAATATGAAACTAGATAGATATGAAAAAGAGAGACAGGAGATAAATAGATAGATATGAAAAGAGGTAGAATATAGGTATGAAAAGAGATAAATATGAAACTAGATAGATATGAAAAGATAGGGAGATAAATAGATAGATATGAAAAGAGGTAGAATATAGGTATGAAAAGAGATAAATATGAAACTAGATAGATATGAAAAGATAGGGAGATAAATAAATAGATATAAAAAGAGGTAGAATATAGGTATGAAAAGAGATAAATATGAAACTAGATAGATATGAAAAAGATAGGGAGATAAATAGATAGATATGAAAAGAGGTAGAATATAGGTATGAAAAGAGATGAATATGAAACTAGATAGATATGAAAAAGAGAGACAGGGAGATAAATAGATAGATATGAAAAGAGGTAGAATATAGGTATGAAAAGAGATAAATATGAAACTAGAAAGATATGAAAAAGAGAGATAGGGAGATAGATAGATATGAAAAGAGGTCGAATATAGGTATGAAAAGAGATAAATATGAAACTAGATAGATATGAAAAAGATAGGGAGATAAATAGATAGATATGAAAAGAGGTAGAATATAGGTATGAAAAGAGATAAATATGAAACTAGATAGATATGAAAAAGATAGGGAGATAAATAGATAGATAAGAAAAGAGGTAGAATATAGGTATGAAAAGAGATAAATATGAAACTAGATAGATATAAAAAAAAAGAGATAGGGAGATAAATAGATAGATATGAAAAGAGGTAGAATATAGGTATGAAAAGAGATAAATATGAAACTAGATAGATATGAAAAAGATAGGGAGATAAATAGATAGATATGAAAAGAGGTAGAATATAGGCATGAAAAGACATAAATATGAAACTAGATAGATATGAAAAAGATATAGGTAGATAAATAGATAGATAGATATGAAAAGAGACAGATATATATGAATGCTTGTGCCTCTGAATATGAAGACACGTAGTTTTCAGTTTTACACAGAGCTCACTCAGTATATCACCATTGAGTCTTGGAAGCTGTTTTTATAAAGTGTCATCAGCCGAGCCTGTGTAGACAAAAGGAACATTTTTTACGTTCCTTGCGTTTGTTGGAAGGTTTGTGAGTGTCTTTTTTCCATTTTATACTCGTGTGGAACTGGTTATTTTCAACCCCCTTATTCAATTTCAATTTTGTGTAATTAAAATTTCTCTTTTAATTGCGTTCCACCGTTACCTGCTCAATTATTTTATTTAGTATGTCTTCATTCGTATTCCCAATTGCAAACGAATACCTTTGAAAAAAAGTGTTGGCTGAAAGATACCTAAGGTATGACGTCTGTGTTGTTTAAAGCTATGTATCATTTCTTTGGGTACAAATCACTTTATGGATATGAAAATAGATATGTAGACAGATAGATATGAAAAGAGATAGATAAACAGATATGAACAAACTGAGATAGATAGATATAAATATACAGGGTGCGATGGGTAAATTGTCGCCATTTTATATTTTTAATTTCATGCATGCATGCTGTTTCTTTTTGTTGACTGCACAGTATAATAGAGTTAGTTGGGCACAGTCTGTGAGAAAAAGAACACCATGACATATTTCATTCCACCAGAAATTTAGAAATGACATGCTGTATTGCTTCACATTCACACCGGAAGCTCCAATACGAACATTTCAGAATGTATAGGTCTCAATCTGAAGACAGTGAAGAGGATTCGGTAAGAGTTGGATGAGTCTAATGGTGATTACAAAAGTGTTTGGAGTGACCACTAGTGATGATGACGTTATGTCTCCATTCATTTTCCCATTGGGCCTCAGACTCAACACAGAGGCCTACATCAAGTGCCATGAGGAGGTAGTGCTGTCCCTGGGTCAAGAATGTAACACCCCAGACTGCAACTCCCTTGATTATTATGTGTGGGGCGCAGTTGAGTGAGAGACCAACAAAGATCCTTGTAACACCAAAGATGAACTGAAAGCAAGGATTATGGCAGCATTCACCAAATTAAACAAGGAGACTGTCCAGAAGTGATGCAAGAGATTCCAAAATCGTTTGGAGGCCGTTGTTGAAGCCAATGGTGATTTTATTGAATAAATTTACTCTTTACTATTTCAAGATATTTTTGTGACAATTTATCCATTGCACCCTGTAGACATATATGAACAAACTGAAATAGATAGATAGATAGATAGATAGATAGATAGATAGATAGATAGATAGATAGATAGATATGAACAGCAATAATTTCCATTCCCAACTTCCAATATAGTAAAGAGTGGGTAACATACTTATGATCACTTATTTTCATCAAATATGAAACAAATTCTAATGCTCTGAACGAGTTTCCTTCATCAAGTCATATTGTCTGGCTGCTGCTGTTTATTTATTTCATTTTTGACAATTTCTGCCTGTTCTAAACTGGAGAAACATTTTAACTTTCATTTTTAGTTCATTTATAGTCGACCTTTATACCTTTTATGAGGCACAGTGGAGCAATGGATAGTGGGTCGGATTGAGGAAACAAAGCTGAGTTCGAATTCCAGTCGAATCCATTACATTCACTTAAATGCTAATACCCTTGGGAAAGGTAGGAATCTTCTTCTTCTCCCTCCAGCTATGGGTAAATAGCAAGATAGACGGGGTTCTATAGCCTTGGGTGGCAACTAGGAGAAGGACAACTCTGAATTCAAAACCTGATCCTCCAGCTTGGGGGTTGTGCAGTAGGCTAATAACCTACTCACTTAAAAAAACTGGCTTGTTATAGAAAGCGCAACAATATCATGTGACCCTATGTTCCTAAAGGAATTTAAAGGCATTATGTGTGTATATATATATATATATATTATTATAGTCATTAATAGCCACCCTTTAGAGTTGCACTTAGCTTAGAACAGCCAGCTAAAGAAAACACAACCTTGTTGGTTTTAAAATTCACTTTTGTCATTCCATAAATCCTCGGATGACATCTTCAGATGACACCACCCAATAACCAAAACATTCAATGCCCTAAAGTGAGAGGGAATAAAAGAAAAAGGCAATAAAAGTTACAAGTACCTTCATGTCAAATTCTAATTCTAAAACAGCTGCTGTGATTGTCATATGTGCCCAGTTGACACCTCTTGGTCGCAGTTCCCAAGACTGGAATGGCATGTTGATGAAATAATCTTGAATCAGTGCAAATGTACCAAAGGAAAGCATCTTAAACTGCAATGTCCTTGTATCTGGAAAAGGAGCCAGCATATAATCTTAACAGAATCAAAAGAAATACATGACACATACAACTTTAACTCATCTATAGAGCTAACATATTTTGTATTATCTGTTTAAAATATCTGCCTACAAAAGTTTGGTATTCACAAGTGCTGACCCCAAAAAGTCCACTATTTCATATATTCAAAAGAAAGTGAGATAAGTGTTATGGTCCAATATCCTCACACCACAGTTATGGTCCAAGGTTAGAACCAAGGAAGAACAACACGAACACAAGAGTAGAATAACAAAGATATATTACAACAGAAATATAGTACAAGAAGTTGAAGGTGTTAGTAATGATTATCTGTCTGGTTTAGAGTGAACTAATATTGCCTCGACTCGTTACACCATTCATTTGATATTTAGCCCCCACCCCTCCCCTCCACGAGGGTTGCATGTGGCACAAGGCCGAGTTTAATGTGGGTTTCCCGAGCCCGTAGGCTCGGCCAAAAATATACCTTTTGAACCCGCCTAGATGGGTTCAGGGCTTGTCTACCTCCCCGGACGAAACCCTGCCCTTCGGCAAAGCTTTGTCCTGGTTCCTCTCTGCCAAAGCAGAGAGTTCAACAGTCATGAACTGGTGCTGGTTACACCATTCATTCATTATAACTCTTGAGAGGTGCAGTATTTATAGTGTCAGGAAGAGTCCATTATCGTTATAGGTAAGTTCCCATAACAATAAGTAATCACAAATAACTTTTTAACATCAAAGCTTCAGTCAAGAACTTAGAGAGAGAAAGAGAGAGAGAGAGAGAGAGAGGGAGATTTGTATAGTAAAATGATATTTTGTTTTCACTAGATCTATGTGAAGCATTGCAACTTGGATCAGACACCAGGTCTGTTCTCAAGGTGAAGCTTCTTCCAGTAGACTGCCTGTGACTGATTGTACAATTAAATCTTTGACTGGATTGTTACCCACAAAATTAAATCATGAGAAAAATTTATAGCGGTCAGCAAATTTGATTCAGTTGTAACCTTCTCGTATAGGCCAGCTGTAGGCAGGTGAGAAAGAGTGAGTCAAAGTTGGGGGCTAACTGGTGTGTTCCTTCTTTTTCATGTTATGGGAAAGTGGTCCTCTGTTTTAGGCTGCTAGGGACCACTATCTTATAGAGAACAAACATTCTTTGTCTTGTCAGCTTTCACCTAAAAAGGCATTCATGAAGTCTACTCTGCTCAGCTGACCTTCTTTGTAAGGGTCTTTTGATAGAGTTCTTGTGAGTTGACCGTCTTTGTCAAGACGATAATTGTCAAAATGATTTCTGTAACATCCTGCAGATGTCTCCTTAAAAGATACCAGCTGATAACCAATATTGCTACATGGGTAAAAGATGTAACTGGGGATCTTTTGCATAATGTTAGGGAAATCTTAGAAGTATCCTCAGCTAATTCAGTTGTGCAGTCACTAAACTGTAGTATATTTTTTGCAAGTGCTAGGAAAAATTTTTAAGTTAGGAAAATATGTTCAACATGAACTGGTAAAGAAAAGAAATTCAGCCATTGTTTAAACACTTGTCCTTTTTTTCATTTTTTTGAGAAAAAAGTCATTTTTAGAGAAAATATTCATTGGTGATAAAAAAAATGGATTTATTTTGAGAATTGAAAATGAAAAAGTCAAGGCTAGATTCAAAAGCCTTCAAAATGTGAAGTTAGATAGATTCTCGTCATCTGTCAACATGTGAATACAGAAAACAATCAAGAAACCAGTATAAGAATCACTTCTGAAGACATATCACTTTTAGACATCTCTGGAAGCAATATTCCTTGTCTAATCAGAACTTACAAAAAAATGAAAAATATTAAAAAGAATATCAAAAAATTCGAAATTTTTGTAAGAGAAAGCAAAATTTAACTGAAAGGCTGTAGACTTGAAGGAAACCAGAGAAAATAACTTGAAAATTGAATAAAGAATAAAAGATTTTGACAAATAAGTGCTGGAAACTTTTGCATCAGTGTACACAATTATAAGGCAACAAACAAAGCATAAAAATGTTAATACTTTCATTTCACATAAAAAATTAAAAAAAAAAATGTTAGAATCAAATCTCAGAAATGAGAAACACAGAAAACTGTAGAATACATAGCTTTCTGGTTGACTATTACAAAGTTCTTTTTTATACCAAATTTAATCAAAAACTAGTCTCAAGAGCCTCTCAAGATAGAGGGTTACTGATAAAATGGTTATGATGTATGAAGAGTGTAACAGGAATGATAGAGGAGGTGGTAGGAAGTGAAGGTTATGAGTATAAGGAGGATAGATAATGATTGACTCTAGACAAGGCTAAGAGTGTATATTTCAAGGAAGCATCAGTGTAGGAATCTGTTCTATAAAGTTGAAGTTCTTAGGGAAAAGCTGTCTGAGTGAAAATCTCCTTACACTTGGAATATGGAAGAAACAAGGATGATTCGACTCTGAAGATGATGCTGAGTGTTCCCCAAAAGAAAAGGTCGGAATTGGTGGAACCAAACAATGAGGATAGTCTTATCATTTGCCATTTATCTGAAGAAGCCAATAGCAAGGGTAAAACATTTTTTTCTCTCCACTGTCAAGATTTAGTTTAGTCTTGATTTACAAGATTTGAATTCTCAAGACATATGTCACGTACAAGATTTGAATTGCCAACCCATGTCACATGAAAGATTTGAATTTTCGACTCATATGTCACATACATGATTTGAATTCTCTACACATTCATCATGTACAAAATCTGAATTCTCAACCCATACGTCACATACAAGATTTGAATTGCCAACCCATATGTCACGTAAAAAACAATTTGAATTGTCAACCCATATATCACATACAAGATGTGAATTCTCAACCCATATCATGTAAAAGATTTGAATTGTTGATCCATATATAATGTACAAGATTTGAATTATCAACCCATATGTCATGCTAAAGATATAAATTGTCAGTCCATATATCACATGCAAGGTTTGAATCGTCAACCCATACATTATGTAAAAAATTTAAATTCTCAATCCATACATCACATACAAGATTTGAATTGTCAACCCATATGCCATGTATGAGATTTGAATTATCAACTTATATGTCACGAAAAAATTTGAATTGTCAATCCATATGTCAAGTAAAAGATTTGAATTGTCAATCTATATGTTGCATACATGACTTGAATTTGCATCCTATATATCACCTATACATGCAATTCTACAAAGACACATGAGCCCCTAAAAGTGTTGAGCAAATTTAAGAGAAGTGCACTAAGATATTTTTTCTATAAAGAATTACAGGAAGTGATGGAATATTTTTTGCAGTTTCATGCTGAGAAAATGAAACTGAACAAAGATTGAACCTTTGTTTTTCTTTGTAATTAAAATCTATTTAGTAGTTTTGCCAACAATCACCCATTTTATGATACTTCCCATCATCTCAGCCTTTCAAGAGAGTCTTTATACTTTATAACCAGAAAAAAACATAAACAAATATTTCTGTAAAACAGTCAGAATAAGAATCAGACAAGGAAACAAATCCCAGCTAATTTCTTTCAAGTTTCACAATGAAGCCTGGCTTAAAATTGGAAATATGAATTATTTTCTAAAATTTGCAAATATTACCTTCAGAATATTTAATGTCTGAAAAACCTTTCATGACCCAAGCATTTTTCTTGTCATCCCACATTGCAGGCAGAGGATTTTCAGAAAACAAAGTATTTGGAGGAAGTCTGGAATTAAAAATACAAAATATATTCAGTAAATGGCAAAAAAATGATTTGCAGAATAGGATTAATGAAACTCACCAAACAGGCATTAGAGATTAATACAGAACTGGCTTCTTATTTCTTGAATATGAAATTAAACATAATTTTCCTGGTTGGAATTTGTTATGTATTAAACATCTGGGACTGAAATATTTTTATGTGATTTTGTATCAGTGAAAATATCTCATCAGCCACTCGAGAAGAATTGTTGCTTTTATTGCCTTCATCTTACAAAATATAAATTGTTTTTCATGCCAGGTTAAGGAGCGCTGGGATAAAGAAATCTCTTTGACAAATGCTTTATTAATCAGTGCAGAGTTACCATTTCTTTAATGTTCTCTATTACAGTTTAAAAATTGTCTTGTATCCCACATCAATTTGTTGTCAAAGAAAATCCAGGATAAAAAAATTCCTGACATCTTGTCAGCTCTCATCAGCAAAACAGCTTCTCCAAACAGATATTGAAGACAGATTTTGACACTGGAGCATCTCATTTAATAATCTGTCCTTCAAGTTATCAACTGTCCTGGGTATGATGATAAACTACATCCATGTCCTGGGTATGATGATAAACTGCATCCAACAGCAAGGCCTCTGATCAGGAGGTTTTGAGGAGCATGGAACCCCCCTATTAATTGTTGGTGTTTCCAGGTCCATTGGGGTTGTAGCACCTGTTAGGGTCCCAGCAATGGGCAAATGGTTAACCCCCAAACTGAGGTCAAAACCCTATGAAAGTGTAAAAATATGTTTTAATACCAGAAATACTTTGTAAAAAAAATTATTACCAGCAATACATTTTTGAAAAAGAAATATTACCAGCAGTAAAATTTTGTCAGAATTAAATAATCTATTGAGGTTGATATGCCATAAACCAAACCAAACCAAACCAAACCAAACCAAACCAAATCAAGTTATCAAAGGGAAATCTTTACTTACATGTCATAATGTTTAGATAGAAATTTCTTTTTCTTGCATCTTGTAGAAATGACTGGATTTTATATCCAAATCGGTAAAGGATTAAAAAATAAGACTTTTATGACCATTTCTCTTCTCACTTAACTGTGCTCTTTACGTGAAAACTTGTAAAAAGCTAAATTTCCTTGTAGATTCGGTTCATAGAATGAAATCTTTCTTTTTTGCAAAATCTCTATCTATAAAAGGCAGGATGTGTGTGTGTGTAACAAATGCACAGCCACAATTTTTGATGGATTTGCACCAAAATTTACATGCACATGTTCCAAGTTAGTGGGAAGACCAAGACCGACTTTGTATTTCCCAACTCCCATCAATAGTAGAAATAATCGATTTTTCATGCTTCTACAGCAATTTTCATGTAGTTTGCAGCCATTTTCTACTGGCCAGAGTGAGAGCCTATAGCTGGCTGCCAATGAATAGGCAGGAAGATTCTAGTGGCCAGCATGAGAGCCAACAGCTGACTGACATGAATGTTAACTAGCATGCTAGCATGCAAAAAAAATCAATAGCTGCATTCGTCACAAGTGGGAAAAACTTAAATCTGCATAGCACTTTACTCCAATTGGCTCATTTGCTTGCTTAAACTCAATGTTGATTCTGATTCTGCAGAACTGGGTTGGGTGTGAAAAAGTATTTGTTGTTAACATTCTTTTTTCATTTGGTTTTTCCAGTTACGAGTCCTTTTTTTAAAGCTGATCGCTTTGTGTTCATTTTGTTTAGTTCTTTTTTCGTAACAGATTTAATGTTTAGTATAGAGCTTAGAAAATTTGCAGTGTGAGATAGGCAAGAAGTAAGGCATGTAGCAACATCAGCAATGCAAAGGGCACTCCTTTAAAGGCAAGGAAGGGCAAAAGTATTTTAAGTCAAGTGATAGTGATTGCTGTATGAGTCTTACGATTTTTGAATCAAGCATGGGCAACGCCGAGTCATGCTGCTAGTAAATCTATAAAATCTTCCTTGACAAAAAAATAAAAATAATTATATATGAGAAACGAGTTTCCAGCCTTGGACTTTATTATAGTTTAGAAATATTATCAGGTGTATATTTTTTTATTAGATGAAGCATTGTCAACGATTATTCATTTTTGACTAGTATTTCTTTCATCTTTATTTCACTTGATTTTTATTACATTAATAGTAATAGTAGTATTAATATTCTCTTGAATTTTTATTTAGATGAAGCATTGTCAACCATTATTCATTTTTGACTTGTATTTCTTCACCTTAATTTCAATTGCTTTTTATTACCGTAACCCCTGGCGGTCATAGGGACTCTATATGTAGTGCAACTGCATTAGCAGTGGTGTTTTATGGGAAAGATAGTTTGACAGAGTTGGTTTTGAATTCAGAGTTTCCTTCTCCTAGATCTGTTACCACCCAAGTCTGTCCTGCTATGTACTCATAGTTGGGGCCAGAAGAGATGGATTTATGCCTTTCCCGAGGGTATTAGCCTGTAAGTGAATGTAGTGAGCTCGACTGGAATTCAAACTCAGCCCTCCGATTCCTCAATCCAAGCTGCTATCCATTATGGGCAAATTCTCTTGTATGTTCTGCCACTAGCTATAGGTAAATAGCAGAACAGACTGGGTTCTATAGCCTTGGATGGCAACTTGTCTCAGAGAAGGACTATTCAAAAACCTGATGAGGGTTGTTTGAGGATCTTGTGACACAATATGTGTACCAGTTCACAGCATTTGGCTCTTCCAAAAAGTGTGGTTGGTTTGGCACAAGGCTTCCCCATGACAATCCAATCATTTGTGCTGATAGTCAAGCTGTTCAGTTCCAAGAACTCAGTTGCTGTACCCTCATACATCAAGAGGATTTGTAACCATACTACCTCCTTCAGACTGGAAAGCCGCAGGAGTGACACCAAACTTGTGGATTGCATTTGGAGATTGAGAGAAATCCGAGTATAAAGTGGTGTATAATTAGAAAGGTGGTGCTGAACAGATTCCGTGGGAACTGCTGCTGACTGTGTCAGAAGGAGAAGTTGACTATTGCTACATATCCTAACAAGGATGTTCTGCGTAATGAGAGATCCGAGGTTTTATCTAAATGCAGGCATTTGAGCAAGTATCTTTTGGGTATGTATGAACACAGATGAATGTAATGAATAAAATTCCCCTCCCCCCGACTTCTCTTTTTTCCCCTCCCACTTCACTTTTTTTCCTCTCCCACTTTTCTTTCTTTCTCCCCCTCTGGTTTTTTTCCCTCCATTTTATCTTCTAGTTTTCATATATAGTGGTGGAATTTGATGTATTGTTCATTCTTCTACTTGTGTGAAGATAACTTGCGGTTGAAACCTGTGCAGTAAGGTAGATTGCATTTTAGTTTTATTGCAAATATATATATATATATATATATATATATATATATATGAAGAAAAATATACGGAAAAAACAAACAAAAATCCTAATATGCAATCATGCTGTTTTAATGTTAATATAATGTCAACGTCGGACGTTTCAGTCAAGTAGACCGACGTTGACATTATATTAACATTAAAACAGCATGATTGCATATTAGGATTTTTGTTTGTTTTTTTCCGTATATTTTTCTTCATACTGTCGGATCTATATCCATATATTTGCTTATATATATATATATATATATATATATATATATATATATATATATATATATATATATATGTCCAGTTGTGCATTAGACTGCTCATGAACAGTCAGGCCTTAGACTGCCAGTCCAGCAAAAGGTTCAAGGGGTACCCATCTCCTTCAGATCTTGTTGAAATTGAACCTTCGTAGATTGTGATGTTCTCTGTGGCTGAGTGATTTAAAGCCCACCAAATAAGACACTGGGTTTCCCCAACAAAATGGGATGCAGATTCAGACCCAGTCATAGGGCACGTTTTCTTTATTAAAATTCTCAAATGCACTGGTCATTAAATATAATTTGCACTGTTTAAAAAAAAATCAGGGCGTCTACTCCAATATCTGGATCCAGTCATGGTATGCCTTTGTCAAGATAGCCTGATGGAGCCCAACCATGAATTGGTTTGAATTCAGAGTTTTCATTCTCCTACACTGGTTGCCAACCAAGGCTATAAAGCCTCGTCTGTCCCGCTATTTACCCATAGCTTCTAGAGATAGTTCCATATCTTTCCAAAAAGTATTTGCCTGTAAGTGAATGTAAGAAACTCAACTAGAATTTGAACTCAGCACTCCAGTTTCTGATGCCAAGCCACTATCATTATACCACCACGTATCCACATCAAATTATATATTTGCACTTGATTGGTTAACAGCTTCTTTGGTTCTCCTCTGAAGGGACATCAAGAGAAGTGATTTGTTATGCTACTTAATCAAGGCCTCTTTCTGATTCACAAATACATTTCACCCAGACATGTCGGCCAGATGTGAGTGCTAAGAAAACAAAACCCAATAAAAACAGTCGTCTTCTGTGAAGGGACTCAGAAAAACAGCCAATCACAAACGTTGTCACGCACATAAAAAGCCTGCACCTATTAAACCCCAGATATAAAAATGGGACTATGCACTGACAACAGGCTGTTTGGCCCTGCACTTCAACCTCTTCACTCAACTGCTGATGCATCAAAACACCTCACCAGTGTTGATTTCAATCCTGAAGAAAGGTGTATGTGAAACCTGTCAATGATACCCCACTCAGCTTCACTAATCCACTCCAAGCCTCTCTCCTAATATCAACTGTGACTTCAGTCAACTAACCCAACAAATTGGTCCACTCCAGCCCTTACTGACAAAACTCTTGCTTACCAACGCCAACTAAAGAACAGCATATTAACAATTTTTGTCACCTTTCACACAACTATGTATATATTTTTCACACTAGATCAATACACATTGAAATTTTAACCCTTGTTTGTTCTTTCCCTTACAACCATATGCTTGTTATAACAGATTTAGACTTTGTACCTCATAACTGTTTATGTAAGAGAAAACTAAAACTTACTTGATAGTAATTCCAATTGGTGGCTTTTCATCTCTTTTTCTGTCTTCATGGCTGTCCTTTTCTTTCTTTGTGTCTTTCTCTTTCTTCTCTTTTTTCTCTTCTTCCTCTTTTTTATCTTCTTTCTCTTTTTTACTTTCTTCCTCTTTCTTACCTTCTTCTTCGGCTTTCTCATGTTTTTCCTCTTGCTTTTCAGTCTCCTCTTTTGTCTCCTCTTTTGTTTCCTCCTTTTTTACAGATTTTGTCTCTGCTGACGTCTCAACAACCTCTGCCACATAATCCATGAATTGCAGCTTGGGAGGATATGTCACTGAAAGAGAAAAAAGATAAATTGTATCAGTTTACCTCTTTTAAATTTAAATTAGCCACTTTCTCAAACCACGAAAAACACAAGCCTTTACCCGAAAGACCATCAGACTCAGGCACTAATGGTTGCTATGACAGTTATTAGAACAGAAAATGAGTTAAAATTCTGATCAAGGCTGTTTCATTTTCTTCACCGAAATGCCTTTCTCTTCTATAGGTAAAATAGAAGAGTATACTAGGTTTCCTTAACCTTGATAGGAGAACCAATCTAGAAGGATAACTATAAATTTAAATCCCCTGCCAATATGGAATGTGTGAGCATTTAAATTATACTTACTAGAATATCATAATTTGCATAGCATGTTTATTCAGGATGTGGACAATCATGGCTCTCCGCAAGATCCTATCTTTTGTAGCTCTTAGCAATGTTTGCCCCCTCACAATACATCCCAGTCTTTGTTCTGTCATTGCATTCCATTCTGCCTTTGTCCTACCATTCTTTAGCAATTTACTTGATGTCTCTCTCTGCTTCTCTTGCTTTTAGAATATCTTGTCAATATCAAATTCTCTGAGCTTTCTTTCACACAAAGAATTCATATAAGTTTTTTCTGCCATTCATTTACACATTATTGTTTATTAGGCTTGTTGTCAAATTCAAAGACCTTTTTCTGAGGTATAAAAATCCTTCCTCATTGCTCACATGTTCAGTCCATGATATTATCAGCATTTTTTTTATAGAACTACATATCTCAAGTCTTATCTTTTTCTGTGAGGAGATTGTCCAGACATGTTGCTAAATTCCTCAAGCCATCTTTTCTCATGATGTGCCCTAGAAATTTAAATTTTCTCTTTTTGACTGTAAGTATAAAAATCCTTTTTGTTTTCATTTTCCTTAAAACTTCCTCACATGCTTAGTCCATGGTATTCGCAGCATCCTTCTAAAAAAACCAAATCTCTGTAATTGGTCACCTCATCTGTTTATCTCTCTTTGTCACCCCCCAGAAAACTGAATTCAGTTGATGAATATTTTCTCTTCTCTTTTTTAGTACTATATTATTTCATCATTTTAAAAAACGGTGTTAGACATATATCGTATTTACTTTTACTTAACTAATTGCTTGTTTCTTCTATGTGCCATGTCCCTTCAGGATGCGAGAAATTGCACAACACCCTATCCTTTTTTTACATTATTCAGACTATTGTCCTCATCTTTGTCACCATATTTATTACAACATTTTGGCCGTTGTATGCTTCGGCCTTCTTCAGGTGGTTGGAATGTCGAACTGAACCCTTTATTTCGCTCACTGGGGTAGACTGTTCTAGTTCCATGTGCCATGTTTTAATGGATGTCAGTTATCAGTTATCTTCTGTTAATTTCCCTCTGAAAGTTCTCCATTGTCGGGTATTGAATTCACACTCATTCACACTTGTGTTCTGTCCCTGGATCTAACCAACACCTATACCCCAGTGCCATGTTTCCTTGAGGAAACATCTGTGTATGAATTTCTGGATATTATAAACCTAATGTTATCAGCAAGAATTTTTTACTGAAGACATTAGGTTTATAATACCCAGAAATTCCTACACAGATGTTTCCTCAAGGAAACATGGCACAGTGGATAAAGGTGTTAGTTAGATCCAGTGACAGAACCCAAAGAGTGTGAGATCAATACCCGGCTAAGGCAGTGGAGAACTTTCAGAGGGAAATTAACAGGAGAGAACTGATAACTGACATCCATTAGACATGGTACATGGAACTAGAACAGTCTACCCCAGTGAGTAAAATAAAGGGTTCAGTTCGACATTCCAACCACCTGAGGAAGGCTGGAGCATACAACGGCCAAAATGTTGTAATAAATATGGTGACAAAGATGAGGACAATAGTCTGAATAATGTAAATATTGTACATAATACCTCATCTCAGAAATATAGACAGATACTTTATCCTTTGTAGCTCTTAGCAATGTTTGTCCCCTCACAATACATCCCAGTCTTTATCCTTTGTCCTGCCATTGCATTCCATTCTTTAGTAATTTATTTGATGTTTCTCTCTACTTCTCTAGCTTTTAGAATATGTTGTGAGTATCAAATTCTCTGAGCTTTCTTTTGCACAGAGAATTTATATGAGTTTTTGATGCAGTTTCAGAATATAAATTGATTTAGGCATGAAAAATACAAAGTTTAGACTTGACATCAAAATTTATAAAAATATCAAGAAGTGAATGATCAATCACTTGAAAGATCCTTTCCAGATTCCCATCAACATGGGTGACATTAACCTCCATGAGAGTGACTCCTTGTGCCTTCTTGGGCTAAAATTCCGAGCTGACATGAAGTGGAAAGATTATATTGAATTACTGATAGGTCAGCTGCCAAGAAATTTGGTTCCACGTGTTGTGCTAGCCACTTTTTCTATCTAGTTTCTGTCTTATATATTTATAAGTTTACCATTTGTCCATGATTTGAAAATTGTTGCTGCATATGGTCCATTGCTCTTGCTGTATATTTAAAGATTCTTAATAAAATCCAAAGAAGAATCAGCAATATTATTGGTCTTGACCTGGCATCTCAGCTTCATTTACTTTCCCATCATTGTAATATAGCTTCCTTGTTCTTTTTCTATAAATCCCTGAAAGGTAACTGTTTGGATGAACTCTTTGCTATAATACCTAGACTTTATCAATTTAAGCGCAGTACTAGATTGGCAGCAAGGTCTCATCAATTCAAATTGAATTAGCTAGATGTAACCGTAAGTTCTATGCTAACAGTTTCTTTTCTCCCACATCTTGCTTGTGGATTTCTCTTCTGGCTTCATGCTTTCCAGCCAACTAAGATCTTCGAATATTTAAATGCAATGTCAGTTGTTATCTACTGACTCCTTGGTTACTCTTGTAGTGACATTAAAGATAGTATCAGCAGCAGCTTTAAAATAAAATTCATATCAGCAGCAGCTTAAACATAGCAGCAGTAGCAACTCTAAATAAACCTTGTATCAGCAGCAGCTCTCGAATAAAAAAACATGTAAACCCTAAAGTAAACTCTCTCTTCCGGATTTTTCTCTTTTGAACTGGTGACATGAACTTTCCATGCTAAAGCTTTCAGGTCATCCCGTAAGTTCTGTCTGAATTTTGAATAAAGAAAACAAGTGACCAAATGTTACATTTAATTACAGATTCAATCAACAATGTATTTTCCCTGATTATCTATGACCTCCATCAATCTATTAACAAGCTTACTATCAGGTCATCCCATGTTTCCGAATTTTGAATAAAGAAAACAAGTGACCAAATGTTACATTTAATTACAGATTCAATCAACAATGTATTTTCCATGATTATCTATGATTCCTTCCATCTATTAACAAGCTTACTAATTCCATTACTGTAAAATTCTTTTGGCTTAGATTCAAAGAACTCACAAATGTCAGTTTTAACCTCTTCCTGTGTTACAAAAGCTGTTTCTTCCAAATGATTCTGTAAGCTACGAAACAAATGGTAGTCTGAAGGAGCAAGATCGGAAGAATAAGGTGGATGAGGAATTTTCTCCCAACAAGTTCTTTGATCTTTTGTGACGTGATTCTTGCTGTGTGGGATTGCCCATTGTTCTAATGAAACATCACCTCTTTTCGATTCACTAGAGCAGGTCTTTTTTTCCTCAAAGCTTGGTTCAAATGCTCTAATTGCTGACAGTATATTTGAGCATTAATTGTTGCATTAGGTGGTAAGAATTCAAAGTGGATTATTCCTTGGCATTTCCACCAGATTGAAAGAAGAACCTTTTGCCCATGAAGTTCCCTTCTCGGCTGTGGCTGGGGTCCTTCCTCTTTACCAAACCAATGTCTACGATGCTTACCATTTCGATAAAAGATTCATTTTTCGTCGCCAGTCACAAGTCTATCCAAAAAGGGTGAAACAAGTTGGCAAGAATGGAGAGAAGAGCAGATGTCAACTCAAGATTTTGAGGTTGTTTTCAGACAATTCATGAGGCACCCATTTTCCAAGTTTAGGAACTTTTCCAAGTTGTTGAAGATGACGATGAACAGTTGCATGGTTTGAACTTAGAACCATTGCCAATTCAACTGATAAAGCAGGATTTTCTTCAAGGGCTGCTTCAAGAAGCTTTTCATCAAACTCAACTGGACGTCCGGTTCGATCTTCATCTTCAAGGGTGAAATCTCCACCTCTGAATTTTGCAAACCATCTTCTGCAAGTTCTTTCATTCACACATTCCTCTCCATAAACTGAGTGAATGTTTCTAGCCTCTTCGGCTGCTGAGTTTCCTTTCTTGAACTCATAAAGCATTATGTGCCTCAAATGATTCTTGGGTACTTCCATGTTAGCAGGGTTTTAATCAAACAAAATTTTATTTTATTGTTCTCTGAAATAAAATTTGATCAGTTTAAATGCATCTAAACATAAAAATAATGTTCAGCTCCATTAGACATTATAAAATACTCTTTAAATTTTGTTTATTTTAACAAAAAGGTAAAATTCAGACAGAACTTATGGGATGACCTGATAAATGTGCTGTGAATGCTTCCACACTAAAACACACCAACACAGTAACACTATAACATATTCATGAACATTTTGTTGTGTATACAATTTATGTCTCACAAAAGAAACTCTTGTTTTAAACTTGCCTCTTGTTAATTTTTGTTTTAAAAATGTTATCTTTTCATTGCAAATTATTTGGTCTGTTATTCTGTGCATGCACTGTTTACACCACCATTATTTCATGTACTATAAAATATTCCTGTAAGAAACCTTACACATTTAATTATTGAAGTAGCTAATCACTAAACTCTTGTATTGTTTTTGCTTGTTAACAATGTTTCTCTTCTTAATCTTTCACATCCAGTAATCTTTGTGTCTTAGTGGATTTACTGCCTTGTATGGGGTGAAATGATTAAAAAGAGAGAAAAAGAAAAAAATTCATACAAGAAAATATTGTTATTAACATAAATTATCTATTTATTCAAAAGGTTGCATAAAGTACCTTTACTTCAATGATACAAACAAATAAAATTCTCAAAATAACAATAAAATGCTAAAGAGTTTTCATCACCATCAGAAAATAAGATTTAATATCAAACAAAATCTTTGAAAATAAGAGAAGCAGAAAGAGAAACACCCATATTGACCTTATGCGATGCCCTACTTTTTGCTGATCTGAAATTATGATAAGCATTTATTTTTTAAAAATCATTACACCTCAATCAAGGCAATAAAGCCACTAAGATGCAAGGGGATCACTGAGTGTGAAAGAATATGAGAAATAGAAAAATATCATTAAGGAGCAGAATAATAAAAGCATATCATTAATGCGGGTAGAATCAATCAATTGATCAACTGTTTGACAGATTGATTGATTAGCAAAGCTAGTGTATAGAGAATTTAGGATTTAAGATGAACATCTGTACTGACCTTCAGTGATGATCCATTTTTTGCAGACGTTGGGTTGCGGAGGCAGATGTAACAGGTTGAAATGGTAAATTCCACCAACCACTGCATTGGCACGCAAATCAACTATTTCATCAGGTTCATCAAAGTCTTCATATTCAACAATCTCTGATCAAAGGAATTCAAAGGAACAATAAATTCAGTCATCTCATGAAAGCTTTTCAGATAATAGCAACAACAAAAGCAGTAAGAATAAACAAATCAGAATGGTAAATAATTCCACTTGTTCGTCTTTTTAGCCATTCATATAAGAATCGGATGAAATGTTCATAGTTGGCTAACTACACTTGTATATTTTTTATTTTACCAACAGGTTTGTCTACTTAACATTTATATCTTGGACAGCTTAAGAACTTTTCAGTCGATCTTCATACTATGCAAATAGGCTTACAGCCTTGGTGCATCTGACAACCAATCAGATGTTAAGTCATGGGACATGCATAAATAAACACTTACTGGAGTAGCCACTCATACTTACCTGGCACAGGGCTCGTCCCTGGGCTGGTGGTATCATGGCTAGGACTATCTTGGACTGGCTCCAGCCTGGACCATCTAGGACAAGCCAAGACCAGCTATGTCTAGCTTAGACCAGCTCTGACCAGCTTGGACAAACTATGACCAGCTAAGACCAGCTTGGACCAGCAGCCCGAATGAAAACATTCGGGTCCCCATGTTAAAAACTGACCTTGTGTCACAACCTGACTCAGTGAGGGGGTCAAGTAAATACACTTACTGGAGTAGCCACTCAACTGGCTGTAAGATGCCATTGAGTGAGCTTGTGTATGGCATGTCTATCCAAACCATGTATATTCTCATTGGATCTTGAAGAGTGAAGAATTAAACATCAGAGGCAAATGTCTATCCTCTCTTTGCTAATGGCCTGAATAGTACTTCATGTAACCAAATCTTTGCTATATTATAAACATTTTATTTTTACTATTTGAAAAATGTTAGCATTGAATAAATATTTAATCATTTACGTTGGTTCATTTTAGTACACATTCTTTTGAGAGAAGTGTATTTTTATGAAGCCCACACTATTTGTGGAAAAAAATTGTTACACATGTATATCTTTTTCAGCTTGACAGTTAAAAACCATCAAAATTTTGATAGATCCATTTTAAGTTTAAGGAAAAAAGTATTTTTTGTATTTTGTGCCCAATGGAGACCTGTGGTATTATGCCCTTGTGAAAACTTGGATGGATCCTTCTACAAGCCTAAATTTCTGAATAAGACCTCAGTTCAGTGGAGAAGAAGACTTTTTGCAAGAAAGGGGATGAGGCAAATAAATATCAAGGAACAAGAAAGCTTTTGACATCAAGAAGTAGGCATCAAGAAGATAAACTAAAAAATTTTGCAGTTCAAATGAAAATTATCTTGTGGTTGGACAAAGAAAAATGGAAAAGAATTCTAAAAAAAAAATCCCAAGCATGAACAACGAATTTGAAAGGAACTTTTCTAACTTTACTGTATGTTCCAGAGATGTTCATGGGGCTAGTGAAAGTACGTCTTTTCATTTTTTTTCACAAAGGCTGTTGCACCTTTGTTTTTTATTGCCTTTTTGTATTGGTTTCTCTTTTTCAAAATCCTTGTCTCTTCCCAAATTGTAATCCTTTCTATTTTTCAATGGTAATCTTTTTTATCTAAAATTGTTATCCTACCTTAATAGGCACACAAAAGGAAATTTTCGTGCAAACTTTGTATTTGTGCCTTTTTTGTAATTGTGCAATAAATGTGTTTTCCTTTTAAAATTTGAGTTTTGTTTGTAATTTTGTACCTATTATGACTTGCTATTCCTACCAACTAAGATTTTGTTTTTGACACAAGAACTTGGTTTAATATTTATAAAAGCTCCTTGTCACCAGCTGTGATTAAATGATTTTAATTAATCTCTTGATACAACGGAATAAGAAATCCAGATGCAATAATCACCTGTTCCCAAAATCCCAAATATTTAATTTGACAATACTGGTCATACCAAAAGCTTATGTCTGTACATTCATTATTTTCATTGAATGAAAGAGAAATCATTTTCTCATGCCAACAGAATCAGCAGCAGATCCATGGGTAATAAGGTGAGTTATAACTGGAAGAATAATAATTTTAGATTTCCTATTTTTTATGCTAATTTTAATACAAAGTTATTTATATGACAAAATATTTTTGCTCTTCATTCTATACAAGTCTCATGTTAAGTTACACGTCTCAATCTCTGAGAGAAGATTAAACAGTAAATATTTTTGAAATGCTTCAACCTGGAGTATTTGGAAAAGGAAACTCTGGCACTTCCTCTTCTTCCTCCTCTTCTTTATCTGCCATTTTGTTAGATTCTTCCTTTGCTCCGTCCATTTCTCCATCAAATGCCAAATCACCTCGTAGACTTGCTAGCAAATCCTGCAAAGAAAACACAAAAACTCCAATTTTCTGCTTTTATAATTAAATTTTATAATTTAAGCTGAATTTAAATTTTAAATAGAGAGGAAGTGATAAAAATACAGAAAAATAAGCATTTGTTTTGTTTACTTGACATTCTAATATTTGGATTTAAAATTAAATTTAAATCAAAATATTTACTGGGAACAGTATTTGGCTTTCTAAATTATTTTTGTCTAAAACATTTTATTCAAAATTTTATTTATTCACTTTTGTTTAATTAAAAACAAGATTTTTCTCAAAATAAAATAATTTTTATTTTATAAACTTATTGCATCTAATAACAATTTGTGTTCCATTTTAATTGATCATATTTAAAATTTTAAAGAATATTGGTGAAAGACATGAATGAAAGAAAACTCCCATATTAAGAAAAAAAAATGATTTCTCTATAGTAATTTTGGATCTTTCTGTTAATTCAACCCAAAATATTAATTCAAGCCAAAATAAAAAGAATTTATATTTACTAAAATTCACACCAAATTCTCCTAAAGTGAGTCCTTTCCATTGCACTCAGGTTGGGTTGACTTTTGACCTCCCTTGACTCAAGAGCATTATTACTAAGTGTGGGGGTCAACATTTGTGCCTACCCCAATAAACAAGCCAAAAACAAATGTTTTTATTTTCGTTTTTTAAATTGTAAAAAATTCCTTGTTAGTACCTCGAATATCATCCGCCCGTATGAAATGTGAATAACTTCCTGATTTTTGGTAACTTTTTCTTCTGAGGATTGGGGTTGTTCAAGACAAGCTAAACAAATTTGGATTTAAAATTTACAATTGCAAAAGTGTGCCAAAAATTTGATAAAAAACAAACAAACTTTGATTTAAAATTTATAATTTCTTGGGGTGAATTAATATTTGCAATAAGTAACTTTACATTATTTGGGCTAAATTAACAGAAAAGATCCATAATTTTTAGTGATGATTGTAGAGCTACATTGGATTGGCCAGATTGCTAAGTTAGAATTTCAATCCTTCATGGAACTAGTCAACCAGCACCACTTAGAAGACAAAAGGGTGGAGGTGGTGTAATACTTTGAGCTTGTACTATAGTTAGTAAAATTACAGAACCCTTCAAATTGATGATGGTGTCAAAATAAATGTGGACGTTTAAATTACTAAGTTCTGGGAGAAGACATTTTTGAGTGCTAAAGATTACGATTTTAGCTAAAGAGTATATTTATGCCAAACAATAATCTTTTACATTCTGCTATTACCCACCTTGTAAAAATAAAAGTTTAAAAGACACCAAATTAATGGAATGGCCTCCTGATTCTCCAGAGATTAATCAAGTAGAATATTTGCAATCCATCATCAGTTTATAAAAGAATGGAAAACAATATTCAATCAAATAAGATCTCTGGGAAGCAATAGAAATTCCTGCAGATAATGTTATAGTTGAAACAGTAGGAAAGTTGATAGAATCAAAGATTGAAAGATAGATGAAGGTTATAGAATGTAAAGGACTCTGTAATATACATAAAATATAAATAATCACTTAACAAGGTGTATGTGTTGTGGGCTGGTGTATGCATTGAGTGATAAACATGTGTGTCTCCTGAAATACCCACAGCAAACATGGCAAACTCGGGATGTGAGTCCACATAAATAAATCAAAAGAAATGACAAGAACCAATATATATGTACAAAAAATGATAAAACAATAAAGGGTTACAAGTGACAAAGACAATAATGTGTGTATCAAACGAATGGGAAAACTTTTTGGGTGCAAAGTATGTGTAGTCAGTGAATGTGCATACATACGTGTGTGTATGTATTGTTCATGTGTTTCCCAAAGGGAATGTGTTCTCCGCGAGAGATTTACATGTTGATGAGTAAGTGGAAAAAGTAAGAAAAGAATGATGAAAATATCACAGAATATTTATCGTCCAGAGAGTGTCTCCTAGGAGCAGTTTCGAAAATTAGGAGGAGGTAACCTGACATATGTAGTAGAATTTTGAGGGGATAAACTTCAATACAGAAGCTGCTCATTTCAAGAAATTCTCCAAGCCGTGTAATAACTCGTAGAGCCAATCTGCTGGTCACATGCGTCATCTGTTTATACGTAGGTCAAGAAGTCAGAGATTGGTTGAGGTGTGACCAAAAATTTGCATGACGTTCTCATATATAAAAAAAGAGTCATGTGGTCTTGCTTTCTTTTATGATGTAGGATCTTCATGGCATGCTGTCACTTGGTTTGATGAGGTAAATCACCATTTTCTTTGTGACAGTATAGAGGGTACTGGGTAAATCAAATGTCTCTATGGTCTACATCTTTTGAATTTATTTATAAATAAATATTTAAATATGAAAGTGAACATTGAGGTGGACACTCAGTAGTAATCTTCAGGCTATCTTCAGGCCATGTGTAGTTTTGGCTCAACTATTTATATATGCTGTTCAATGGTGTATTATGGGTAGAAGATCTATTTTATTATCTTAAATTATTCAGTAGGCAGTAATGGTTATGTTTCAAATTATTCTAGAGGCTATTGTGTAGAAATAATTGGGGTACTGAATGTCATTAGCAGAATCACAATTATTTCTACCCAATAGCCTCTATTGTTGCATTTTGTTTTTTTTTTTATAATAAAACCTGATGTCCCTTGTAGTGGATTTCTAAGTAGGATTGTACATATTTGCATATGTTAAGTAGAATAGAAACAGAGTGCCTAGTAAAGAACAAGCACAAAGACAATGAAGCAAATGGGGGAGAAAATGAAATAAATGACATCTTTCCAGCTTTGTTAAGTTGTGAAGCTATAATGAAAATTTCTCTTATGGCATACCCTCAACAATTGGAGAATTTGACTTTCATGGAAATTTCAGAAATTCTAAAAAGAAGTTGTAAGGGGGTGTTGAAAGTTGGGGGTTAATGTATTATGTTCCCCATTATTATTATTATATTTGTTGACTGTAACAGGGTTGGGGGGGGAGGTGATATCTAATGACAGAAATTGAAATCAATTAAAACGTACAAGAATATAACATAAACAATAATACTTGAGATATGAGTTGACATAAATAACAAGAATTTGTATTTTCTACCCTACTCTACTGTACCGACCCTCTTGTAGTGGAGGGGTTGTTTTTTATAATCACAAGGGTTAGGATGATGAAATATCTTTCTTTTCTATCATCACTGATGACAAGGTTATTTTTAGAATGACAAAATATCCTTATTTTTGTTATCACTGATGACAAGGTTATTTTTAGAATGATGAAATATCCTTATTTTTTTATTATCACTGATGACAAGGTTATTTTTAGAATGATGAAATATCCTAATCATTCTGGACCATAACAATGTTTATGACTTAAAAAGAAACATCATAGTAGAAAGAACCAATTTTTTGTCTATTAAACAGAAACAAGATGAATCAATTATACAATATCTTCACAAATTAAGAAAAGCTAGCAGATTCTGTAAATTTGAGAAACTTGGAACTCAAGATTTAACTGTTGAGGATGAACTGATTCAATTACAGTTGATTGAAGGTATGGCTGATCTTCATTTCTTTTTATGTGCTATGACCTTTCAGGACGTAGGCGATCATGGCTCTCCACCTCCTCCTATCCCTTGCAGCTCTCAACAACTTTCTTCCCTCTGCTTACTTCCCCACACCACGTTCTGTCAACCATTTGCGTAAGCCCACTAGGTATGTCATGTGTTGTTTTCTCTTGTCTTTCTTTCCCTCTATTTGACTTGTGAGTATCAGATTCTCCAGACTCTCCTTCCTCATTATATGTCCCAGAAACTTCAGCTGCCTCTTCCTGATGTTAAGTATAAGCCTCCTCTTTGTTTGCCTCCTCTCTAAGCCCTCATCGTTGCTCACACACTCAGTCTATGATATCCTTAGTATCCTTCTGTAGAACCACATCTTTGTCACCTCGATTCTCTTCTTCATCTTTGAGGAGACCGTCCAATATTTGCTGCCATAAAGAAGGACAGATGTCATGTAACAGCCCAGTATTCTTTTCTTTGTTACCAAAGAAATCCTCCTGTCATAAATATAAGATATTGGGACAATTAGAATTGAATAATTTGTCTTGAAGCATGTGTAGAAGTTATACAACACCACCAAAGTTATTATCAATATTTTATAAGTGTTTTGACAGATTCAGTAAACAAGCAATTGACACCATGTTGTGCTTCATTGTTTTGTTTTTGAAGATGACTTGTAGGTGCTGGCTGAAGGTCGGAGTATGCTTACAAAGGGATGAAGTCGGGGAAAGAATCACTTGAACACACCAAAGATGATAACAGCCAGCATTTGCAGAGAGAATCCACTCATATTTTTCATAACAGCAGTTCTGCTGGGTGGTGGTACATATAACACTGTGGTTGGGCATGACAACTGACAGACATTTTGTACCAACCTGTCAGCATTTTCTGTACACTCCACTCTTTCTCGCAAGTCTTCTTTTATATATATCTGTAGTCACACTACCTAAACAATAGAACCTGAGATCTTTGTACTATCCATATACGTGTAGATTAAAATATACAACAGAATTATTTACTCTACATATTTTAAGTAGGTGACCTAATGACAATAAATCTCATCCCAACCAACCAGACATACTGTGACAGATATTATTAGCTGAAAATCATATGATATTTATGTAAATATAATTGTATACTGTAAATTTCACCAACATTGATTTTAATACCAATTACATTGTATAAAGATTGCATAACAAAAGCTGACACAGTGTATAATACTATACACCGAGATAGGTGGACAGTTTAAAAGTTACCTGAGTTAAATTTTTTTCTACTTCTGCTTCTTTTGTTGTTTCTTCCTGGTGAACTTCTTTTTCTTCTTCTTTTTTTTCTTCTTCTTCTTCTTTTTTTGGTTCTTCTTTAACAATTTCTTCTTTTATTTCTGCCAAAAAGTGATTAAAAAAAAAAAAAAAAAAAAATCAAACACACTTCAAATTGCATTTGAATTAAAACTTCATTTTTTTTTCAGATTTCTTGAAAACAGTTTTTATATTTTTTTTTTATTGTCCAGGGTAAACAAATCGATAACACTCGATAACATGCACCAGACAAGTTACGTTCCACTAAGCTGTGGAGATTTATTGTCAATTGTATATAAAATGAAGTTTTAGTTGGTCAAGTATGTTTTAGCAAAAGAGGCTTTTAGAAGCTGCAATGAAAGGGTGATATAAAAGATGCAAGGAAGAATGAACAATAGACAATCTTCATTTAAATATAAAATATTGGTTTCATATTATTGTATCCTGCCTGACACACAGTAGATTAAATATTAGAAAGACACATATACCATGAGAACATAATGAAAGAACAACAATAATATTAGATAATTATGATATTTTAAAAAAAGTTACTTGTTTGTGGTTATTTTAAACTGTGTGCATGTTCATATGATAATCAATTAAAGAAGTATACAAAAACTTGATTGTCTACTGCAGACCATTTATTCTCCTTTTTAAATATAAACTGTAGTGAAAAAAAGTTCTCAATGTCTCATGGGTTAGGGTAAAGAAGTATAAATGCCGTATTAATGGTTGTTTTCAAGTCAGCCTTGTGCAGAGTTGGAACAACCAAAGAAAAATCTGGACTTTAAAGATGGAGGGCCATACATTTTTTTCGCTTTCTGTTAGGGTCCCAGCTATGGGCAAATAGTTGACCCCCAAACTGGGGCCAAAACACTATGAAAGTGTAAAAATAGGTATTAATACCAGAAATATTTTGTAAAAGAATTATTACCAGCAATAAACTTTTGAAAAAAAAAAAATTACCAGTGATACATTTTTGAAGAAAAAATATTACCAGAAATAGATTTTTGAAGGAAAAAAAAATATTACCAGCAACACATTTTTGAAAAAAAATATACCAGCAATAAAAACTTTGTTGGCATTAAATAACCCATTGAGGTTTTGATATGCCATAAAACAAACCAAACCAAACCTATTCTAAACCTATGTCTACTGTTGGATTATTGCCCACTGATAAAATCTCACTGTGGCCAGATTTTTGAATTATCACCCATTGACAATATTTACAAGCTGCGCAAGATTTAAAAAACTCACTGTCTTTCTCAGTGACTTTTCATAGTGTAAAGATGTATTTTTCCCTCCTGCAAAATGTGAATAATCAACTATGGAGACAAAGTTGCTTTGAACTATTCACATTTCATTTTATTTCTCATCTTTTCTTTAGTGAAATAACCTGATAATGTATTTGTTAATAATTCCTCCTTCAAATTCTATGTCTTATTATTCCTTGGCATTTATAAGAATCAACCAAAAATTGTTAGCAGATCAAATATATCAGGAGCTTATAATTTCTCATCAAATGAATATATACCCACTACAGATATAGAAACAAGAGGAATGTAAAATCTATTACCCATGTTTTTTAACTAAATTTTTCGAGTTTCACCGCAGTTCAAAAGTTTGAGGACACCCCTGGTAATTTTTTAAATTGTCCCCCAAAAGTAGTTGCTTTTTATTTTAAATAAAAGAAATTAATTATTCCACACTTGTAAAAACTTACAATCTTTCAATCAAAGAGCTTGCTGCCAGATGTAGTTTATTTCATACCCTGGTATGGAGTTGTGCTAGAAAATCTTTCTCTATAAAATCTATCTTATATAATCTACAATTCATCCATGATTAGAATGCTGTTGCTATATATGGTTCTGTGCTCCTGCTATGTATCTAGAGATCCTTGATAAAATACAAAGAAGAATCTGCAATATTATCTGTCCTGATCTTGCATCTTGGCTTCAGCCTCTTTCCCGCAACTGTGAAATGTGAGTAATCGACTATAGATACTTAAAGTTGCTTTGAAGTTTTTGCATTTTATTTCATATATTTTCCTTTGTTAAATGTCCTAACAATATAAATTACTAATATTTCTTTGTTCAAATTCTATGTCTTATTTTTCCTTTAGACTTAGACGAGTCCAGCAAAAATTGTTAACAGGTCAAATGTACCAGGAGCTTTATAACTTCTTATCAAAAGTGTTTATACCCACAACACTACATATTTGAAAATACGATCCATTTACTATGCAGCTCAAAAAAGAAGAAAGAAAGCCGAAAACAGAACAAAAAAAAACATTCATATTATTCTTTTTTATATGCCTAATTCAACAAACATCTTATTCTATAAATTCATGCTACTGTTACAACAAGAAGCTTCCAACAAATCTCACATGAGATGATGACATGAGTTCAGATATGGCTTCATGTCCATGACATTGAACACCTTAACAATACCTTGCAATACCACCAGGTTTTGATGGTTCTTTGTTATATTACAACAGCATCAGGTGCAAGTAGATGCAATCTCTGCCTCAATCTTGAAACTGGTTTCCTATAATATCAACCAGACATCGGTCAGATATATGAAGGCTGAAGTGGAAATAACATAATAAATATTAGTCACATGGCTTACATTTTTAAATCCTATCTTCTTCTATGTACCTTGTCTCTTCAAGACATTGTCGATCAAGGCTCTCCACAATTTCCTGTCCTTTGTAGCTCTTAATAAGTCCCGTCTTCTATGTACCTTGTCCCTTCAAGACATTGTCGATCAAGGCTCTCCACAATTTCCTGTCCTTTGTAGCTCTTAATAAATCCTGTCTTCTTCTATGTACCTTGTCCCTTCAAGACATTGTCGATCAAGGCTCTCCACAATTTCCTGTCCTTTGTAGCTCTTAATAAGTCCCGTCTTCTATGTACCTTGTCCCTTCAAGACATTGTCGATCAAGGCTCTCCACAATTTCCTGTCCTTTGTAGCTCTTAATAAATCCTGTCTTCTTCTATGTACCTTGTCCCTTCAAGACATTGTTGATCAAGGCTCTCCACAATTTCCTGTCCTTTGTAGCTCTTAATAAATCCTGTCTTCCTCTATGTACCTTGTCCCTTCAAGACATTGTTGATCAAGGCTCTCCACAATTTCCTATCCTTTGTAGCTCTTAATAAATCCTGTCTCTCTTCTATGTACCTTGTCCCTTCAAGACATTGTTGATCAAGGCTCTCCACAATTTCCTATCCTTTGTAGCTTATAATATATGTTGTCTCTACATTGCTAAAAATACATACCATTCATTGTTGCTTAAGAAAAAAAACACTAAACAAAGAGTAAAATAGAATAAAAAAAAAAAAATAAACTTACAATACCACCTCACTTTCTTTGTTCTCTGTTAGATCTTGGGAGCAGCAAGTGCAAACAGATGCAGTCAGCTGCAGAGTCAGAATGACATCCCAGCATCTGGCTATAACATTGTACTTACACCAGTTAGTTTACTGATCAGATTGGTACTTACCTTGAACTTTTTTCCTCAATCTGTATGACCGAGATTTTGGAGAATAATGATCATAGTTTGTGTACAGCAGGCGAATGGCACAGTTTGTCAGGGCCAGAACTTTGGGAATCTCAAATGTGAAACCCATTTCTTTAAATTCATAACTCTTGATCCTAATGAGACATAAAATACCAAAAAGAAATTCAGTGAAAACAGAAAAGCTCAAAACAAATTTTGCAAACAGAAGAAATGTTTGAAAGAGAAAAAAAATAATAAAATGAATTCTAAATTTTTTAATCATTTAACCCCAAGCAAGGCAATAAAGTCACTATTACACAAAGAGATACTTACTCTTTGTATAATAGTGACTTTATTGCCTTGAAGAAAATGATTGACATTGCATTTAAATTTCTAAAGATCAAAGTTGGCTGAAAAGTAAGAAGCCAGAAGAGAGTTTTACAAGTAAGAATTGCAAGAGAAGAAACTGTTAGCATAGAACATATGGTTACATCTCTTGACATTTTAACTGTAAAATGATGAGACCTTGCTGCCAATCTAGTACTGTGCTTAAATTCATAAAGTCTAGGTGCTATTGAGGAAAGTTCATCAGAACAATTACCATGAAAATATTTATAGAAATGGCAGTGAAAAGCTATGTAATGGTGATGGGAAAGTGACTGAAGCTGAGATGTTAGGTCAAGACCAATAACATTACAGATTCTTTGGATTTTATCAAGAATCTTCACATATCAGGTCACAGTGCCAGCAGTATTCAAAGCAAAGAGGAATGGTAGACTTATAAATATGTAAGACAGATTCAGGGGAGAAAAATTGTCTAGCATGATACAGTGAACCAACATTCTTAGCAGCTGACCTAGCAATGGATTCAATATAATCTTTTGACTTCATGTCAGAGGAAAACATTAGTCTGAGAAGGTGTAATGAGCCAATCTCCTGGAGGTTAGCATTAGCCATGCTAATTGAAGTTAAAAAGATGATTAAAAGTAGTTAATGAAGTTTGGGAGGTGTTAAAATTAACAAGCCATTCCTTGCCCCAATTAACAACAGACTAGTGGTCATTTTTGAGATCAGATGCCAATTTGACCATATTGAACTGATCAGACTTACAGGAGTAAACAGTTGTGTTGTCATAGATACCGAGTTGCTAACTGATGATATAAGGAAGGTCATTGATGAAAAAATAATAACAACATTTGATAAATACAAAAGCTTTTATTTAATAATTGGAAGAATAAATAACTGTTGAAATTACTTGCGTAAAAAGAAACAAGTGAACTTTGAAAAGTTGACTCTTGTAAATATCATTTTAGACTTTATAAGATTACGTTTTACATCATGAAAGAGACAAAGAAGACATACACAAAAAGCAGTCAACAGGAGACCTAGTTTCAGCTGCTGCATCTGGGCACATCATTGTATTGAATAATGAAAACCATTAAATATGCACACACACACACATGTGGGTGCACATATATGTACACACACACACAGATACTTTGGCATGGTGTAATGGTTAGCAAGCTTGTCTTTCTAGATCCATTATGACTGAGTAATGAGTTTGATCCTCATTGGGTGCTCCACGCTTTTGGCCTTGTGCCACATCTAAGCTATGCTTAGAAAACCACACACACATATACACACAAGTCCTGGGTAAGACAATAAACTACATCTGGTAGCAAGGCCTCTGATCAGGAGGTTTTGAGGAGCATGGAACCACCTCTTAATTGCTGTTGTTCCTAGGTCAACCCTGATCCGGGGTGGTAGCTATGGGCAAATAGTTAACCCCCCAAACTGGGGTCAAAACACAAAATACCAGAAATACATTGTAAAAAAAAATTATTACCAGCAATACGTTATTGCCAGCAATACATTTTTGAAAAAAAAATATTACCAGCAATAAAAATCTTGTAAGCATTAAATAACCCATTGAGGTTGATATGCCATAAAACAAACCAAGCCAAACACACACACACACTCATTTATCTCTCTATATATATATCTATATATATATAGCTATTTTCTAAAGAAGTAATGGATTTTTATTTATTAATCCAACAGTTTTTATCACTTTAAATATTATTTTTAGTGAATACTTATATCTGAGGAGAGGCTTTGTTTATTTATTAAACAATGTATTTATTTATTTTTGTCTACTGGGCTGAATGTTTGAGAAATCTGATTAAAACATAATATGCACTATCTGTCAAGATTCGAACCTGTAATTTTTTCAAGAAGTAATGGATTTTTAACAAATAAATGTGTCTACTCAAATATGAATATTCAATAAAATAACATTTAAAGCAACGCTTTAAATTTAGACACCCCAACCTTACCCTGACTTGATGTCTTTGAATGTAACTGAGATATTGATACAAATTATTAACCCTTACGCCCCTTTTCTTTAAATAATTCCTCTAGCCGTTACCATAGTAATTTTAATTTTAATAATGAATATGCTCATAAAATGCATAAATTTCAGGAATTAGTTATTCCAAAAAAGATTTCGCTTGAAGATGGAACAGAGCTTGGTACTTTAATTCAATTTAATTCAAATAATTATATTGAAGTTTTCGGCTCTCGTTTTGAAACGTGAGAACTCTTATGTAGCGATTTTAAAATAAATAATTATACATATATATTTCACATTTTAAAATAAATAATTATACATATATATATATATATATATATATATGAATTGAGTTCTCAAGCCACTGCTATATTTTGTACAGAAAAAACGTTAAAATTTCTCTTATTCTCTGCCCTGTGAAGGCGTAGGATATCTAACTGATGTCAAATCGATTGAGTTTCAATCCTGGCTTGGGGTGGTCAGACATTTGGCCACACTGAAGAGCTGTGAGACAGCAAGGCAGTCTGTCTGTGGATGACACTATATATATATATATATATATATATATATATATATATATATATATATATTGATAATATTAGTGGTCAATATATATATATATATATATATATATAATTAAATTCCCAAGAGGATAGAATCCAGGTAGAACTCAATATCCAGGACAGAGTAAGAATATAATATAAATCCTGACTATAAATAGTATAAATAATGATAACTCATTTTAATCTTGAAATATATATACCTCTGAATATATATACCTCTGAATATAAAGATGCTCACTTACCTAAGGTTTTTCCCTAGGTTCCCCCAAATACACAGTGTTATGCTGTCATTTTTTCCACACAGCTGAAGGTTTGATGTTTCTGGATCAGCATTCTTGGAGGCATTGCACAATTCCACATGTGTACAAGAATCGATTTTGAATTGAAGAAGATTATCAAGGTTGATGATGGTCTGAAAAGTTCAATTAAATATGTCTGTAACTTTTTTTTAATCGTATCTCTCCAAGCAAGGCAATAAAACCATTAAGGAAGGTAAGCAAGGGCTTACTGAGTGTTAGAGAATATGAGAAGATAACGATTGACAAGGCATATAAATTTTTGAAGATCAAAGTTGACTGGGAATCAAGAAGCCAGAAAAGAGTTCCACAATTTCATCTGAAATAAAATATTCGACTGTATCAAAATTATTTACTTTACCATGCTTTCTGAAAATTTTCAAGGCCTTGTCAGCATCATAATTGACAAATGATGGCTGTCAACTACTAGACATTATTTCAATGAGAAATCACCATCCATAAACTGATTTATCCAGACACTATTTACATTGTTCGGACTGTCGTCCTCATCTTTGTTGCCATATTTATTGCAATGTTTCGGTCGTTGTACACTCCAGCCTTCTTCAGGTGGTTGGAATGTTGAACTGAATACATGGCACAGTGGATAAAGGTGTTAGTTAGATCCAGTGACAGGACCCAAAGAGTGTGAGTTCAATACCTGGCTAAGGTAGTGGAGAACATTCAGAGAGAAATTAACAGGAGATAACTGATAACTGACATCCATTAGACATGGCGCATCGAACTAGAACCCAGTGAGTGAAATAAAGGGTTCAGTTCGACATTCCAACCACCTGAAGAAGGCCAGAGCATAAAATGGCTGAAATGTTGTGATAAATATGGCAACAAAAATGAGGATGATAGTTCGAACAATGTAAATAGTGTACATAATACCTCATCTCAGAAATATAGAGAGATACTTTATCCAGCTTCGAGAATTATCACAGGATCTTGTTTGAATTCATTCTACTTCCCAAATTCGTAAGTAGCTTCTGCAACTTTGAGGCAGAGTTCCTATTTTATTTTTATTTTTGTTAATTAAGTTCACCCCAAGTAAGGCAGTAAAGCCACTGAGACACAAGGGATTACTGTGTGTGGAAGTGTTAGAAACAGGAACACTTGATAGGGAGTGAGAAGAGAGTAATCATAAAGAGAGTAGATAGTGACTGACATTGCATTTAATTTAAAGTTGGCTGGAAAGCATGCAGCTGGAAGAGATTTCTACGAGTGAGTAATACAAGAAAAGAAACTGTTAGCATAGAATTTATGGTTGGATTTAGCCAACTCAACTGTAAAATGATGAGATCTTGACACTGGTCTCATAGTGTGTTTAAATTCAAACTGTCTCAGTACCATAGAATTTCATTTGTTTTCATGTGCTCATACAGCTGTTTTTCTCAAGACAAGCAACATTTGTATAAAGACTTATAATTTTTTGTAAATTTTATACATATTTTTATATTTGTATACAATTTTCAAACAAAACCTGAAGAAGGCGGACATACTCTGTCGAAATATTGTCAAACACTGCATTTCTTTTTCTTTTCTTTTCTTCAATTGTTGCTCTTTTCAAAGTGTTGAAAAATATTGGAAGACTTACGTCAATCATTTTGACTTTTAATGCTACTACTGTTACTATTATTACTACTTTGGGTAGATGAAACTTGTCAGCCCAGGAGGATAGTCCATCTAAGAGAAGGGTAATTCTGATTTTAAACCTCCACTGCCTGAAGTCCTTAAGACAGTCCAATGTCACGTTCAATTTTGTTCTGGCAGGTGACAAGTTGTATTGGACTCTACCTTTTTTTTGGACAACGTTGTTGGAATGGAGAGGAGAGATGTGCTGCATAAGCCCCTTCCCAGGGGCTTGAATTTAAGCACAGTAACAGATTGGTGGCAATGTCTCATCATTTTACTGTTGAAATGGCTAGATGTAACTGTAAGTTCTATGCTGACAGTTTCTTCTCCTGCACTTCTCACTTGTAGAATCATCTTTTGACTTCTCACCAAGTTTAATCTTCAAACATTTAAATGCAATATCAAATGTTATCTACTGTCTTCTTAATTCTTGTTCTTTTATTGTTCTTTCTCCTTAATAGAGTTTTTTTCTCATATTCTCTAACACTCAGTAACTTTTTGTGTCATAGTAGGTTTATTGCCTTGCTTGGAGTGAAATGGTTAAAAAAAAAAGTATAGTGGAATCATAAATAGTTTTGTTATGAAACCAAATTACAGTAAAAAAAAAGTCATTTTCTTTTTTTTACTGTAACATTCAACCTTTACAAGCCCTGGGGGCCATTTGAGGTAGACAGTTATGTTAAAAGGCAATTTGTGCATATAGGAGGGAAAGATAACAGTTAACCCTAGCATTGAACATATTAAGATTGTAGTGATTGGGGAAACATCCTCTTGGGAGTCAGGTTGGAGAATAATTCGTCATCCACAAAGGTTTGAAAATACTTTTGCACTCTGTCAAGGCTGGAGAATGAGGTCTGGACAGTGTCCAACCAAATATGGCAACAGTACTCCATCTCTGGGCTGATCTTGTAAAGGAAGAGGATAGCAGGAGGAGTCAGGTACATACTGGAGTGCTTAGTGGAGTTAATCTGGAGCCTGAAATGATCTTGACATGAGATATGCACATTTATAAGCAAGAAGACTGACACGTGTTTATTTGGTGGGACTATATGCAACAATGGGCATGTGGAAGAGTGGTTAGAACATTCACGTTCTGACCATGAGACCCGGGTTCAAATCTCACCATGGTCGTCAGAGAGGAGACTGCTTGATGTTATCAGACTGGAGAGGTTGATCCCAACGTGTGGCACCTTTGAAAAGTGCCTGAAAATGATACCATGGTTTGATCCAAGCCTTGTGAGTGAAATTGGGTAGACAGAACCCTTGATAACCCAACTGCCAATAACTGTGCTAGCACAAAGTCACAAGTCATTGTGGCTGAGGATTTGAGTGTGCTGGCCTTATTCAAATTGTTGATCCCACTAGATAACACGCTCTTTCCCAGAAACTGTAACTAAGGTCTGCTCAGCACAGTTGCAGCATGAACCACAAGTGGGCTCTGTGGCTGTTGAATAAACACAAATGTGCCTGAGCAAGCATCTGTATTAGGGATTGGCTAGACAGGTATCCTCGAATATGAATGGCCAGCTATATATATATATATATATATATATATATATATATGCAACAATGTATTGGGAACTGGAAAGGGAAATCACCTAAGAGCAAGCTCAAGGGAGATAACCATATAAATAAATATGCATAAAATAATCTTTAGAATAAAGACCTGTAAAATAAAAAGTAAAAATACAGATACTACTAAGTTTTATCTGTCATAACATTGTTTATAAATAACAATCTTTCAAGAAACCTCAATATCTTGATATATGGCACACCATCTTCCTCTATGTGAGCGTCCCAATCACCTTAAAACTTATTCAACCATAAAAGCATCCAAGTAAAATTTTAAACATTTTTGTTCCCTGGGGAAAAATGTGAAATTAATGAACAAGGTGTTCTTGGGCTTGAGAATGGGAAATTTCTCAAAAAATAAATATTACCCCCCACCCAATTCTACAGGGTGGCCAGTAAAAAGTGGTAAATTCAGAAAGAAATTTATTTAGCTAACATGATTCATGCACAAACTGAACAATCCCCATAGTTGTTCGAAATGTTTGCTGCAATGTTCAGTTATAAGCGTGATAACCAGGAGGCAGTAACTTTATTCAATGTCATGAATATTCTAGAAATTTACTCAAGGTTATTCAAAGTCAATTATTCCTGAAAGATAAAACAGTGATAATAAATTTGACACTTTTTTTAACTGGGGAGCCTGTATTGGGGTTTGTCTGATGGTTTTCTAAGTGTAGCTTATATGTAGTATAAGGCTGAAAGTATGGAGCACAAAGTGAAGCTCAAACTCACTTTTCAGTCACAATTGGTTTAGCAGGACAAGCTTGTTAACCATTACAACATGTCAAAATGCCCCATAAGTGTATGTATGTGTAGATATTATTTTATATGAATATTTAAATATTCACCCAGTGAGCAAATAGAAAATCTGTAAACTGTTAGGGCTTATACTTTGACAAAGTGACCATTTTTCTTACCTCTTGGAAGCGTGCAATATGTTTTTCTGTCAGATCTTCATCGTCAGTTATGTCCATATGAGTTAGGTCCTGCAATTCTTTTATCAACTGTCAAGAAAATATAAAGATGGCTTTTATCCAAATCAATGACTATATATGTCATATGATATATTGTTCATATAAATATATACTGAAAATCTTTTATAATCTAGCAAGTCCTGATAAAAATAAAAATAAAACATATAAAGACCCTCTCATTCTTTCTTTCTCTCTCTATATACATCTTGACTCTCAAATAAAAAAATGAAGAAAAAGAAAAAATTGAACTTGGCCGAAAAATGCCAGAAATTTGCAGAATCAGAGCTGACTTATTTGTGACTGAAAACTAACAAAAACCAGGGAGGCTCCATGCAGAACTTTTGTTATAAAAAAATGGAAAAGAAAAGAACATTGGAAAATAAAATAATTTTGGCCAAACAAAAAAATTAGCACCAAGAAATTTTTAGCTGAAACCAAAAGTTCATGCTAGAATCTCAGAGCCTGGTCAAAAGGATATAAGCTGACATGCTAGAAGGAGGATGGCAGGAGAAGATAGACAAAAAATACTACTATGGAGAAACCAGCCATGTGTGATGTGTGTAAAAGTAGTTAAGATGTCAAGAGGTCAATGATAATTCTGCCCTCCTTAGGGGCGAGAAAAACACAGTAGATTGACACTGACCTATTTCTAATACCACTAATACACCTAGTGTGGTCTGCTTTCAAAACACCACTACCAATCATTTCTCCAGACTGCTATCAATATCCGACTAAAGTGTCAGCAGCCAATGGTAAGCAAACTTTGCTTTCAAAAGCCTAATCTGGGAATTAAATTATTCCTTATAAGGGTGTTCCAATAAGTTGAACCGATTTTAAATGTGAATTAAATTTAAGTGTCTAATGATTTTTTCTTTTTTTTTCACATTTAATAACTTAAGTGTTTGGCAATTTCAACCATGGAAAGATGAACAATCAAACAATGTGTTAAAGTTATTAGAGCCTATTACAAAAATGGACATTCAAAGAGAATTTTAATGAGACATTCCCTAGTTGCATCATCTCTCGAAACAGCAAAGTCAATTGACTACCACGATCGTGTGACTTGACGCCTTTAGATTTCTTTCTTTGGGGGTCGTCTCAAAAGTAAGGTCTATGCCAACAAGCCAACAACAATTCAACAGCTGAAGGATGAGATAATAAGGCATATTGGTGAGATTGAGGAGCAACTATGTAGAGATGTCATCAAAAATTTTGACCATCGAGTGGTGGTGTGTCTTGGCAGACATTAAGGTGATATTATTTTTCACACATAATTGCCATGACTTAAATAACATGATCCAATAGAGAAATAAATAAATTTTCACCAATAACACTGATTTATTTACTGCTGACTTTGATCCGTCTTAATGAAACACCCTTTATATTATATAAGTTATAAAAACTTGTTTTCATGTCTAAGGCATTTACTTACAGAAAGGTCCAGCTCTGTGTTTTTCAACACAGTGTGAATATTTTCATCTTCATTGTAATTTGACTGAAGACTGATATAAGTGTTGATATCCCCTTGAATTGTTGGGTCCGGGGTTCCATCACATCTCATGTAACGCTCCCACTGCAAAAGAAAGCAAATGTTATTTTTGACTAAGACTAGCTTAGTATGGCACAAAGATACAAGTGTAAAGCATTCAGTGAGCTTCAAAATTCCTACTGTGAAGCAATGGTCAACCAGTCTAGCTCGTTAACCATTACCCAATTCTAAAGCAAGCAAGAAAGATTAACTGTTGCAGATCAGATGACTGAGAACAGCACACAATTCACATTCATGAAGGTGAACCACTATACAGTGTAAGCCAAAAATAGCACATAATTTCCATTTTCTCATACACCTGTTGATTAAGAATAAAATGTGAATATGTGGACTCTCTGGTCAATGGAAGGTCTACCTTTTCACAAAGCAAACCTTTCTTGTTTTATTTCTATGGAATAAATGTTTTATTAAATTTCAGCTTGTCCTTTCGTTCTATATTCTATTGTTGAAAATGAATTGACAAGGTTGATATCTCCACATGAGATAAAAATATCACTTCACATCTTTTGATGTGGCTGGATGGTCATCATGGAGAACTGCAGCATATGTTTGCTGCAACTGTTCAGTGATGTTTCAGTGTTGGCAAAAGTAGATTAGATGCTTTGATTTTGCCATTTTGTGCAAATTACTTCAAAGTTAAAAAAATAAAAACTATGAAAATACTGTCACAATGGCAAAATTATTTTTTCTTCAAACAGAGACAGCTACATATGTTTTGTTTATAATCCTTACTAACGTTTAACTTAGTTGAAAATTTTGATAATCTCAAAGTCTTCTGAGGAGTTAATGATGAAAAACAAAATATTTATGTTTCTCATACAAAATATTAATAATTTTTATAAAATGTATTGTGGACAGATGAATTTGAATTTGAACTTTTTGGTAGTAAGCAGAGCTTAGAGATAGACTGAAAAATAAGAGCAAGTACACTGTAGTTACTGAAATCTTAAAAATATATGAAGAAATGAGGAGTTTCCAAAAAAGCTTTTTGCCTGTAGTATATATAAATATTTGAGCTACCCTTTCAGAAAAATGAGGTGAGAATTACATTTAAGCATGAAACTGTCACCATTCAGTGATTATACTTTGGTCTGCACTGCTTATATTTACATACACTATGACATATCTTATCATACATATACATATATATAGACATACATATATATATATATATATATATATATATATATATATATATATGTCACACATTATGAAATGAACAAAGTCCGACAATTATTTTAAGACATTTTTTATGTTTATATGTTCTTTTTATAGATACAAATATTTAAGTAAATGCTCTGTTTATAATAAACAGTATTAATGACATTTACAGGCCTGAAAGTCCGAGAAATTTTCATAGAAATATGTGTCCTCTGACAGGAATCGAACCAGTATCCTATACAGAACCATCATATAGCCTGACAGGATTTTACCGATTGAGCCACAGAGGAGTGTTTTGGTTAGCAAGGTCGATTTTACTGTTTTTAAACAACAATTCTCCATGATTTTCTCTCATACATTCATATCTGCTCAGTGTGTATCCAAATGTAAACAAATGATGTCACACATTATGAAATGGACAAAGTCTGACAATTATTTTAAGACATTTTTGTTTTATATATATATAAATCTTATATATATATAAACTTTATACATACATATATATATATATATATATATATATATAGATATATATATATATATATATATATGTGGTAAGTCAAAAGTAAGTGAGTAATATTCAAGAAACATTTTTTCTCTTTTCTTTTTATTCATTTTGTTTCTTCATGGATACACTCCATCTGGAAATAATTTACACACACAAAGTGCAAAAAGTTTTTATGTGACGTGTTTCATCCTTTATGACTTCATTAAACTAAATTTGACACATTTGATGTATTATTTTGTACAATGTCCCTTTTGTGTTAAAAAATATACATATATTATCTTACCAACAAAATCTATCATATCTAAAATTGAAAAGAATTTACCTAAACTCAACATAAAATTTATTACTACTATATCTAAAACAATGAAAGGCTTAGTCAACACTAAACAAAGCAATATGATATCACCTGTAATAATTGTCACAAAACATACATAGGAGAAACCTCAACAAATTTAAATAAAAGATTGTATGAACACAAAATGGACATCTTACAAAATAATGCATCAAATGCATTGCTTGCCCACTATAATGAAACTGACCACAATTTTGACAGAAAAAATGCTACTCTAATCAAAGGAGAAAACAAATCACTAAAAAAAAAATGTTTAGAGAGTCCATTAATAGCAAGGTCATCCACAGTAGATTTGTGCCTTGGCTTTCACAGCATTTAGCAATTCTTGGCAGAACTATTTCACAGTGTGAGATATCTTCTAACAAAAGTGATGGAAAGAAGAAAAAGAATCTAAATGGAATTGGCAAGATTATTTAAAAAAAAAAATTCCCAGCATCTTTCATTTGTGTACATATGTAATTTCAACAACATAACAAATTTAGCCTGATGAAGTTGTAAAGGACAGCATGTGTCACACAAAAACTTTTCCAGTTTGTCATACATTTTACCTCAATATTGTTTTAGATGTATAAAAATATATAGTTATTTCATATATATATATATATATATATATATATATATATATATATATATAAAGATAGAACAGTAAGATATATAATCCAGTATTCTTGTTATTTTTTTATTTTATTTTTACAAAAGAGTGCTCAATGTAAATTTACAGAGCATAAATATAAATTAACTGATTTAAAATGTTTTTCGCTACACATGTGTAGCAAAAAAACATATTTTAAATCAGTTAATTTTAATATATATATATATATATATATATATATATATATATATATATATATATATATATATATATATATATATAATTATTATTTATAAAAAAATTATAACATAAGTATGTTATCAAATCACTACAAAAATAGCCATTTTGTTTCAACACACTTGGTGTCTTATCAAGTGATGATGTTGAAGATAAATATATATATAAAGATATATATATATATGTATATATATATATATATATATATATATATATATATATATATATATATATATTTCAGCAGCATATTTTCATTGAGACATGTTTCATGGAATAATTTAGACATCTTCTGTCTACTCATTCTTGCAAGGATCCTTTCATATTAATAGATAAGCATTTTTGTGTGATTATTGAAAGATCAGAGGAAAACGCTGATACATATTGTATTTAAACTATCTATTGTATGTCAGGGAAGCAAATGAAAGAAATATCTGGAGACTGCATTTCATCAAAATTTATAATTACAGTTATTCATTGTCTATAAAATGGTAAATAATAAATGCTTCATTATCATTGGTTCACATATTTTTATAATCCTGTAAATAAGCAAATCTAATAAATAAACAGTGTTTAATATTTTGCTGTCAGTTCTCATGTTTAAAGAAAATGTATAAATACACTTTCAAATGTTTAAATTTTTAAAAATTCTAATTATTGCATTTTAAAACAAACATTGCTGAGGGAGTCAAAAACGTATACAGTAATAACAAGTTTCTTTAGATACACTGTTTTTATTGTTGTCACGAGTGTTAAGCATTGCCAATGATTATTATATTTCTTATTCACTGTTTAAACTGATTCTGCCAAGTTGGAAGAAATGCGCCCAGATTAATGAAATGACCTTGATTTTTTTTTTTATTATCCTTGGTAACAGACCTTTGCATTTTTGCGATTTTCAATGGCTGCTCTTTGGAACATGCTTTCTTGTTCTTCAGTCATTGTAGCAATCTCTGTCAACTCAGTGACTCGTATTTTTCGTTCCTGCCAAATTAATAAAAAAAAAATTAGAGCAATTCATTCATTCAAGCATGACCAAGAAGAGAGAGTTAAAAATGTTTCTCTAAATATGAATTAATTTCCAAGATTTCATTCTATTTCTAATTTTTTTTAACTGGTATCACTCCAAGCAAGGCAGTAAAGCCACTAAGACAAAAGGCATTACAGGGTGTGGAAGAATTAGGAACAGAATCATTAATAATGAGAGGCAAGAGATAAGAGTAATCAGGAGGATAGTAGATAGCGATTGGCATTGCATTTAAATTTTTGCAGAAAATTTCAAATTTTTGGCTGGAAAGCATTGAGCCAGAAGGGAGTTCTTCAAGTGAGAAGTGAGAGAAAAGAAATTGTTAGCATAGAATTTACAGCTACATCTAGCTATCTCAACTGTGAATTGACAAGTATAGAACTACATTTAAATTAAAAAATACTCAAGGTACCATAGCAAAGAGCTCATTCGAAAAATTACCATGAAAGAATTTATAGAAAAGAAAAGAGGCAACTTTACAACAGTGGGGAAGTGAATGGAGCTGAGCTGCCAGATCAGGACCAATAATATTGCAGATTCTTCTTTGGATTTTATCAAGGAGCTCAAGGTAAATAGCAGAGGCAGCGGACCATATCTGGCAGCAATATTTAAAGCATGGGCGAATGGTAGACTTATAGATATGTAAGACAGCTTCTGAAGAGAAAAATTGTCTTGCATGAGACAGTCAACTGACTTTCTTAGCAGCTGACGTGGAGGTTAGCATCAACCATGCTGATGGAAGGTAGCGAGGAGTCTTCTGCAGCAAGGGTTGCATGTAGTTTTTCCTTTGGGTAGGTGTCTTGAGGGGAGATTTTGATGTTTGTTCCCATGAGGAAAGAGAAAGTTGATTGATGGAGAGAATAAATAAAAATCAAATCTATCTTCATTTAACTCTGGGGGTCACTTGTAGGCAGGAATGTTTCCCAGTTGCATGTGTGTGTGTGTGTGTGTGCTTAGAAGTGTATAGAGTGGAATGAACAAAACCAAGGCATAACTGTGTGACAGCTTTTATCTGTGGTTGAAAAAGAGTGTAAAATTGTGATATTTTGTGGGAAATGATATGGGGTTTTTCAGCTAACAATATTCGCTCTTTGACAAGATGTTTCGTAGAGAGAAATTTCTCCACTTGTTCCCACACAAAACAAGAAATCTAAGTATCAGACTGCTAGGACTGATACGTGTCTTCTGCAGCAAGGGTTGTGTGTAGTTTTTCCTTTGGGTAGGTGTCTTGAGGGGAGATTTCGCTGTTTGTTCCCATGAGGAAAGAGAAATCTCAGGTCAAGGCCACATGGATTTGGCAGCAAGGATTGTGAGTAGTTTTTTTTGTGCTCTCCTTGAAGTTAGCAGACACTGAAAAGGAAAAGGTGAAAAAGATACCAAATACAGCTTGATTGGCATTTTCATGATTTCTGGGACTTCCTGTTGTACCCTTCTGATTACTTCCTGCTACTGCTGAATCGAACAAAGTAAGGAAGCCCCCGCATGCCACAATAGCCGATAAGTGAGATGGTTATTATAGTTCAGAATGGTTGATATCAAACCCTTGGATGAACTAGGGATCAATAAAGTGCCTCGGGATCAAGTTAAACTTTTAGGGTGTCAAAATAATTATGCTTTTGTAAAACATGAGGTTGGAAATAAATGTCAACTTTTCTGGATTCTAAACATAAAATAGATATTTACTGTTCTTGATAATGACCAGTGATGGTCAATAGTAAAAATATTGGAACCATTATGAACTTTGGAAAATTTCTTCATAAACTTGATCTGGCTTGATGACAACTCATTCATTAACAAGAAAAATAAACTTGAATACTGAACAGATGAAACTTGCCAGTAGAATAAAACAGGTTTGAATGAAATCTTGCTGTTTAATTACACATTTATGCCAGGTTACTCTAAGAGTTCTACTGGTACCATGTAACCCACAAATATTTGCCACATGGTCAGTTCATCAACAATCTGGTTCCCTCACCAGGTTTTTCTGGTGAGGAGAGTGGATAGACATTGAACAGGATTAAAAACGACTTATCCAAAAGGCGGATAAACTTTCTTGTAGCTTTTCGTTTGCAATCCAAGATCTCTCAAAATTAAACTTTTCATCATGGTCCTTCTTCTGGCAGGTGATATGATCATTTTCATGGAATTCCCAGCCATATGTAGTGATGTTTGCAAGGTTCAAAGATTCTTTCAGGTTATCCTTCTTTGTCTTATGGGTCAGTCTCTATGCGTTAGCATGCTCTCTAGACGAAAGTTGCCTTGGCATCATGTTGTTGCTCATGTGAGCAAAATAACCAGTCTGAAGCAAAGTATATGTTAGAATTATTGCTCAAATGCTGTCCCACTGACTTCATTCAAGCAATTCTGAATTGCTGACATGCATTCTCCAGTTGATTCTAAGTATACAATGCATCCAAGTGATCAAAATAGACAACCCAAATTTCACATGCATATAAGTGAATATATATTTGAACTTGCATACTCCTTGGTTGGTGAATTTCATACTCCTCCTTGGTCTTTTGAATAGGAGTAGAGGTTTATTTTTTGTTCCCTGTTTAAGACTGTGTCTTATATCTTAACCAACTTAGTTGCTTAATCGAGATAACAAATTTGAATATCCATCTTTATTCATTTGTGGGTAGTGGGGTTGCTACACAGCCTCCCCGGATATGGAATCTCTGTCTTTCTTATCAGATAGGTCCATGAAGGTCAGTGTCAATGGCCTGCCCTCTGACTCCCAGGAGATTAATGCAAGTACCCAACAAGGATTTGACTTCAATCCCCAACTTTTTTTCCCACTTTATACAGATTTGTCTAAGAATATTCACAGATTGTTAGTAAATAAATAAATATGCAGAAACTACCACGGTTTATGAGTGTGCTTTCAAAGATCTAGATGATGACCAGATCCTAGCAGCTGATGTCACCTCTGACCTACCTCTAACAGCCTTGCAACATTCACTACCTCAAATACCAAGCAGACCCAGAACCTTTCCCAGTTATGATGAATGGCTGTATTCTCAATGAGGTTTCTTGCCTTAAATGTCTATTTGGACACACTCACTCCAAACTCATATATATGATTCATCCACTAAGACTCAAGGGGTAACTGTGTATGAAAAAATATTTTGTGATGTCAACAAACTCTCATTGCCACTTTTGTGATGCCAATGATTACTTGTTGTGACTTTCGTAATGCTTGTTGAAATAGAGACTTTGTAATCATACTTATTATAAAACCCAGGTTGTGTGTATGTGTGTCTGTTCGTTTATATATTGGATCGGATTTCCTACAATTTTCAACTGATTTCAACAAAACTTCACAGCACTACGTAAAATTACCTTGCAGTGGTTCTGACAGCACCAAAAATTGGAAAAACACAATTGTTTTTGCCTGAAATCAATTTGAAAACATGATTAAGAGGCATCGCTGTCGCGAGAATGAAAGGGGGACAACTAATATTGAGTTATACTTATTATAAAACCCAGGTTGTGTGTGTGTGTCTGTGTGTGTGTGTGTGTGTGTTTGTTTATATAGGGGATCGGATTTCCTACATTTTTCAACCAATTTCAACAAAACTTCACTTTTTTTTTTGGCAGGTAGTGTTTCTTAATGTTTTGCACACTTTTTTCTTTATTTTTACATTCAGAATGCTTTAAAAATTCCATTTACAAGACAATTGTTTATAATAAAATTCTATTCAATCGGTAGACTCATAATGATTGAAAACAATGTTTTTGTTTGAGTTTGGGTTTGACCAATTCGTAAAAAAACAAAACAAAAAAAAACTAATTCAGACATGCGTGTCTGTCAACCTTAAACAATAATCTTTGTCAATTCAGTCTTTATGATGGTCGATACTTGATCTATCTCTTACTGTTACATCCCCGGGCAATGCCGGGCTCTACTGCTAGTCACAGATACAACTATAGTAATGCCATTGAATATACTGGTGTCAGACACCTTTGAATAACACTCACATAAATAGTACTTGCTCAATGATACTCGCTTGAAAAGTAGCCACCAAATAGTAATCCATATAGTGAATAGTATAGAGAAAAGAACAATGATCTGTATAGTAATAGAACATAGACTAAGACTGGCAATCCTTAGTCATCAGCCACTTCCTATATATATGTGTTTTTCCTATAGTCACATGATCTACTTGATTCAATAATAGGATCACCTGTGTTTGCTCACTGGTGATCTATGTTCAAACTCAAGTGTTGGCAGTGACACTTTATTCCTATATAACAGTCTATTAGGATACAATCACTCCAGACCTCAAATGAAACTCATATATATGATCCATCTCTAAAGATACTGGAAAAATGGTTGGTTCTTGAAAGTATCTGACTCTTTCTGACGTGCTTTACATTTACAAGAGTCAGATGGAACCCAAAATAGAAAGTATTGCTTTTATATCTGGACTGAAGCTGCTCCATCTTTATAGCCTTGACAGAAAGTTCACATCCTGTTTACATAGCTTTGTAGGTGATGAAATATTTCCCCCTTTTCTAACAGAAGAATTATGTTACCAGTCTCTTGCTATTTTATTACAAATGTTCTTCCTTTGGGTACACTGTTAGCAGAGCGGCTATGTTTACACAGTAACAGAAGCAAGAAAAGTGGTGTGATTCCCTTTAGTCTATAGATCACATTGAAGTGTGACACTGGCAATTACGATGCATCATTAATTTCAGATCACCGTAAGAGTGCCTCTCTCGGCCTTTCTATAAATATTTTTATGGTAAGTGTTTGGATGAGCTCTCCACTAGATATTTTTTTTATTTTAAGCACAGTACTAGACTGGCATCTAGACCTCATCAATTTACAGTTGAGCTGGCTAGACGTAACTGTAAGTTCCATGCTAACAGTTTCTTTTCTTGCATTTTTGGTTGTGGAACTCCCTCCTAGCTCCATGATTTCCAGCCAACTTTAATCTGAAAACATTTAAAAGCGATGTCTTCCTGATTACCTTTTCCTCTTCCTGCTTATTAGTAATGTTTCTGTTCCTAATTCATCCACACACTGTTACCACTTGTATCTTAGTGGTTTTACTGCCTTGCATGAGGTGATACCAATTATATATATATATATATATATATATATATATGAAAATATTCTTTTTTACCACAAATGATGTAAATAATATGGATTGCTCCACAATTACAAGAGTATATATAATAAAAATTAAGTAAACAATCATTTTTAATTCAGCACCTGAAGATTGTATTTTGCATGAAACTCAGAGTTGTATTACTGGTTAGGAAAAAAATAGTACATTCACTTATGTGCCAATACCCCCTGGGAAAGGTATGAATCCTCTTCTTCTCCCCTTTGGGTAAATAACAGGATAAGCTGGGTTCTATAGCTTTGGGTGCAACTAGTCTAGGAGAAGGGCAACTCTGAATTCAAAACCTACAGAGTGTTGATTGTGGCATGTTGTACATTGGTTCTTTGTATTTGGCACTTCCAAAGAGTGTGGCACATTCTGCACAATGCCTTCACCACTAGAATCAAATCATCCATTTCTCAGATTCTAATGTCTGTATGATGCCAGGTTTTTTTATATGTTAATAATCATGAAACGGAATATAAAACTCAATTTTCAGAACAATAGGTTAAATAAACAAATTTGATATGTGACTTATGCAAAAAAGAAAAGACAAAATTATGTAGTTATATATATATATATATATATATATATATATATATATATATATTAATCAGTTCACCCCAAGCAAGGTGATTATGGAACCCAAAACCCAATCTTAAACAGGAAACAAGAGAAAAAAACCTCTACTCCTGTTCAAAAGACCTGGGAAGAGTGTGAACTGGACAATAGGTGATAATATCTACACCTACTGAGGGAAAAGACATAAGTGAATAGGAAATAAAATTTCAGAGTTTAGGTGGAGTTGTTAGAAGCAGAGAGTTGCACCATGTTGCCTGATAAAACAATTCCCATTTGCAGCACTTTTGATTGATAGTTAAGACCATGTGAAGAAGCCCACATGAGTCAATGCTCTAGCTTTTTAGTGAAAGCTAAGTGGGGTACTGTAATGGTTTACATTGGATTCTGTTGAAGTTTATCAACACCTCTGGGAACAGCCTATCTTGACAGATGTGACATACACAAATTTTGTTTCAGATGTCTCCACCCCATCCACTGCCATGTTTTTTGGTGGTGTTGGTTTGTTCCAGCAAGATAATGCAATACTGCATCATGTGCAAATGACAAAAATCTGGGTCCAAGAACATTTGGCTCATTTCCAGGTACTCTTTTGAACTCCATGCTCATCAGTTTTAAACCCCATTGAACATATATTGGACATGTTGCAAACGTCACTAAATTCTGGCTTAAGGCCATATCACATTGAAACACTGGTTCTCATATGATCACATTAAGCAACATTGAGCTTGGTCAGTACCTAGATGGGTATACCAGGTGCAGTAAGCTTGGATGTGCAGGTGGTGTAATGGATAATAACTTAGAATTAGAAATTGGAGAGCTGAGTTCCAATTCTATTTGGGTTTGTTATATTTAGTTATGCTGAAACATTCTTGGGAAAAGTACAAAATCACTTCTTTCCTGCTAGCTATGAGTCAATTAGTAAGACTTATATTAATAAATTATTATTATCTCCAAAAAAGATTTTTACAATTTAAAAATATTTTCTGGCTTTAAATAACCTGATAACGATTGATAATCCATAAAAAACAAATCACTGAATCAAAATTCTTTAAATTCTCAGCAACCAAAACTCAGTTATAGACAGTTCTTTGGTGTGGCAGAATAATAATATCCATACAATGACTATGTCACTCTCCACAGGTACTGTTATTTAGATGAAAGGAGGGATGATCCTTTGTTACTACCTACTTTTTGGATATATTATATCCATGTTTGTTTCAGTATATTTATAGATATATGTATGTTCAACTATAAATACCTTGTTGTCCTGTTTTTTACGATCTTTCATAAGAATCAGTTCCATCTTTCTTCGTTCTTCTGCCTCTATCTCCTCTTGGACTCGACGGGCTTCCTCTAAAGAAAAGATGGAAGTTTTATGCTTTAAAAAGTCACAAGAAATGATACAATTTCAACCAAAGAATGATCGACATTAAATTTTTTTCAGATGCTGTAAGATATTTTCCCTGATCAAAGAAAGTAAAAAAAAAAAAACACAAATGAATCAAACAAAGAAAGAATTAATTTATTTTGGACATATGAACAACAATAGGTAAGTACATCATTAATTAACCAAATGATGGAAAAATAATTTATCTTACAATGTAATCTCTTTGTTTGCCAATGTACTTCACACATTCCATTCCATTAATAAGAAATATCAAAAATTATACAGTGAATATTTCACATGATAATTATATGTTAGACTAGAGATGTATTTTGTTCCAACATTGTATAATGGTCAGGCAACGCCAAAAGGTGAAAAAAAAGGTGTTATGATTAATTCTCAGTTTATAATCAAAATTACTACTTCAGTGTCCAGAATATTTTATTATGGAAATGGTTTTAAAGATTCAAATTCGATTTATATAAATTTAAATTTTTTTAATGGAAATTAAAAAGGTTCTGTTTCAGATATTTAATAATTTTAAAATATTTCTAGGTAATAAAACAATATAAATTTTATATATCACTGAGTTTATTATTTAAAATTTTAAAATAATATTGATATTAAAAGCAGTTTTTAAAAATATATCTAAACTTTAAAATATTATTGAGATTAAAAACAGGGTTTGACCAAAATACCTCCCACAAAAACTTCCCAGAAATACCTTCCACATAATAGTAAGAAATCAGATAGATCAGTGTGTGGCACACTAGTATACAGTGTGATTATCTTAAGTGTGCCACAAAGTATTGAAGAAATCATGAAAATACATCACGCACAGGTTTAAGCTGCTCAAATAGTTGAAAAGAGACACTGAAATAAAGTAAGTTTGTATTTGTTTGTGTATTTTTTTACAATCTATGGTTTTATTTCATAACATTTAAATTTATACCCTTTAAAAATTTTGCTAAGTGTGCTGTGATATTTTCATTTGCCCTGAGGTGTGCCATTGTTTAAAAAAGTTTAGAAACACTGAGCTAGATGGTGATACTATTGCCACTAATGTCTTACCATTATGTGGGAGGTATTTCTGCTGTACCATGTATATCTAAATTTAAAAATAAATGTAAAATGTTTTTCATAAAATTTTTAAATGATTAAAATCCATGAGGATTACTTGGATTAGAAGACATTTGAAAAATGCTGGTGGGTACAAGGGGAAAAATCAGATAATATGAACAAGGATTAGTCCGAATGTAAATAATGTTTTTTGCCAGTTAATCCACTTGGATTTGCCAAAAGCACTCAATAAATGGTGCTATAAATAAATAAATAGGCAATGATATTCTATAACTTTTTGGTTTTTTTAGCTCTGGCTTTCGGATGTAGTTGCATGTAGATAATCCTGCCTACAAGGCAAGTTAACTCCCTTGATCTTCTGTTGACTTTTGAACTCATACACACACATGCATCTATCACACACACATATGTACACACACACACACACACACACACACACACACACACACACACACACACACACACACATTCTCTTAAAACTAGTTTTAATGGTTTTTTCCTTTCATTATAATTGTGTACACATGTCTTTCCTTGTGATAATAACATGCATTGTCATTTGTTTTATGTTTTGTCTTGTGTTTTTTATTTTACCAGGACTCACATTATGTTTGTAAATATTTTTTGTGGGATAAATAATCCAGGAGCCCATAATGTTTGATTCAGTCTTTTTCTTTCCATTGACTTTCTTGTCAAATAGTTGTTTCAGCTATTCTTATAAACCTATCCTAAACATCAGTCAGTTATGTGCCAAGCGTGATACAAGCTAAGGCAATCATGTATCTTTTGGTACATGACTGTCGAGGCAGATTTTTTCCCACAGTAGATTGCCATTTCTTTCTGTGGTATACCAGTTGCCATTCAAGGCTATAGAACCCAGTCTGTCCTGCTATTTACCCATAGCTGGGGGGAGAAGAAGAGTATTCATACCTTTCCCAAGGGTATTAGTACGTAAGTGAATGTAATGGATCTGACTGGAATTTGAACTCGGCTCTCCAGTTTCTCAATCTGAGCCACTATCCATTACTCTACAGAGTCATAATAAGATTTATCAGAAAACTCAGAGCACTTCGAAATAAAGGAGCATAATCAAAGATATAAATAAATAAAATATTTTATTTGAATGATTTCAATATGGGCGAGTCCTTTATAGAAATAGTTGTCCAAAGTTTGTTAGACTTGGTACTAGTTAGTTTCAGTCAAACTTTGATAGCAGATGCCAGTCTAGTAGCATGCTTAAGCACATGTAGTCTGGGCACTAGGGAGAAAAGCTCATCACAGAAGTTATGAAAATATTTGAAGAAAAGACAGAATGAAGCCATGTCACATTGATGAGAAAGTGACTGAAGCTGAGATGCTGAGTCAGGATTGATTATATTGCAGATCCTACTTTGGATTTTTTCAAGAACCTTGAGATGAATAGCAGGAGTACCAGACCAGATATGGCAACAGTACTCAATGCACAGATGAATGGTAGATTTGTAAATGTGCAAGATGAACTCTGATGAGAAAAACCTTCTAGCTCAACCCAAATTTCCTCGCAGTAGATGCAGCTATTGATTCAATGTAATTGCTCCACTTCAAGTCAATTGAAAATGTGAGACCAAGAAGTCACAGTGTATTGCTCTTCATGAGTCTAGCATCAGCCATGTTGATGATGGGCAGGAAAGTTTCTCTATGGTGGGCAAATGAGAACAATTTAATTTTGAAGGCATTACAGTTTACAATCCATTTCCTGTCCCAGTTAACCACAGATTGGAGATCTTTTGCTAGAGCAGCAGCCAGGTTAACATTGTCTGCTCTGATGGATTTGCTATTGAGACAGGAGTAAATGGTAGTGTCACCAGCATAAATGCCTAATTGGGAACTGATTACATCAGGGAAATCATTGATATCAGAAACAGTGGAGAACCTACGATAGAGCCTTGGTGGTCACCTGCATTCATGTGAAAGGATATTGAAGTGAGCCTGTTTAGAATGACCTTCATTTCATGATTTGATAGGGATGGTTGGATTAAATCAAACTCTCTCTTGAATCTAAATGTGCAAAAAATAAAGAAGCTAGCTCTATACAACATTTAAGAGATTAGTCCGAATGTAAATAATGTTTTTTGCCAGTTAATCCACTTGGATTTACCAAAAGCACTCAATAAGTGGAGCTATAAATAAATAAATAAATAGGCAATGATATTCTATAACTTTTCTGGTCTTTTTAGCTCTGGCTTTCAGATGTAGTTGCATGTAGATAATCCTGCCTACAAGGCAAGTTAACTCCCTTGATCTTCTGTTGACTTTTGAACTCATACACACACATGCATCTATCACACACACATATGGACAGTGATACTTAACAAATACCATTTGGACAGTGATACTTAACAAATACCAATAATTTTGTTTACTAGGGTAGCAATGTGGGGGGATGCAAGAGTTTTAAAATGATAATTCCCATCTTACCTTCTTCCTTCGCTTTCCTCTCTGCCTCTGCCTTTTCTTTAGCTTTATCTTTTTTCTTTTTCGGTGGCTGTCAAAAGAGAAAATTACAACACTAATAAAATACATACACACACATACGTTTGAGAAACCTATTGAACCTATCATCAGATCATTTAGTCAGTTATGTGCCATGCATGATACACGCTTTTGATACATGACTGACGAAGAAGATTTTTTCCCATAACTAGCGAGGAAATGTTTTGCCATATCTATCTTCCTGTTGTCTATGTTATTGAAAGCAAAGATCCCAAGCCCATTGTTGTTGGTGGTGGAACCTCCCACCCACAGCTCTGCATTCCTTGAAATTTAAAGGCTAGGTGATAAAATGTCAGCCTCGACAATCCACTAACTGACCACGAGAATGGAAGATGGAAAAAGTGAACAAAGTTGCCATTCTTTCTGTGGTAGACCAGTTGCCATCCAAGGCTATAGAACCTCATCTGTCCAGCTATCTACCCATATTTGGAGGGAAAAGAAGAGGATTCATACCTTTCTCAAGGGTATTAGCACATAAGTGAATGTAATGGATTCGATTGGAATTCGAACTCGGTTCTTCAATTCCTCAATCCGAGTTGTTATCCATTACTCCACCATGACTCCGTCACATATCTATACACTTCAAAATGTTGCGATGTTTCTAATGAAACTCTAGTGTGTTAAGAATTTGAAATTTGAAAGTCAGAATTAGCATTTGTTTTGAAGAGTATAAATTGTGGGGTCATTCACATCATACCAGAAGGGATAACCTTGTGTTCGCAGGGTTAAAAACATACACAGAAATAACACTAAAAGCATGTTAAATTGTAAATTAAAATCATACAATTTACTTATTTTTGTGAGTATGTGTGTGTATTTTAGTTTTATAGTGTTTTAAGACTGGATGTGATAAAAGGAAGAAGTCACTTCTTATTTGTTGTATTTTGTGTTTTTGAGATAACAGAGAGAAAATAAATAAGGAAAACAAACTTGTAGGTAAGTGTATTTATATCTTTGATTATGCTCCTTTATTTCAAAGTGCTCTGAGTTTTCTGATAAATCTTATTATGACTCTGTGGAGTAATGGATAGTGGCTCAGATTGAGAAACTGGAGAGCCGAGTTCAAATTCCAGTCAGATCCATTACATTCACTTACGTACTAATACCCTTGGGAAAGGTATGACTCCTCTTCATCTCACCACAGATATGAGTAAATAGCTGGACAGACTGGGTTCTATAGCATTGGATAGCAAATGGTATACTGCAGAAAGAAATGGCAACCTACCACGGGAAAAAAATCTGCCTCGTCAGTCATGTATTGAAAGATACATGATCTCCTAAGCATGTATCACACATAGCACATAGGTAACTCGACTGACATGCTAATACACTTGGGAAAGATATGAATCCTCTTCTTCTCCCCCCAGCTATGAGAAAATAGCAGGACAGACTGGGTTCTATAGCCTTGGATGGCAACAGGTCTACAGTAGAAAGAAATGGCAACCTACCACTGGAAAAAATCTGCCTCATCAGTCATGTATCGAAAGATATATGATTGCCTAAGTGTGTATCACGCATGGCACGTAACTGACTGACTGGCATTTCACAGTAACATGTGTATGTTGGAATCACCTCATGAAGTCACTATATGTCACCAACTTGTGGTAGGTGCAAGTTGAAATCATGTTGGGAGTTGAACATACACATGGTACATAATAGAATACAGTGTCTAATTGGAAGCAGATGAAATGCTGGACAAACAAGAGAAACTTGCTAGAGAATGTTGTGAAATAGGAAGGTGACAGTCGTACCTATCATTGATGGAACACTTGGAAGAACACAAAAAAGATCTTTGCAAAAAAAAAAAAAAATAAAAGTTTTAAGAATTAGAAATCCAAGTAAGGCGTGAATTCATCCAGAGTACATTAGCAGGAAATTAAAATTAGCATGAAAAACGAGGAAGATGATGGAGAATTGAGAAGGCTTGCTGTCACTTGATCTCTGGCGTAATACCCTCCCCCACCTCCCCCGATAAATTAGGGGCGGGGGTGGGTGGGGAAAATGCAAAACAAAAACAAACAAAACGTACCACGAAATGAACGAAGGAACATTTTGCGATAACAAAGTCCATTTGTTTTTCTTTCCGATTGAAAAGTGAAAAACAAACAAAAAAAAATGTACGTAATATTTTTGTTTTTTTATTACTTACCATCGTTTTTCTATGAATAAAATAAAATCCTTACAAAATGAAAAAGAAAAAACTTAAAAAAAATTGAATAAATTCGTTTCTTTATCGGCCATGTTTCGTAAACAATTCCGTCAATACGCGTGGCCTCTCCTGTCTCTATGGCAACCGGCGATAACTGCCGTAAATAGAACCACACAAGTTTTACGACATTAGCTGTTGACTTTCAATAACTGCGAATAATTTTGTTTTATTATTATTAGAATTATCATTTTTATTATTTTAATTATTATTCTTATTCTTACTACTACTACTACTACTACTACTACTACTACTACTACTACTACTAACTAATAATAATGATAATAATAATTGGCTTATCGCACCAATTGTGTCTTATACAGACTGGAAATAAAGTGACAGCAAGTTTTTTTCAGTACGTCACCGCTCCTCTCGGTATATTTTAGTTACTATTTTGTACTCATTGAGTTCTTCAGCCCAGTAGTATCTGGTAGTTTTTATTAGAGGTCAAGTGACAGCAAGTCTCTTCGGTCATCTACACGCTACTCATTTCTTTATCATACATACCTTTTTGTGTTTTCCCTTCAGTAACAACAGGTAGCTTTCAGTGGAGATCAAGTGACAACAAGTACTCTGGTACTCAAAACTTAAGTTAGTATTCTTTATTATTACTTTTTCCTTATGGATTTTTTAGAATAGTAGAGTTTGAGTAAATGGTTGGCAGAACAGGGATTAGGAGAGATAGCAAGAAAAAATGCTAAGAGCTACAAAGAACAGGAAGTTGTGGAGAACCATGATAGCCTAACCTAAATGGAGACGACACATAGAAGAAGCAAAAGTATCTGGCAGTATTCACTGTAGTCCAAGTGACAGCAAATCTATTCAGGACCCTCCTCAGTATTCTAGCGTTGTTAACTAAATTATCCAATTGCTTGTTTGTTTTTTTTTTTCTTAGACTCTTCGGAATTGCTCCAAGCACTCCGATAAAAATAGGTACTACTGTTAATTTCTTATCCCTTTATTTGTTTACTACATTTACTAAGGTCCAGTCTTTGCGTGACCCATTTGAATCTTAAAGGATCTTAGGTTTCATCCTTTAGGATAAATTCTTGTTAGTTCCAGTCGGGAATGACTTCTAAAACCCAACATCCCCAAATTTATTAACAAATACTACAGATGCATGCTGGGATTTCTTCCTAGCTAATAAAAATAGACAATTCTTTCTTACTTTGATGTGAAAAGGCTATAACCACTTGACTGTATCCCGTGTACGTAAGAACGCTTTTTCTTTCTTTTTTACTGTTTATAGTTGTTTCATTTTGCCTTATCTTGCCTTATCTTGCCTTATCTTGCCTTGCATTGTCGTGTATTATTTTGTACTTTTATTTTTGGTAATGTTGTTATTGAGAATTTTGACAGTTCCACTTAAAAATGAGCGCTCATTCGACAGTTCTGTTTTCATCACTCAAAATACATTCACTTGCACAGATCCCAGTCGACCCCCTTTCCTACCCAGTCATGGATAATCTTGTATTCTTGTCTGGGTTAATTTATTATATTCAATGATGCTGTGGTTCATCATTATTGCGATACAGTCTACATTTGTTGGTGTCCTGTTATGGTGGTGATATTTATTTGTTTATTTATTTGTAATCATTTCACCCCAAGCAAGGCGATAAAGCCACTAAGATGCAAGGGATTACTGAGTGTGAAAGAAAGTGAGAATAAGTTATTGCGGAGAAAGGACAATAAAAAGATAGGTTGGCGTTGTATTTCAAGTTCTGAAGATCGTAGTTGACTGAGGTCTAAAACAATGATGTGTCTTTTAACCGGATTTAGTCTACCTATACAGCGAGACGATTCTGAGAGAACTAGAAGGATTCATCATTGGCAGCCATAATTTAACAACATAAGATATGCAGATGACACAGTGCGGATAACAGACACAGAAAGGAAACTACAAAACTTCCTACAGAAGGTAGCGAAGGAGAGCGAGAAGAAAGGACTAAGTATAAACTACAAGAAGACAGAATGAATTGTCATCAGCAAAAAGATGAGCCCAAAATGTAATTTACAGGTCGGGGATGCTAAAATCATGCAGTTAGAGAAATTGAAATATCTGGGAAGTGTTCTAACAGAGGATGGAAAGTGCGACACTGAGATCCGAAGACATATTGGGATTGCCAAAGACGCATTCCAAAAGGTAAGCAGAGTACTAAGAGGCAGGAAGGTTTCGTTGGAAATAAAGAAAAGAGTACTGAACTGTTACATGATATCTGTCCTACTGTATGACAGCGAATATTGGACAATCTCCTCAAAGATGAAGAAGAGCATCGAAGCAACGGAAATGTGGTTCTACAGAAGGATGCTTTGGGTACTATGGGCCGGACATGTGAGTAACGACGAGGTTTTGGAGAGAACGGAAACAAAGAGGAAACTTATGCTTAACATCAAGAAGAGGCAGTTGAAATTTTAGGACAGGGTTAGTGAGTGCAAATGTTCCTTTTTTTTTTTTTTTTTTTTTTTTTTTTTTTTACTTCTGTACCCCACTTCATAATCTTACCGATTTTAATAATACTGTCGTTTGGATGGTTGATTATTTTGAGGAAGGAGGGCTTGGAAAATCTGATACTCACAGGACCTAGAGGTGGGAAGAGGGACAGGGGAAAGCAATGCGTGACATGCTTAATGGGCTTAAGCAAGTGGATGGCAGATCAGGCTTTGGGAGAAATAACAAAAAGACAAAACTTATTAAGAGCTACAAGGGACAGGAAGATGTGGAGGGCCATGAATGTCTACGTTCTGAAGGGACACGTCACATAAAAGAATTTGGCAGCAAAGCGTGAAGCCCAAAAAGCATTCCACAGGCGAGGAGTGCGAGAGAAAAAAGTAGTAGTAACATCCCTTTAAGTTTTCACTTTCTCAATAACATGCTTGAATTCAAGTGAGTGCAAATGCAGGTTATTCCATTATATCAGTTTTCAAGTTTTAGTCTGGGGTCTTAGTATCATTCACAATCCGATGAATTTTTCCTTATTTGCATAGCCGAGACTAAGCTTCACTTTGATGATGTGTTTGAAGTCATTTGCACAATTCACACTGAATTACCGTTGCTACCCTGTCATGTATACTTATTTTTTTTTATACTTCTGAACTAAAATGCCCCTATTTCTTTAATGATAATCAATCTTATCCCTATCTTTATACAAGCGACATATACTTTTTTTGCTGTGCCCTGTCCATATTGGCCATAATGTCATTCCTTCTACTACATTTATTTTTAGCCGTTATTAATAAAGATTTAGTTACATTTTTCAAGTATCCTCTCCACTGTTATTTCACCCTAACTTTGTAAAGTTTGAAATTGCTTGGATAGAAAGGAGTACAAATAACGATAATTTTCTCGACAACTATCAACTGAATTGTCTCGAAAAAATAAAATTGTAGATTTACAAAGATTTCTTAATACATTTAGAACGTAGTGCAGAGATTACGCCCACCTAGCCTGCCAAGACGCCTGCTAAGTGACGCCGTTTCAGGACTATAAAAGAACGGCGATAACCATTTCTCCCTCTCTATTTTGTTCCGGAATGTAATAGTGTAAACACGATTCTTGTCCTCACTATTGATAATTTCTTCTTCTTCTTCTTCTTGACTTGACATCTCTCTCAAACCCTGCCCCGCTATCCATTCCCTCAATCTCGCCAGTTAGGTTGTGCGTTGCTTTCCACAGTATCTCTTTCCTTCAATCTGTCCTGTGAGTATTTCCCAGCCATCTTTCCGATCCACAATGTCAAGTCCTTTGTAGCTCTTAATAACATGTCTTTTATCCATCTCTCCCAAATCCTGCCCGCCACAGATTCACTCAAGCTCGCCAGGTAGGTTCTGCATTGCTTTCCCTTGTCTCTATTGCCCTCAATCTGTTTCGTGAGTTTCAAATTTTCCATGCCCTCCTCCCCCTGTCCCAGAAAGCTCAATCTGATGCGTCTTTCTCTTTGGTACCAGGACTTTATGAATTTAAGCGCAGGTCTCGTAGATTGGCGGCAAGGTCATATTTTACAGTTGAAATGGCTAGATGTAACCGTAAGTTCTATGCTAATAATTTCTTCTGTCGTTTTAATTCCTGTCCTGTTATTGTTCTCTCTCCTTAATAATATTTTCTTTTTCGCTTATTCTCTCACACTCAGTAACTTCTTGCGTCTTAGTGGTTTTATTGCCTTGCTTGGGGTGAAATTATTAAAAAGATAAATGCATACGTAAAGGACATCCGATGGATTGATAATCTTGTATGGTTGATTTAATTTTTTACCATTTGCAGATTATTTAAAGCCGGAAAATATTTTTAGATTGTAAGAATTTTTTGGATAATGATGATTTACTGATACAAGTCCTTCTAATTAACTTATAGGGGTGGGGAAAGAAGAGGTCGATTCATATCATTCTAAAAGATATATGCGTGTGAATATATCGACCACAACTGGAATTCGAAATCGATTTTCCGATTTCTTATATAGAACCGTTATCCATCACACCACCCTCACATCCAGTCTTACGGCATTTAGTATTCTCAAGTGGTAGACGCAAAGTGGGTGATCACTGTATTTTCCCTTCGTTCGGTCCTTTAAATTTACGGTTCCATTCTTCAATTTATCAAAACGGATAGGCAAATCCCTCATCTAGAACATGATCGAAATTATTTTTCATTAGAATTCATGGATTGAGGCTATTAAGCACTGGTTTCATCTCAGGTAATTAGGATTTCCACGAAAAATGCGGTGGACGCAAAGTGGGTGATCACTGTATTTTTCCCTTCGTTCGGTCCTTTAAATTTACGGTTCCATTCTTCAATTTATCAAAACGGATAGGCAAATCCCTCATCTAGAACATGATCGAAATTATTTTTCATTAGAATTCATGGATTGAGGCTATTAAGCACTGGTTTCATCTCAGGTGGATTTCCACGAAAAATGCGGTGGACGCAAAGTGGGTGATCACTGTATTTTTCC